ATAACTTGAATAGTTGGTGCACAGAAGGCATGAACATGATGGCTATTATTACAACAAACAGCTCTATCACATAGTTATAAGAGTATAAAATGTTATTTATGTTATAATGCAAGAGTTACTCATTTTACACAGCTCCCCCTACATCTGCAATAAAGTTGAAGAGCGAATAAAGTTTCCTATAATGATAGAGCTGCATGGCACCTGCAGTGTCTCAGATGCCATTTATTACTCTGCACTATTTAAGGCTCAATTTGGGAATCCATCAAACTGCAAACCCATTAGGATCTTTTCTTTTTTTCTTCTTACACTTATGCTTTCCAATAAAAACTCATTAAATACAGAGCAAAAATTAATTCTGTCAACATATTCTACTGTATTAAGCCAGAGGATTTACCTTAGACTTTATGATTTTAGTCGTCATGATAGTAATGGTATGATGCGTCGCTGATATAAATGGTTCGGTAGCACCAGGATTAGGGAGACATGTCACTTGATAGGCTCTAATGGTGTGAGGTCGATGAGAGTTACAGTAGGAGTGAAGTCATTGCTGGCTCCTTTAGCGGTGAGCTACCCTGTCTGCGAATCTCACAGGTTATGGATAGAAATACTGTACAAGATACATAAATTAAATATAAAAGTGTTTAAAAATAACTCAACAAGAAACACATTTAAATATAAGGACCATGAACAAAGTAAAGGAGCCCACATGTAGAAAATAAATACAAATAATATTGGCTTTATATCTAAGGTGATATGGTCATTTAATGATGCTAAACAATGAAAATGGCCATAAATAACCTTTACATTAACAAAGCTCAGTAAAGAGCCATAGGGTGGTGAAAGATGCCTGTGAAGGGACTATTTGTGGAGGTGCTGGAGACTGGGTGTGTTCCCTAGGGTGTGAAGTAGTTGGCAGCAGGGGGTCTTCAATGTGGTGCACATATTAACAGGCAGCTGTGTGTCTGCAAACATATAGTAGGATGGTCTCCTCCCTGTCTGTCTGCTCGTATCATTTAGAGCATGGCCAGACCGAGAGCAGACAGCAGTAAAACATGAAGCCAGGCTGTCTGGGACTTAAAAGAAAAAGCAAATTGTTGCTATTTTTTTATTTTTATTTTTATCTATCACTGCCTTCATCCTCCACTTTTTTTGTATATTTATTTTCCCTCCCTGCCCGCCTAATGCTCCATTATGGAGGTGTGTAGTTGGATTGATGAAGCCCAGAGGTCACATGACATCTTAATCATTTATTTACACTTAGAACTAATAAATTAGTTTGAATGATTAAGCAAATGTGTGTAATAAAGGAAATCAAATTAAAGAGTGAAAATTGTGCTTGCATTTTTTTTTTTTTTTTTTTTGCTTCTTTCCTAAACCACCTATCACTGCAATAAGACTTTTATCATAAATCACCCTGAGGATCATGGAGAATGGAAAGTTTTACTTCAATTTAATAATAAATCTAACTTTCAGTCAAATTAAACTGAGAAAATCTGTAACTTAAAGCAACTGAACCAAACATTTCTGTTGCTTTGGCAGCAAGTTTCGAATAGAAGGGGAACCTGGTTAGTCTCAAGTGTTTATGCCTGATTCTCTGAGAAATTCCCCTGATTTACCTCCATCAGAGATGGGAAGTAACGAAGTACAAATACTTCGTTACTGTACTCAAGTAGATTTTTCTGATATTTTTATTTTACTTTACTTTACTACTTATTTTTATGGTGACTTTTTACTTCTACTCCTTACATTTTTACACAAATATCTGTACTTTCTACTCCTTACATTTTTAAAAAGTGGCTCGTTACTTTAGTTTTGAATCATTTCAATGGAGTTACCGTTATTATTTTTCACGTCATCAATACCAAATTCAATCTAATTGGATGGGAATCTACGTTGCATTTGACGCACCGCTACAAGATGAATCGACAGATTCGGCGGTATTCATTGGCGGCAAATCATTGCAGCTTGGTGGCGGTGGCGTTAGCATAGTAGCATGGACGACGAGATGATTAAAAATGAACACAACGGAGATCTAGTCCTATTGGCAGACATCCATTTAAAATGTAGGCAACGGCATGAAAAAAGTGGTTTCTACTTTTACTTTTATACTTTAAGTAAATTTACAAGCCTGTGCTTTGTTACTTTTACTTAAGTATTATATTATATATATATATATATTTTATATTATATTACCAGAGTATTTTTTAACACAAGTATCTGTACTTTTACTCAAGTACGGAAAGTGAGTACTTTTGCCATCTCTGACCTCCATCCACCCTTCCATCAAGTCTTAACAGCTTTCTTGTCTGTATAAAAAGCAAAGCAGCCTAGGAGCATGATGCTGCTACCAGGAGGATGATATGGTCAGGCTGGTGTGGGATGTTAGTTATCAGTAGCATCCATGTGTCCGTCTTTCACAGTTTTTTGCATATAGCTCAAAAATGGTGAAGTAGCTTAAGCTGACTAGCTAATCCCACAGATCCGGAGGGTCAGCATGTAGAAAACTTCAAATAGCTTTTTAAAATCTTACCAGTCTAGTTATTTTTTAGGAGATTGTACCACTGGTGCTGTAGATCTCGGCTGCTCTGTTTTTAGATTATCAATTTGCACAGCGCTTCATTACAGTAGATGCCTATTTTTATTTTTTTTTATCCAATCTCTTTATGAAAACATCAACACCAAAAAGTGCCAATGGTTAACACAGGTTCTCTAAAGAGGAGCATACATTTCTCTGCATAGTTTTTAGAGATTATGTTGCAACCAATTATTGGGTTTAGTGAAGTATATCATCTCACTGGGACCTGACTGGTTGGGTTAAACTTTTTAGCAACCTTTATTTGTGATTTTTTTTTTTTTTTTTTTGCTTCTAGTGTTTATTTTAATCTAACAATAGAACTACTATAATGATCCAAAACCACAAACTAAAATAAAAAAGTAAGAAAATAAGAGGAATCAACCTGTAAGTGTAGCATTAGTTTGCCATTGGATGGTACATCCCTGTTGCTTCCTATTTTTTAAATGAATGTTTAGTGTTATTCATCACAGAAAATCCCTTTTCTGTTTTGTTATGCCATCAGATTCAGGCCTACTGAGGTTTGGAAAAGATGGCAAAAACAGACTAACACGTCCTGTAGCCACGTCTGGTTTGAATGTTTATCTTTACTCTCCATGACGATGGAAGGTTGCCTGGATTATTTGGAGACTCCTTTGCCTTTGGCTGCATTCATCTTTCCATTCTACAACCAGAAAGCAACTCATTAAATAGAGATCTTTAAAGCCAAGTCTCTATTTCTAACATTTTATTAAAACCAAAGTACATGAAAAACATTCCAAGAACAAGAACGGAACGTGTATCTCTAACAGGCTGCAAGCATCTGGTTATTATGGTTAGTTTAGCTGCAGCACACACCGTCTTTGGAAACTCACAGCCGACAAAAGCCAAAACCTTACCCAGTCAGTGTGGATTGTAATTCAACTCACAGTCCAACTGCACACACAGCCTTGGCTTTGCTTCACTTGGCAAGTGCCACAGCTTAGCAGCTTCATGAAAGGTAGTCTGTTAATGTAACAATTAAATCCAATTTTAAAAGGCTCATAATTTGTTGTTTTGTCAAGCTTCAGGTTTGAACTTTGTGACAATCTTTTTTATAGTGTAAACATTTCAGGAGCAAAACAAGTGGAACATATTTAGATAATAGCTTTCTTGGTAGATGTTTTTTAAGTATTTACAAGGAATAAGCAGCACATACAGAATAAAGGCAGTTATTATTTGACATAATTGAGTTACAGCTTATCTGTGTTGCTGCCAGGTTTTTTTTTTTTTTTTTTTACTCTTTTGTACAACAGCTCCACCTGCTGGAAAGAAATTTAATACAACATAACTTTTTTTAACTGCTATTAATCCATAAACCAAGATTGCCCAAATATTTTTTATTAGCAAAATTCTGAAATACACAATTTTTTTAGTTTTTTTTATTACGTTTGTCATCCGGATGTTTGGTAACATGGTTTGGGTGTCCTTCCACAAACTATTTGATTGTTGTAATTTTAGCCCATTCCTCTTGACAGAACTACTGTAAACTAAGTCTGATTTTAGGCCGCACTGTACTGTAGGATTTATGTCAAGAATATGTGACCACAAAATGCGAGCAGAATATGGGACCATTTTTCAACTAAACCAACATGTTTAGGGTTCTTGTTTAGCTTGTTTAGGGTTTCCAAGCTTTGAGTTCCTGGTTACTAATTTGAAAAATTACTTTAGTATTAAAAACCTCTACTTATTTGTTTCTAATTCCACATGATTTACATTGATTTAATTGCAGCTGGCATCAAGGTAACAGGACACACTAATAAAATAAGAACATATACTAGTATGACCCTCAAACTTTCTGATTTATTGCATTTTGCATAAATGTAAGCCATGTTTTGTAAAATGAGCTGGTCCCTGCAGATAAAATAGGCCTGTTGTTGACAGTTTGGTTCACACAAATAAAGCCATAATCATTATGGTTAATTAGTTCAATGTTAGCATGAAACCTCAGGATGTGTGTCCAAAAATTTTTATCTTAAGTTGAAATAATGGCTTCTTCCCTTCTGAATGACTTTGGTTCTTGGATTATTATTTATGTTATGTCCTATAATTTTAATATCTGGAACATAAAAACTTAACTGTATGATGGCTGGAAATACCCAGGCAGTCTATACTTGAACAAAACTGTATTACCAGATTAATGTGGCACCTTCAGGGGCCAAACATGTGGAAGTTCATATTTCTCTTCCTGTTATCTTCTGATGTTTTTTTTTATTTGACACAAATGTTTTCCTCAAACTGTAATCCAAACTCATCTAACTGTAACTTTGAAAGAGCACTAGCATTTATTAAACATTTAACCTGATGTAATTTAGTTGGATTTAGTGGGAGTAGAAATCTATAGTCTGTGTAAATACTACTGTGTTTAATAAGATTAATACAATCTATGAAGTCCTTCAACACACAGCCATTTTACTTCATTGATAAACACTTTAATAGCTTCACAAAACATCACAGGAAAAACACCACAAAGATTAAAAAAGGAGTCACACAAAGAGCCAAACTGAGAAACGACAAATTAAACCAAAGAAACAGGAGGGAAAGAGAGGAACTCGAGCAGGAGTAAACAGGCTGAGCTCATCCAAGAATATGTCAATGCAGCTACTTTGACAGAGGCTCTGTTAGAGTACTCTGTCGAAAATAGAAACCTAAATGTGTTCCCGAACATAGAAAAATACTTTCCAGTGGATCTGCCAGTAGCTTTTCAGCACCCAGCGCTGTTCACAATGGCAACAACTCCCCATAATTAAAACAAGATAATAAAATAGAGGGAGCAGTGCCTCGCTCTGCTCCTACATACAAAACATTTACAAACACACAAAAAGAAATCCTCCAGTTCAAACTTCAGCAGACATCCTGAGTAAACCATTTTATTATGATCAACTCAGAAGCACAACAGGAAAAAAAGGAAAGTCATTAACCCTCAACTCTTATTTAAGGTGCTACAATTTAGGCATTTACTTCATCACTCAATGTGTAAAAAAACAATAAAAATAAAGTGTCAATTTAATGAGCTCAAAATGCTAGGGAGAAAAGGGAAAATGAGATAAGTACCATTGCCACAAATATACAAAAAACAAGTAGTTTTTTATTTTCTTTTTAAATAGTCAAAACATACTGATATGTTTCTGTACTTGATCCAAAAACAGAGCAACAAGAGCGAGCTGCACAGAACATAAACACAGCAGATGCTTGGCGTTTAGACATTTCTATCTTCAACTTAGTCAGCTTTAGCAACCTTATAAAAACATTTAATAAGCTGAAATCTAGTTTAAAGGTTTCTTCCACTTTTCCTGCCTTGTTTCTGCAGAGTTTTATAAGTAAAAAATACAAGGGTTTGCCATGAATTTGTGTCAGATGCTTCCAGTGTTTATGCTCCAAATATACTAGTGGGAAAAAAATAAAACAGGCTGACAGGAAGTATTAAAATGGAAAGCACAAAGAGGGTAAGAACAGATAGAACATTAGAATGAAGGGAGGGAGGAATTACAAAAGGCAGGATGGAAGAGAAGGATGAAAGGACAAGAGGAAGGAAGAGAGAAAAAGGAATAAAAGGAGGCACGACTATTAAAAAAAGAGAAGGGGCAAACTAGATAATGATGGGGAACACAGTCTTTATATAAAACATTCATCTATCCTGCAGCCTCTGCATGTTACCAAATTATGCATCCCTGCATCTGTGCTGTACAAATTAATCAGGATAACTGACCAAAACATGGATTTTAATTTGCAGAATGTTAGATGTACTTGATGCTTCTGCATCCAACTATAGAGGGGTCTGAAGATGAACTATTTAAGAACAAGCTAAGCCTTCATTACTTTTAATAATTAGCATCTGTCCATGAACGGTTTAATCTCTGACCGCAATAAAACCATTATCAGATTATAAGTTTATTATTATTGTTTTTTTTTTCCATAATCCCAGTTTGAAAACAGGCTTTAAAATACGGTGCCCATTGAAACTCTTCTAATTCTATCCAGTTGCTGTAAACTGCTTTTAATTTTAAGTTTTAGATTGAAGGCTAAATTTAACCCATCAATTGTCTTAATGTAAAAACAAGCAGAAATAAAACATTTGGCACACCATCACTGTAGGTTTAAAGAACTACACAGCAGAGGTATTTCTCCTTTCAACTGGACCTTTCAGACGTATTCTGTCTTTAGAAGTTTTTGCTTTGCCTTTTTTGCTGAGCTGATTAGAGTCTTAAGAGGTGGATCACTTATACCTCTGTTATGGTACACTGTCCATCAGGACTACGAGAGCGAAGGCTGAGGGCGGAGCTGGAAGGCATGCCTCTTGGAGGAATTCTGGTTTGCTGGCTCTCTCTTAGCGGCCTCCTTCGTGCTTCCGACTTCCCTCTCCTTCCATCACTCTCCTCTTCTTCTTCACTCTCACTGCTGCCTGATGCAGACTCATACCTGTGCAGCTCATCTTCTTCCTGTGCATCTTCCCCCTCAGGCTGGCTGATTAGGAGCTGAGAGAAAGATTGTTCAAGAGTGGACGGTGATGGGGACAGAGGACTGTTAAGATGACGTCCGAGGAGTGTTTGGGGTCTAACAGGTGGAAGAGAAACCGTAATCCCAACAGATGAAGGCTGTGACTGGCTTGTAGAGTCAGAACCATCAGCTGAGTTCACACGATCTGCTGTTGTAGAGACAATCATCGGTAGAACAGGGACAGAGACAGGCTCAGATTCCAACCTCAGTCCTGCCACGCCCTTCTTAGGGATATTAACTACGTCCCTCTTCATCTTACGTCTGCGACTGTGCTCATTCCTGCGATACTGCACCATATTCTCCAGATCTGCCACGTAAAGAAACCCAGCAATCAGCATCTCGGTGCTCTTCCTCCCCTTCATGAAGGCCTCCTCCAGTTCTCGACTGGTCCTTTCATCGTACTGCCACCAGCCATTGCGCCCTTCGTAGTACCATGTGTAGTCTCCACGGGATTCGCTCCCGTTCAGGTTCAGCCCAGCCGCTGCAGCTTTCAGTTCTTCTAGAGAGAGCAGAACTGGACGCTCCAAAAAGTCTTCTGGGATTTCCTGTCGACAGAGAGCACAGCGCTTGCTGTGCCAGGAGGCGCCTTTAACACACAGGAAACAGAAGACATGGCAGCATGGCAGACTGACGGGGTGGACGCAGCTCTGCAGGCAGATGGCACACTCCGGGGTCACAGCAGTGGTGGTGGTGGAACTACTGCAAGAGTCCTCTCCTGCTTCTTCTTTCAGCTTGGATGGAGCTGGAGCATTCACAGAGGCGGTCACTTCCCCAGAACTGGCCATCCTGCCTGAGAGAAACAGGCTGTTTAATATGCAGTTAAACTTAAGTTTTCTGTTTGAGCTTAGCTACACATGAGGCTGGGTGATATTACTAATATCTAATCTTAGTTTTTTTCTACTATCAAATTATTTTCATTATTTCAATATTTTCAGTAGTCCCCTCTAGAAGGAGATATTCATTTTGGGGCATTAAGTTCAATCTGTGAAACATACTTTTAAAACAATCAGGGTTCACAACGAACAATGATCCAACAATACACGTTTGTAGCTAGTGGCATCAAAGAGTTAGTTGTTAGACCTAGATATGAGAGCTCAAGGAAAGCATTAGCTAAACAAAATATTTTAAAAAGAAAGAGTTGGGGCTTCTTCTTGCAGCAAAAATATGCCTGATCTCCAAATGCTTCGCCCTCCCTTCCCTAATTAAACAGAGAATCAGCTGGTGGCAGGGTAAACCTCCATATCACAGATTGGTTCCAGCCCCCCCTTACACAAACCCTTTAATTCAACGTGTCTACATGTAAACATAAAGGTGACGGGTTTTCCTGAGGGTGCATTTATATGTGCATTTGACAGTCACAGAAAAAGTGTATGAAACTTAAACACAAACTCGTGTTATGTTAATTTAACAGAGTGAGCTTAATATGTTTCATCCCAGTGGGTTTGTTTCCTTCCCCACTCCTGTTTGCTGACACACCCTCGAAACGCCCTTACACTAAAACCTACACTGACGTCTATAAATTGCTTATATCTAGATATAAATTAAACGAATCTCTTCTAAGCAACATATATTCTGGTCATTTCTCGTTCTAAGATATAAGAAAACACCACCCAGTTCTTTGTGTTTACTAGCCACTCAACCTTAGCTTAATTTACTACCGTTTATCAACTATTGGAAATATGCGAAAGCAAATTTCCGCTCAGCTCGTTATCCGTCAGATATAAAGTATTATAGTGCTGAATTAACGCGCGTTCTCTGTTAATGTTAGCTTTACGCCTCTAATAGCATATTGTTATCCTGTGGCAAAATGTTAGCTTCTTAGCTAGCTTACCTGGTAACCGGTCGGTCCCTCTAACGTCTTTGGCTTAAGTCCAGATGGAGTTATTTAGACAGCTGCGGTCATATTTGGCTGTGTGTAAATATAGAACAAGAAAATACTACTTTTAATCGCTGATAGAAGCCAGGGTGCAAACGGGGCCCTGCGGAGCCCTGAAGTGACTTTAGTGTCCAGGGGGGGCGCTGTCTTCTCAGGTCCATTCGGATGACGTAGCAGAGCAGCAGAAACTGCGCATGTGCACTTCAATCAAGCGCTTGTTTTCATACTGTGGTTCTTATTCTGGTGCTTTTGTTTGGTATTTTCCTTTTATCATTTAACCTAATTGTCTAAACTATTTTTTTTATTATTTAAACTAATTGTCTAAGACAAACATTATGTTGTTTTAGTCTGAATAATATTTTTGTAAAAATTAAGCTTTATTTAACCTTTTGTTATAGGATACCTGGAGTATTCTAGTATTATCTAGTATCTATTTTCTATTTGTACAATGTACAGTACAGTATTTTATTTGTTTATTTTTTATATACATTTTTTTTTACTTATTCTGTTATTTTTATACACTTTTAAGGTCCAAATTTGTGTGCTGTAATATTTTACTGCTGTAACACCACATTTTCCCCACTGTGGGACAATAAAGGGATTTTTTTATTCCACCGTAATACCTTATGTATTGCAAGAAAACAAACAAAAAAACTGATACACGTGAATGTTCATGTATTTAACTTCCTTGGGAGAAAGGGTAAGTGAGTGCTAATCTCCATTGCTATATGTTTGAACAGATATCTAAGGGGAAAAAATGTTTTGTGGTCATATATTTTCCATTTTTAATAGCATCTCAAATTACAAAATAGCACTGATGGGTTTATGATTTGTGAAATAGCAGGACCTACCCACTTAAGGTTAGACAACACCATGTGGAAAACACTGTACACAAAAAAAAGACTGTCAAATATATAAAAATCTGTATACAGGAAAACATTTTACATTATAAAAAAAAAAACAAATGGTTATGCTCAAACAGCTAATTGAGCAACATCCACATGCAAAGATCAGATTTATTCCTCACACACTTTTTTCATTTCATTTACATTATTTGTCCATATTGTAGAACTGTATAAAAGCTGTAGTTAAAACTGTTAAAATAAAAAAAAATAAAAAAAGGAACAAAAAAGAAGTACTTTGGATGACAGCATGATAAATAGGAGATTTCATCAAATCTCTACCAGGAACTTCTTTTTTTTAATTATTTGTTCTTTTTTGTTTTTGTTTTTTTTTTTTTTAAAAAAAAGCTAAATGGACCAACAATTAATGAGCTTTTTAATGGAACACTTAAGAAAAGCAATTCAATTGTAGAGATCTTACAAAGTCCTTAACATGGAGGTAAGTGGCATACGATTGAATGTTTCTAATAATTTACATCCGCAGTTCATTCCAATCTGATTTTCTGCTTCTTTTTTGCTGCACATTTCCTGATCTCTGCAAGGTGAGGGCAGGGGTCCCCGGAGGTGCTTGGGGGATGCAGGATTTGTCGTGTGCGTGTTTCCTCTCCCCTCCTGTGGACCGTCGTGTTCTGTTTCCGAACACACTGTCCCCAACTCGTCCATTCTCCAACTTCACAATGAACTTCAACAGACAGATGACAATCAAAAACCATGAAACACTCATTGGAGAGAGGGATACAAGAGAATGAGAGCATCTCTCACTTGGGGGGATGCACTGCATGAGCTGGACGTCAGGCTCAAAACCTCTGGGACAGGTTTGGTTGCACTGGCCATGGATCTGGTACATGTCTGCTCTGCACCTTGTGCAATTGTTCCTCTCAACACACAGCTCACATTCTGCGGGGCACTCTGAGCAAGAAAGACGGATTATCATTCTATAGAGGTCCCAGTTCTAACCATATTCCTGTGAGCATTGTACCTGTGCATTCCCGCAGCATTGTGCTGGCTGTCAGTCCGTCTGGACAGCTGCTTTCACATTTGCCACGAAAAAGAAAGCGACCAGGGTGGCAGCGTGTGCAGAAGTTTTCACTGAAGCAGGAAGCGCAGTCTGCCTTGCACTCTGAAAGCCAATGGGAAAGGATGTTGTTCAGAGCAAATGGGAACAACCCAAATCTATCTAAACCTCCTCCAACAAAATAACATTGATTAGGTTTTCAGAAAGTAATGCAAGTAGATGGTTCTATTACTACTTAATTAATTCAGCTTAGTTATCCTTAATCTCACATATAAGCTTGATGTGGAACCAATATAACAATCTGTGCCAAGAGACCAATAAAATGTGCAGGTTTTTGGCATGAGGATTGCGATAAATTAGCACCAAACATATTGGATCATTTCAGGATTAAATAAGTAAAGTTAAACCCTAACAAACGGATTCTTTATAACCAAAAAATAAAAAATAAAGTACAGTAAAATACGGTTTCAACCTCAGATTTTTGCTTTTTACAGATTGTGGAAAGGAGGTACCAAATGCAGGGCAATCCTAGACTTAAATCTGATAGAGGCAGGAAATAAATGAGGTGAAGGTTTAAAGTTCAGAAGGAAAACTAGTACAAACAACCAACATACAATTGAATGGTTAAGATTATTGAAAAAAATAATGTGCAAGACTGGCCTAGTTAAAGTCCAGACCTAAATCCAATTGTAAATCCTTGGCCAAAGTTGAATATTAATGTAATAATGCTACTATCAAAGAATATACAAAGGTTGCAGTCTCTAAGATGAAAGAGACATACCCAAAACTATTTTCTGCTGGAAAGGCATGCCGCACTTTTCAGAATTTTCTTTTTTATAATTGTTGGAGGATATATAAGTTTCCTTTCACTTCACAATTATGCATTAGATTCTTTTGTTTTATTCCATAAAATGCAAATAAAATACTTTGAAGCATGCAGCTGTAACATCTTGAACTCAGGATAAAATATCAAAAACAGCAGCAGGGTGGGAATACTTGCAAAACACTGTATCTGCATCATTATTAAACCTTTGGGTTAACCCAAAAACATATTTTTTCAAATATATTTTGATTTTTCAAATATATTAGATTTTTTCAAATATATTTTGGATAAAATAACATCCCATCACTCCTTTCACATTTATTGGTACCTACTGATGCAAGTGCTTATTTGGGGAGAGCGCATGCCGTAGTAACCTTGGGGACAGGAGGACAGACACGTCCCCCTCTGCTGGATCCCGTCCAGTTCCAGGTGGAAGAAGAAGCGGGGTTTACAGGACAGACAGCCGTTCAGAGGCGAGCATGTTGCACATCCTGCCTGACAGCTGTTGCCCACTGGATCGCTACCTGTCACAGGTTTAAAGATAAACAAGGCTTTAGGTGAGACCTATTAGAGAAATCCGGGCTGAACAAAATCTCTGTTTAGGTGTTGTTAGGGAATATAATAGTCTGTTAAAAAATCCTGGTTTGCAGCAAGCAAAATTTCCAGACAACTTGGTTTTATGAGTTGTGATCTCAGCTATAAATTCTCTGTGTGCATGCAAGTAAATCAACTGGAAATCTATGACCACATTGTTCCCTGAATGCTGAACAGTCCATACTTATCGTCTCCATATGGACTCCTCGTCTGCTCTGAGAGTTCACAACAACTCCTATTTGGTTTGCAAAAGGAATATGAATATGGCACTTACGTTTAAATCTCAGCACACTTGTGCTGTTTTGGCCTTTTGAAACGTTCATGAGCTGCAGCATCCAGATTAATGATGGTATCTGCATTTTCCTTCACCTCTCAGTTCATCCAGTCCACAGAGACGCGTCACATCACACCCAAAATCTAAAAAGGACCTGTTTTGAATGAGTCAGTGAAGGACTCCATAATATTCCTTCAGTTGGATCCGTGCAAAGGCAGCACCAGTGAGGTGTAGAAATGTTTTCGTCAAGAAAAAAATCCAGCGTGCGTTCCATGTGTTCACTGAAGTTGGCAGGACGGTGTGGAGAAAGCAAACAAGAGAGAAGCCATCTTAAGATAGTTGAGTCTCCAACAAATGCAAGGTTTGGGTAAGCTCTTTTTCTTCCAGCACATGTTCACACTCCCACCCTCCTTTCCCTTTCCCCCCTCATCCCTCCTTCTGACCCATTATCACATCCACAAAGTCTGCTGCTTTGGATTGGTACACAAGCAGGGACTTCTCCCTGCTCGTATGAAGGTAGATTCTGTTTCAGTGCACTTTAATCTGTTTTCTTACCTTTACATGCCTCTACACCCACCACTTGTGTTGTTAATCAACTTTGTAGTTTTTCCCTCCCCATCAAACCAAAAGATATATATATATATATATATATATATATATATATATATATATATATATATATATATATTCAGATGAAGGAATCTGTGGCAAAAAAATATAAAACATAGATCAAAAGAGGGTGCTCATTAAACTCCACCCAAAAGGTGCAAAGTTTAAATTTTCTCTGCATATGCTACAGAAGATCTCTAGGGATGTATCCTTGTTGCTGCACACATGGCTGCATAAACTCCTTCTTTTTGAATGCTCAGCCTTAACACCTATTTTGCTAAACTATTAAGAAACCTGGAGAAATTCCCTTCTTTAAATTTAGAATTCTCTAAAAAAAAAAAAAAAAGGTTTACTTTGTCAGGATCAATGCACAATAAGAAATTATCTCAATATTGATTTATGTTGAAATATAGTCCAAAGTCCCTTTGCAGGATAGTTCTAACTTAAGCTCACAGCCTAAAATTAAACCCATTCATGCCCATATTTCACACGCTTTTACTTATACATATTTTCAATTAAATGCTTCTTTAAGAGTATCTAGATTTTAAAGTTGCACATCTATTACTGTGTCACGTAGCATCTACAACCTCTGCTTTGCTAAGGTAGCTACATGTTTATACATGAGACTGCATGGCAGCTTTGTTAAAGAGAAAATCTTCAATAAAGAAGTAAATCTTTAAAAGAAGGTATCTACATTTAAACAGCAGATTACACATCTAATGCAAAAAAACAAGACAAAAAAACATATATGGATGCAACAGATGCATGACAACCAGAAGAAAATTTATGGTTTATTCATATTTTTCATACTTTTCTAGATTTCCTTTGCAGCTAGTTTCATATAATTATGGATGTTTAAGTGCATTTTTTTTTTAAATAAATGTAAGTAAATCAACACTGAAAATAGGCACAAACAGCCTTAGCAGAAGTGAAAGGAGTTAGTCTGTATGTAAAATTGGCGGATGCACATTTTTTTTTGTGAAAACCACCTCATGTTTCCTTCTGATTTAACTTCAGGTGGTACACCACCCTTTTACGCCGCCTCTCAAAAATCACAAATGGACTTATAGTAGAAACTATGTGTCTGCACCTTTTCTGTTCAAGGTTACCCGAAACCATGAGCTGGGTGTTTTCCATTAAAAAGCTGGCTCAGGAAATGAAAACCAAAACTACACTGGATGATTTGACTACCTCCTGATGAGAAAGCAAAATTACAGAAGCAGTAAGTCTAAAAAAAATCTTGGAGGACAAAGTATTTGTTTGCCTTCCTGGTGTGTATTATCAATTGTTTTGGGAACTGTAGGGCTTCTTTGCATTCCCAGAACAGTTACTCACGTCATTAAGAGCTCTAGGAATGCCTTTCCTATTCATTTCAAATTTCTTCTGCTTTACTCCCAAATCTTTTCTGATCTTGTCATTTTACGTCCCATCATCTTCTGGCTATGAGGCCAAATGTGGCGATAAAAGCATGCGTTTCTCTCTCCGTTTGCTTTTAAATCAATTTCATGCAAAACACTTTAAGCAAAGCGAACAAAAGCATGTGTTCCTTGTTAAGAAATGTGAAGTTTTTACTTATGAGTCTGTCTGGAAAAAAAAAGGCACAGGAGGAAACAGCCAGAGATTTGCAGTGGGTTTTCATTCCGGAGAGGATTCATGTTGGAAAAAATGATTTAAGAGAAGGAATCTAAAGAGAGAAGCTGGACGAGGCGTTTTATTTTGGCTTCAGCTTTACTATACAAGGACAAATGCATAATAGGAAAGCCCCATTTTTTTTAGGAGCAAAAGCAAAGCACAAAGAGGACAATAAAATGACTTGTGAGAGCAGCCCTGTATGTCCAGCCAGCTGCTGCAGAGAAACATCATCCATCAACCAGCAGGAAGCTAAATTGCATGGATATATAGACCATCTCTGTGAAGCACATATGTGGAGCTGGAGAGTGTAAAAAAAAATCTCATAAAACCCGTTGTTTATTTAATAAATTACCTTGAGGCCGACAGGAGTTCCAAAAGAAGTTATATTTGGGTTTTTAAAAATATGAGCAGATGTGTTATCAGAGGCTGTGTTGTAAAAATATATGAATCAAAGAGTGGGCAGAAAGTCAGCTCTGCTCCTTAGAGACATAATGGCTGAAACCAAGAAACATCTCCCCAAATCTGACCAGGGTGATAATAAACATGAAAGGACAATGGTCCCAGGGGTGCCAGATCAGATTGTGGAGGGAAAATCAACCACATGACGGCAAAGGATTTCTTCACTAAGCCTTAGAAAATATACATGAAGAGGATAATGGAGAGCACAGTAAGTTAGTGTGTGTTCAGACAGTCAGATCCTTGCAGAAGTATTCATACCCTCACAGAGCTGGACGGGGTCCAAAAAATGTCCCAAGCATTTTTGGTTGTTGCAGCCCACCATGAAAATATTCTATGCAGGGAGCTATTTGATAAAGAAAAAAGGCAACTTAGATATTAAATACATAATTATGTCATCTGATATTTTTTTATTTTAAAACCATATAGAAACAAAATTCTTAATATATTAGATAATTAATTATACATACAATTTTGATTACATTATAACAGCTTTGGGGTAGCTCACAAATGAATTTTAGCCCATTGGGCATAGGTATGCCCAGAATGCTCCATGGCTGCTCCAGGCCTGTACCAACACGATTTAACTGCGAGACTTTTAGATGATGCGGCTAACAAATGATGCATGGTTTGCAAACTTTGACCATATCATAATCTAAAGGGTTTACCACTTTGATGCCTAAAGTTTGGGTTGTGACCTCACTTTATACTAAAGTCCTTAAAGATATAAGAGCATCATTTAAAAATATACTAAATACTTTGTCGACGATTTTTATGGATTTTGTAGAAATGTTTTTTTACTCAACTGATAGTTTGAGCCATGAGTCATTTCTGGTACCACTTTGTGAGTCAGAAGCTGAAAAGTTTGGGAAGCTCCTGTTTACCATACATTTTTATTCAGCTCCGTTTGCAATCCAGTGCAGCTGACTGTACAGGATGACAACAAAGAGCAGCCCATTGAAGCAAAGAGGTATTGCATGGGAAATGATATTAGGAGAATCAGCAAAGAACAAAAGTTGACCTTAAAGCAAAAAAACAAACAAACCAACACCTAATATCAGGCTTAGAGCACAGTCCCTTCAGTGGGACAGTGATACCAGCATCAGCTGTGTGATGACAATTCTCTACAGGAGCAGGGAAGCTGGTCAGAGTGGATAGAGATCCAGAATATAAGACTGGGAAACAAGTCCACCTTTCAGTTAAGAATTTGGGTTATGGCTTGTCCTCCATTCTGTGCTGGAAATATGCACTGCCTGGCCAAAAAGAAAGCCAACACCTGGATTTAATAAAGCAAATAAGTAAAAGTCTTCAATTAGATAATTACTGCAGTCTTAGAGTCAGTTAGTAAAAAGTTATTTATCCCCCACTGGTGCAATGAGTGGCTTCTCATTTATTAAACAACCATATCCAACAACACATCCAAGGATCATGGAAAATATGCGAGTCTGTTTAGGAAGGGTCAAATCACTGGCACGTATTAAGCAGGGAAAACAGTTAAAGAGCTAGGAAAGTATCCCAAAATTCCAAGACATTATTAAAAACTGGAAGGATGGTGGGGATCCATCGTCTTTGAGGAGAAATGAGGGCAGAAAAAAAAAATCCTGAATGATTGTGATCAGAAATCACTTAAAGGGTAATATCTGTAAAAACAACAGTAGAACTCTATTCAATAGCAAAACACGGAGCATTTCCACATACATAATGCAAAGGGAACTTCAAGTTGTTGGGACTGAACAGGTGTGCAGCCTTTAGAAAACCAATCAGTAAGACTAACTGAAATAAAAAAAAGTCAAGTTTTAAACAGATCCAGGCACATCAGGGTAAGGAGAAAGGCAGCTGATTAGACATACCCATCATGCCTAGTGACTACCATATGTACCAGTGTTATTCCATCAATCGATTTCTTTTGTTTCCAACTAGCATGGGCATATTCCAAGATGACAATAGCAGGATTGACTAGGCCTGAGTAATTGTCAGAGTATTTGATCTTAAAAAAAGAATGAATGCAACACTAGATGGAAATAGATTATGTAACATTGCAGCTTTTTCAAACATAGCGAATGCATCCTGCATCTAAAGCTGAAGGCGGTCCAAATAAGAGTATGTGACCTTTTTTTACGGAAATGTTTAAAAACAATAAAAATCGTCTCTAGATGTGCAAAACTGCTGAGACAAATAAAACTGATTCTACAAAACTTGACACAAAGAAAGACTACAGCTTCAAGATTGTTATTTATTATAAAAAAAGAAAAAACATTTTCCTACCACTTTACAATTATGCATCAGTCTTTGTTGCTCCATCATAAAAATCACATTATGTTGTTACAACCTGACATTTGAGGGGTAGGGTCGTTTACAAAGGTGCTATAAGCATATGAATCTAGATATTATCACTTTAACAGAGATTGAATTATCGGGCTACATATGCAGATTATCCAGAAGTAACAAAAAAAACCACTTTCTCTCATACAAGTGTGAATAGTCTGTCTTAGTTTTGCCCTTTGAGCAAAGCTTCTCGCCAAGAACTTGTGGTGATAAGGAATTAGCAGGACACTATCAGCGGGTGCAGATATTCTGGGTGCCTTGATGAAGCGAGGAATTCGAAGGTGGCCGTGAAGCGTGCAGCTGAAGACATAAACCATGACGGATGAGCGGAGCGAGACCACAGCCAAGCGGATGTCTGAGCACTAATGCACTGTGAAGAAGCCCTGAAATACAAGCCAGTTTCATGTCACAGATAAGCGCCGCTTTCTGGGATTAGTTTGGAATCATCTGCAGTAAAGCTCTAATGATATAAGGACTTTAAAACAAATCCCACTTGTCATTTTATTGTTGAGAGCTGTAAGACTGAAGATAAGAAACAGAATAAAAGTTAAATGGGTTTGTTAAAAAAAAAAAGAAAAATGAAAGAATGAACACAGAGTGTTGACTTAGAAGAAGGGGTAAAATAAATACATTAGGAAAAAGGAGATTTCATAATCAGATACATGAAGATGTTGTTTATGGAGTTCTTTACAATAATCCTCTTCATCCTCTTGCCTTTTTCAACATTTTCTGTAAAAAGAAATAACATCTGTCAGAACATGGCACAGAAACAAAGCAGAAAGAAAGCATTTTCCTCATCCTGTTAAAGTTGCATTTGAAATATAAGTATTCATGTTAAAAATAAATCGATAAATACTTTCCAAACTTGGGAGATTTGGTTTGATAAAATAAACCCTGAAAAAATTACCTCTACAGCATCCTTTTCTCTTATCGTTTCATTTTAAAGCCTTTATTAGTAGCCATTTTACTGACCTATTCTCAGACATTTCTCACTTTTCCAATATAGATATAAATAGGTGGACATTTACAACCATGTTTTTTTCTGAAGGTTTTATTCTGATTTTCTGTTCAAGGAAAATAATGAAGCTTTCCAATGTTTTTATTTGGCCACTTTATCATACCAATATTGACTTTATTGACTGACTTGCCTTCCTTTACATGAGGGTAGAGCTGAAACAATCAGATTAATCGTGATTAATCGATTATTGAAATATTAAATTAATGGTTAACTGGAGTGTATAGTATAAAATGTTCCTTTAGCCGATAGAACAACCCAAATAGAGCAGTAATAATACCAAAAAAAAAACAAACAAAAAAAAAATTAAACATTTTGGATTTAAATCCAGAACTCTTCAAGTAGAAAAGTTTTAGTTTCACCTTATTAAATTCAGCAAAAAGTCTTCCTTAAGGATCCTTTTGCCGAACTATTATTAATTATATTACAACTAAATTTGCAAAATAATCATTAGTTGCAGCCCTATACGAGAGACTTTCCACTTTGTTTACTTCTTCACCTCTTTTAAAATTAGGCACCATCACATATGAAGCATAACATATTTTTTTCATGGTCTCTTATATTAATGAAAATTCTTAATTTTTCCATATCTATAAGTAGGTATGTTATCAGTCAAAGCAAAAAAAGTGGTTAGAGAGAAGCTATATATTATTGTATAAGTAGGTGGTATAGCCGTTCAAAATGCACCAGGGTATATTTTCTGAAGGCGATAATTCTGGACCCTTTTCATTTCAGGATGCAGTTTAAAATCGTGTCAAAATTATCAGAACTTTCAATCTGTGCTAGAGCTCTGTGATCTATTAAGTGGATGAAACTGGACGCACTCAGATCCTGATTTAAAGGCAATCTGCAGAACAGACTACAGGGCTTCAATCAGTGTACGCAACAATGATTTACAGTAAAAACAAGAAAAATAAAAGGACTCTTTTAATCATTGCTATCATCATCTTACTAATTACTAAAACATCATAATACCAGAAAATCTGCAAAGAGTCTCAAAGAACTAATAAGTTCTATTTTTAGATGATAACTTTAGCATTTTTGTTTTAGCATAGAATATGAAAATATCAGAAATGTTCATAAGTCAAATCACAGTTACTGATTAAAATGCATCACAATATAAGCATTGACTTATAAGATATATTGATAATGAATTACTGTCTATCAAGAATCTGATCTCCATAGAGGTAATAAGCAGCATTGCAGACACAAGAGGTAGTACAAGAAGGCTGTGTTTGAATATATGGGATGCGTCCTGTGCAGGTCAGATTCGAAGGCAGATTACGTCATAGCGTGGCGCTGAGGTCTGGTCGGATTGCAAGACTTCTCGTTATGTGGCCTACAAATGCGTCCTTCTTTTTGCACTATTTGAAGGACGGATCTGGTGTATCCTATCTATACTTGGGTATCCCAGGATTTATTGCGAGACCAAGCAAGTAGGCTGCTCAGTGATCAGAGGCGCCGAACAGTGGTGAAAATTGAAAGTTTAGTTTAAAATAATACAAGTATGTGAATAGTTCCGTCTGAAATGAATGAAAATAGTTGGTTTAATGGTTATTGAGTCAGATATGCAGCGGTAATGTTTGATTTACCGGTATTACGGTAAAAGGTTTTTATCCGTTACTGTGTAAATGGGTCTGGCTGTAATTTCAGGACAGATTCTAATATATCTGCAGTGGGGGGACTATAAATCTGATAGGATTTTTATTTTTTTATTGCGATTTTGCGCAATTGGCTTAGCTAAGTATTTTTTGTGGTTGAATATAAGAAGGGCAGCTCATGGTTCTCTGCTGAGGTCCAGTCCAGTCAGCGGCCCAGCAGTCGATACCCCCAGAAAAAAAAGTGTCCTCCTTTTCAGAAACTCAAATCTAGTCAGCCTAACAAAGATGCTTCAGCCGCAGCAAAACTAAACTGGTACAAGCACCAAAAATAAAGCAGCATGCATGTTTTTGCTGCTCTTGCTGCTTTAGGTGTGAACGTAGCATAACAGTGGCTAGCTTCCAGCCATGGCGTCCCGCACGAGCATTGCGGGTTGATTCTTTCATGTGTCAGAGTACGCACACAGGAGGGAGGGACAAGCAGACAACCATGATTGACGTGTCAGGAACCAATCGTGTACAACGGACCATCTTTTGTGATTGGTTGAGGTTATTCATTGATTCCTCACTCTTGCGGGGACCATTTATTTTAGTTTCACTTACAGACCTATTTCCCTGCAGCCAAAGTAGCTGTGGGGAGATCTTTAAAAAATGCATCAGAAAAGATCTACTACTGCTTGATATTTGAAAAATAGCAGCAACATCAGAGATGTGCAAAATGACAGCAGCATGCTATTTAACTGACTAAGGTTTCTATCATTACATTGCCTTTTATTTGTTCATGCTCCCAGTGGCTGGCACCTTTATTCCACTCTTTATTCTCATGAGGGCAGATTTTGTTCACTTTACAATAAAAAAGGGAAGAAAATTAAAAAGAAACAGTTTGGAAACTTCGGTATTCATTCTTTTCAAGCTTTGTGTGTCAACTATCACGATTGCTATGTGACAGAGCGTACACCACCGAAAGCTGGAGCTGTTTGAATCCACAGCCAAAACTCTTCCGACCTCCTTATTTTCATGTTGAAGGATCCAGTCCAGGTAGACCGCGTCCTTGGAAGAGGCAGGCCATAAATTCGAACACAGCTGAAGACTACCTCCATTTCTTTTTGTTTAACACTTGTGTAAACAAAATGACGAATAAAATCTGTCTAAGTCTATTCCAGGCGACAGTAATGCAGTGAAGGAGCCAAGGTATATAGTTTATGCCCTGTAGCAAACGGGTAAAGACTTCAGAGAATCTCTGAATTCCTGTTTAAAAATGTTTTTAAAGTTATTTGTTTTATGCTTAAAGGAATAGTACACCCAAAACATGATTAGCCTTCATTTTCTACTCACCCCCATGCTGAACAACACTCTGGAGTACTTTTTTGATATCTCAAATGCATCTGGAGATCTGGGAGGCTTCTTGCTGTCTGCTGACATTCAAATAATGGAGGTCTATGGTGACCGAGACAGAAAGGTCCATAAAAGTCCACAAAAAACGTGTCAATATTCCTCCATACTGCTCGTCCAATGTATTCCAAGTGTCCTGAGTGGGTAGCATCCAGAATTTACTCGAAACGAAGTCATTTAGAATGTTTTTAGAGCATAAACAGTAGTGTATAGGATTTCCTGAAAGCGCGCACACGCGCGCTCACGACGCTACGGAAGCCGGCAGACCAAACCAGCGCATTCAGCTCGGCAAAGAACTCATGCTCTTCCTCAACACTGAAGTCCTCAGATATTTTTCTTTCGTTGTTTCTTTCTTTGCACCGGTAAACAGCACATTTCTTCTTCTATGCTTGCATTATTGGAAGATCAGACGCTGAATGCGCACTTTCATCTGGTTTGATCTGCCGGCTTCCGTAGCGTCGTGAGCGCGCGTGTGCGCGCTTTCAGGAAATCCTATACACTACTGTTTATGCTCTAAAAACATTCTAAATGACTTCGTTTCGAGTAAATTCTGGATGCTACCCACTCAGGACACTTGGAATACATTGGACGAGCAGTATGGAGGAATTGACACGTTTTTTGTGGACTTTTATGGACCTTTCTGTCTCGGGCACCATAGATCTCCATTATTTGAATGTCAGCAGACAGCAAGAAGCCTCCCAGATCTCCAGATGCATTTGAGATATCAAAAAATTACTCCAGAGTGTTGTTCAGCATAGGGGTGAGTAGAAAATGAAGGCTAATCATGTTTTGGGTGTACTATTCCTTTAAGCTTTTTATAAAATTATTTTGGGAGCTCTTAAGGACAAATTTTAAAACCAATAACAAATAAAATATCATGAAACAAATCACTGTTAAGTAAACCTATGGAATATTCCTTTATGAACTGTTATTTCTCCCATTCATTAAATGCATTCATAAGATCAGACTACCCTGGCTAAGTAACGGTTTTTAACTCATTTGACTTAACTTGGGCTGGATTATTTGTCTTTTCGTTCTTTACAATGGAAAACGAAACAATAATCCTGAAAAACCTCCCAATACTAAACATTATGATGGCCATAATTACTATTAACTCAGCTAGTCCATGTCACTGTGGTTTAAATAAATGAGCTAACCTTGGAAACTGCTCTGACATGATGAGCTCCGATTGTTGCAGATTTCTCCTCAAACGCTTTGGCTTTCGCCTCTTCAGAGAGACCTTTCAGGAACATTACTATCAGCAGTTCAATCTAAGAGGAAACGAGAAACAGATGAACCACTAATTACAGAAAGACTTAGCAGCTAACTAGCATAAGCCAAGTAACATAATGAGGGATCAAAGTGTGCGCGCCTACCATCGCCTCTGAACCCGTTGCGATGTTTACATTTCCCTTAGCTTTCGCCCTTACGGTCCTCTTCAGCTTCGGCGGCTTTTTCAACATTTTTATAATATTTCTGTATGGAGAAAAAAAAATCACAAGCTCCTTTACTCTGTTATGTTTTTTTTTTTTCAATCTCCCGCTTATCTTACTTCCGGTTCTTCTTCTTCTTCTTCGTGCTTTTTATTTGCTTGTGCCTGATCGTCGTCGCGCCTCCTACTGTTTTTAAAATAGTTAGTTCGACCAAAGCGAAAACAAATGACAGCTTTACATAGTGTTTCTTTTATACATTTATATATATTTGTCCTTTATATATATACAAAAAACGGCTTACACTCACATTAAAGTAACATATTTCAAGGCAAAGTGAGAATAAGTAAAGAAAATAGCTCCTCTCTGATTAATTCGGCTATGCTGCCACCTGGCGGCTGTCTTTACATACTTCATCATTCTGTTTTTCAGTGAACGAAGCGAACAAAGATGGCAGCCCCCTGTGAGAAAACACCCGGCGTGAGCAATATGCTGCAGTTTATGAAACTTATTGGACAGCTAAAAGTAAGACTCATTATTACACATGGATTGTGTTTATGGGAATTGCATATTATCTTCTAGATTTATGTAATTATTTACTTCAAATCATTTCACTCCGAAACAATATAAAATGCCTTATTAATAAAGCATTGGTCAATGCAATGTTTTCCTTTTCCCATTTAAGTGTAAATCAGAAATGAAATGAACAGAAATCACATTTTATTTAACTTTTTCTTTTCTGTTTTATTTGCATTCAATTCCAGGGACATGGTGCAGGATTGTAACCTTAGGCTTGCATGCAAAACATCTGTGCTGAAAATCTAACGCCTTTATACACAATTTCCACACATAAAACCAAACGTTGGCATGCACTCTTTGGTTTCTGCTGATCTATCCCCAAAACATTTCAAAACTGTACATGAAAGTTATAGGTTATGATGTAACTGGGTAGCACACCCCATGGTTTTAATGTTATTAAATGTTTTTTTTTTTAATGCCTTTTAATGTGTTGGCATTTTTATTCCAATGGTATCAAAAATGGTATTGATATTTTCCTAAATATCAATATCAAATCTGAATTTTTTTGTATCGTGACAAATGTAAACAATATTTTTCTACAGTTTTTAGCTTTTGATGAATGGTGATGTTTTCCAGAGGGTCCCACGGACTGGCTGGGTGTACAGAAATGTAAAGAACCCTGAGAGTGTATCAGACCACATGTATAGGATGGCTTTGATGTCTCTCACCATCACTGACCCTACAGTAGACAGAGACAGGTGAGTTGTCAGTACAAAATGTACTTTAAGTATTTGAAGCCTAAATCACATTTAAGGAGGACATTATCCCTAAAAGAATAATAATTTCTGCCCTCAGATGCATAAAACTTTCACTTGTCCATGATATGGCAGAGTGCATTGTGGGAGATATTGCTCCTTCAGACAATGTCAGCAAAGCGGAGAAACACAGGAGGGAGGAGGTGAGGGAAATCAATATTTTTATGAGGGTAACTTTAAAAGAACAAAATAAATTTCCTTTCTCTGTCTCAAACCCAGGAAGCAATGAGGCATCTGACAAGTCTGCTACCGGAAGGTCTTAAACAGGAGATCTATGCTCTGTGGGAGGTAAGCTGATTTAAATAACACCTGCAATTTTTCTGTTTCTTGATTATTTGCTTTATAACAACATTCTGATCATGTATTGGTGTTTAGTCACCCCAAAATGTTTGACATGATCAAACATATTTTAAAATAAAACCAAACCTAAGGTAATTTTAAAAAAATTATTTCAAATGTTAAGGGAAACAGTTATTGAAACCAAACTGGTCCTCTTTATTCTATGAACATTTAATATAACAGCTGTATAGTTAAGAACTTAGTGAAACAGAAATGATAAATGCTAACAATATCTTTAAAAGTAAAGCATAATTCCCCAATGTAAATAATAAAGAAAAAACGTTATTGCCATGTATCAGCTTATTAAAAGCCCACTTCCAAGGCATTAGAATGCCAGTGAATTACAGGGTGAACTATAACTCGAAAAGCATGGAACGTTGATCATCAAACGATAAAGACATCAAGCTGTAACGTTTTGGTCTGTTTATAAAGTTGGCACCGGTTCTTCATGTGCTGGTGTAGTTTTCACCTCACCAGGTCTTTGACCCACTTCATGCACCTTGGAAGTTGATAAAATTTAACCAGAAACTTCATAGTTCTCTGAACTTTAATGATCCTTCCCAGGAAAGTCTGGCCTAACAACTTCCAGGAGGTTACTTAAGAACCAAGGCAACACCTAAAGCAGTGCAGGCCTCACTTATTTCAGTTAATGTTCTTAACTGGATAAAAAACAGCATCCATTGGGGAAAAAATCCTCAGAGACATAAACCAGTGGGGAATAAAAACGAGTTTAAATATGATTTTGAATGTTTACCTATTCAAACTAGGCCACATTGGTTCAGATTAGGGCTGAAACAACTAATCAGATTAATCCATTATTGAAAAAATCGTCAACTAATTTAGTATTGGATTGTTAACTGGTATATAAAGACGGAAAAACATGCCTTTTTCTGACAGAGGAACCCACTAAGAGCAGCAATTATACCAAAATTGTAAAGAAAATATATAAACATTTTACATTTAAGATCAAAAGTCAATATGCTCTATACAGAACTTCACAAGTGGAACAGTTTTAGTTTCGCCTGGTTTAATTTTGTGAAAAGTCTTCTTTAAGGAACCTTTGGCTATCTGATTATTAGCAAAAAAAATATCAACCGATTAATCGATTTGTAAAATTATCTTTAGTTGCAGCCCTAGTTCAGATTTATGTTTTTATCTCCTAAATGTAGTCGTATTATTACCTGCTTTTTTTAATCTTAAGTTATCTTAAACCCTGTCTGATGAGTGAAACCATTTAAGTGAGACTAAATAGAGAAATCTGTAATGACATACAAATTTTTCCGAGCATCAGAAGTTTAGTGTTTGTCTGAAACCATGGTTTTATGTGTTGGGCAGGAATATGAATCTCAGAGCAGTCCAGAAGCAAGGCTGGTCAAACAGTTTGACCTCCTGGAGATGATCATGCAGGCTCATGAGTATGAAGAGCTGGAAGGAGCGCCAGGAAGGCTGCAGGAGTTCTTCGACTCCACCACAGGTGAGCGTCCAGCCCAGGTTACCTTCTATCTTTCCAGAGTTTTATTTTTATGGAGGAATTTGTGTTAAAGAAGCATCATTTCAGACTCTGTTTTTACACCCTCGAAGGGCGCTTCCACCACCCAGACGTCCTCCAGGTGGTCAGCTCTCTAAATGAACAAAGAGGAACGAGCAGCAAGGAGCTGAAGAAATCCCAGACTGACGGCTCAGAATCCAAACACTAACACACAGCGACATGCTTGTCCTGACTGTGAGAAAACATCAGGCAGGAAAATCCTGCTTTTGTCCTCCTCACAGACTGATCAGCTCAGCAGAAGATGAACAGATGCCAGTTTTACAAAAAACTGGATTTATTTATTTTCCAGGTATAATTTTACTACAAATTAAAACTCACCTTCCAACTCAGCTGGTGCTGCCTTAGAGACTGCTGCTGTTATATGATCCAAGAGCAGAAATATAATCATTCATCTTATTGTAGCTTAAAAAAAATGTTTTATAGATATGTATGAACAGTAAATCATTATTTTCCACTCTTGTTTTTTTTATTGAACAAGAAATTCCTACATTAACCAGATTTATTGGTTAGTTTAAATACTGTCACATTGCACATATAAGGTAAATCCAATATCACAAAAGTTATCCATAAAAAGATAAGTAAAAGTTGCAGCACCACATGCCTCCTAGTTTCCTCCATAATAGGAATTTTCAAGGCAGTCTGCAGAAAAACATCGGGAATAAAAACCAAAATAAGGTTTTGTTACAGAATTCAAGAAGGTTCATTACTTTTTACATTGCATCTTGTTTACAGAATAAAATCCGGCTGGAACATGCAGCCTTATTTGCTTTGGGTTATTTAAACAGCGGAATTTATTATATAAATTCAGATGATATTCTGTGTATTTTTCATAAAACATCTTTAACCTCACAGACTATTGGTTCTTTCAGTGACTGAATGCTCTAAATGCCATTGGAAAGAAGTCCATCATTTGAAAACATTTAAACAGTTAAAAAATAAATGCATTTTCTGATGCAAAGCTACTTTCATGGCAAAGCTATAAGGAGCCCACACAGATTGACAGAAAAAAAGCAGTAAATCTTCCCTACATTTACTAAATCCTCTTTTTTTTTTAGAAACTGTAGCCATAAATTGTTTTGTACACATATTGGCTAACTTGTAAATGAATACAGTGAAAGGGAGCAACGTTGTGTGAAGTATTTTAGTTAGTTAAAAACATTGCGTAGGCTTGGTAGTGTCACATCATCTCTGACTGGACGTTTCATCTACCTTTAAAGAAATCTGCTCTCAACTAAAACATGAACTATTTATAGTGTAACAGACTGAACCTGGAGCAACGTGTCAGACTTACCTGATCAATGACATGAATTTAATGGTATGATTTTCTTTAAGGTTAGATATGAGCTCCTTGTTTTATAGAACCTCAGTTGTAACCAAGAGGCTTAAATCTACGAGCTTAAAACAATGACTTTTTTTCTCAAATTCATTGTTTTATCAGATCCCACTTTCTTTTTTTTTTATCAGATTCCTAAAATTAAAGCAAAAGCAAATAGACTTATATTGCCAGCAATTTCATCGCACTTGCAGGATTTAGTAAGGACTTGTCTGCAAAATCAAAACACTGCTTTCCACTTTGGTCTTAAATTCTATAGATCCACAACAATGTGCTGTGAGTGGAGCGAGACGGAATCCTAGCATGGTCTCTCCGGGGTGTCAGTCAGGTTGTTGGTGGGCGTGTCCTGAGAGCTGGCGTTGGCTGCAGATGAGAGGACCTCCTCGAAACTGCCGCCGGTCCCAGTGCCTCCAACTTTGGTCTGGTATCGGAGGGAGATGCAGAAAAGGAGAAAAGAAACGCATCAATTTTTCACACCGTGGATTGGAGCAGACTAAACCTTTTTTATTGCCACAATTACTGCATGAACAACATACTACTGTAGGCAGATGGTTGTTTTAACCCAAAGGATAGCAGTTAGCAGGAACAAGCTGTTCCAAAACCAAAACAGACACAGAAGATCAAGAAGAGGAAGACAGTTTGTTGGTGAGGATATAAATAATGTGTTCTCAGTGTCACACCGTATGATAGTAATTACACAGCGATTATAGAGTTTAGCTCTCTGTTTCACGCTTCCTCTGGAACGTGGGAGAAGAAACTTCTTAGCCAGAGAGACTTGCTGTTGAATCAGACTGATCACTTGTGTGTTAGGGTGGTGTGGAGCCTTAAAGCCTTTTAACGACCAAAGCTGTGGAAACGGGAAAACAAGCCTAACACCAAAGAAGGTCAAATAAATTATCTGTTTAATGGGAAGAGGAACACAACAGGTGGAAGTTCTTGTCTTACGTCACAAACATGCATGTCTTTCATTAAAATAGACTGACTCTGGTTGGCCAGGGTAGGTTTTATTTGCTGCCTATCTAGTGTTTGTCTAAACTCAAACCCAGTGACTGCTTTAGACGGCTGCCGTCCACCCCCCCCCCCCCACCCCATGAGGTTAACCTGACAGACAACGGATGGGTCACTCAGTGAAATGAAAGTTAAATGTAGTCATGAAGAAATATATATATACATACAGTATATGTATATATACAGAGAGAACTTAACATCATACAAAGTGAGAAATGTTACAATAATCTAGAATCTGAGCTATGGGGATAATCTAGACGTTGAATAGAAGCGATATAAACATAGACCCTTTAGAACCTCACAATGAAATTTTTGTCTTGATTTACTAATACTCAATGATAAATAGTCTAAAATAGTACCAGATAACCCCACTTTAAATTAACTGAAAGCTTTTGACACCTAGAATACAGATTACCAAAAATTCAAATTGGTTTACCTTGATGGTGGTAACGGTGTTTTCAACTTTCTCTTCAAAGGATTTGAAACTGGGTGAGTTTCTGTGGATAAAACACAGAAAATCTTGATCATGGTTGAAGAATTTTATTTATTTTTTTACATATTCTGAAAATATAACTATAAATTCACTAATACAATTGTGAGGTTCAAATTTAGTGGAGTGGCAGCCTAGTGGTTGGGGCATAGAGTTTGGACTCCTGAGGTTGTGAGTTCAAAACCCACTCCCACAGTATGTCACTCTGGCTCTCTGAGCAAGACCATTAACACCACACTGCTCCCCATGATGGCAGCCCACTGCTCCCAAAGGGGATGGGTTAAATGCAGAGGTACATTTCCCAATAAAATTCAATTACTTAATAGTAGTAAAGGTAACTGATAAGAGGATGGGAACGTGTGAAAACATTTCAGGTATTAAAATAAAGCATCTGAAACACAAAACAACAAGCAAACAGAAAAGCATGGTGTTTTTACCTCATGGCAGGCATGCTCATAGAGTGCCTGACAGAGTATCTGTCCCCAGGCAGCGTGGCGAGAGAGGAGTCAATGATTAGCCAAGGTTACACACAGAAGCAACCTCAACAGTTTGCATGTGCAGCTTTAGTCCCTCAGCCTCACTTTAGATATCACACATCTTTGCCAACAGGGTTGTGTTTTATGTTGCAGAGAAGTTGTTTAAGAGATAAAGTAGGATTCTATTTTGGCTTTAAAAGAAGTCTAATTTCCAGTTAAATATAAAAGTTTTCAAACCAGGCAGATATTTAGACCCACAAACAATCCCCAAAAACTACATCTTTGCTGAGATCAACAGCTGATGGAGTTCTTCCTTTAGGAGTAACAGTGACTTCTAAACTGGTGCCATCCAGATACTGAGTTAAGAAGGCTTAGCGAGAAGCAACTAATGTGACATAACCGTCTGGGTGATTCTTACCCTATTGAGTTGGACCTTGGAAAGCATGGAGGGAAATAAAGAACAGCTTAGATGCTTTTAAAAGACTAAACACAGCCTCTATCACAATCATGCTCTGTGAAATTCTGAAATCCAAAACAAGAGAAAAAGGACATAGATAAAACAATATGATTAATATGTAGGGAACCAAGGGAAACAAAGATTTTAGTCACTTGTAAAACATATTAAAATTACAAGAACAGTTTTAAAGACACAACACACACTGCACAGCAAGCTCGAAAAAAATCCTTCAAAAAAGTGAAACAAACAGAAACAGAACATTTAAAGTGAGATTATTTATGCCTCCTATTCTCTCTTGGTTTAATCACTTAGCAGAAAGTGGCACCTCAACACTGAATTCTTTACATTTTAGGGCTTTTTTACGTGTCTTTAATGCTCACTAGCTTTTCTTCCGGACGAACAGGTCTGCACCTGGAACGGCGGTAGTCTGAACAATTCAGCCTGTTCAACAATTCCCTCTAACAAACCCCCCCTAGAGAGATATCGGGTATTACAGGCTAACAAAGAACCCAAACGACCCCCATTCCTAAGGAGCGGACCATTTGTCGGTTCAATATGGATGTTTCCTAAGCCAAAACAAAAGCTTTGTTTTTGGTCCACTCCATAAAGCCTTGAACTGAACGCTATTTCTGACATTTTGAATTGAAAAATCTTCCTGGATCAAACTTGGAAACAAAGTCCAGTGGATTGTTTTTTTTATGTCATTTTGAATGATTATGACCTGGATGACTGAGAATCTTCACCAGCCTACTACATTATAAAACATGAATTTATTTTGATGGTTCTATTATCTATTATAATCTATCCTGATTCTATTTGATTCAATAATATGGGATAACTTTGTCAAAAATGGAAATAATGGGCAGCAATCTAAAGTCAGATTCTTACGCTCGCGGAGATAAAAAGTGTAATGTCAGAGGTTGTTAAATGTGAAAAAATAACACTCATATATACTACAAAACAAGACAGGAGAAGCAATGAAAAAGCTTGATACACTGCATACATGTTAAACACCCACAGCAAAAAAAGAAAAAGTTAAAAGCAAACTAAAAATATACCTGCGTGGAAACAGTAACTCTAAACCGGCCATGCTAAAATACAGAAACAACTGAGATAAGTTGTTGTACATCACTTCCCGCTAATGTAGCCAGACATTGACCTTCCTTTAACCAAAAAGAAGAAAGCCTTAAGTAGACAAGCAATTTCTTCTTTTTTTTTTATTCCTACTATTGGGGAAATAAACTACCAGTCTGTTGAAATCAAGAGATAAGAGAGTGACTGAAGGAGACAGGCTTTACCATGAGCCTTTCAGCCCCCTTAGAAAGCAGCTTAATGCTGGCTTACATAATTATGTGCTTTCCTGAACTGTTCCACTCTGGTCTCTGTCATGCAGAGATAGTAAGGACAGATCAAAAACAGGACAAGATGTAAATGTACTAGGAAGTAAAGTGTATCAGGTGGTGTATGGGTAAAACAGGTCCAACTATGTCTGCGTTGTAGATCAGTGATATACTTTAGGATGAGCAAATAGAGGCGTCTGTACTTCTGTTTCCTCTTAGAAGTTCCTAAATACTGAGAATTATTTTGAGTGAAAGAAGACAACATTTTGAAGGACACTGGGACAGTAAAACTAGGTTGGGACTCTTGGACGCCAGATTTGGGTCAATAAATTCATCATTTAGTATAGATGAGCCTGTAGAAGTTTTGCCTCTCTAAAGATTACAGACCACATTTTTTTCTTTGTTTTTTTGCAGTTATGAAGCAAAAGGGCTCATCTGTTCTCTTTTTACATGCTGACAGCTTTTATCTAAAAAAAAGTTTAGCAAGTACAAATTTAGCAACCAAATTCTGTGGTTGACTTTATGACCACGGTTTGCATCTTTTATTACTAATAACAAAAATAGGACAGTTTTCCTCCACAGATTATGAGAAAAGGACAGGACACTAAAAAATAAACAAACTCCAAACTCAACTTAGTGTAAGATAAACTAAAAAAAGTCTGAGCTAAACTAAATTTACTGAATCAAACAGTGATCTGAGCTAAGGATAAACAACACTGAGGTCATCCTAACATAATCCTAAACAAACAAAAATAAAATAACACAACAAACAAAACCTAACTATGACAAACTAACCTAACCAACGCTGAACAATGTTAATAACTGCTCTAACACTAACTAAGCTAAGCTAACATATGCTAATCTCAAGGGGATCTTACATTTTCTTAGTTTAGTTTAGCAATTTTGTCAAGAAAATTAAGACATATCGGTACTTTCTTTAGGTGCTTGCAATTTCGATTTTTTTATTTTTTTATTTCAAGGTTTTAAAATCTTTAACCCGTTATGATAAATATTACTCCAGGCTCTTTAAAGTTCTCCTTGCAGTTTTCTTTTCTCTTGAATTTGGTTGTTTTTTAAAGTCATTCTTATGTTTAGCCCATCCAGAACGATGGCATATTGTGCATCATCATTCAAATGTGAGAGCTAGAAAAGTGGAGACAAAAGAAAAACCCTGAAAACGAAAATACTACAGAATATGAAGCAGGAAATAGTCTAAAGACACTAGTTGAACCAAAAGGTTTAAAAACCAGAGTAAACAAACCCAACAGACCTTCAGACGGACCAATAATTAAACATTTTAAGGTTTTTGTAAAGGTTACAGTTAAACCAGCCATAGTAAAGATGAGATATATGCAGTTATTTTAGCTGTAGAACCCAAGAGGGGGGGACATTTCCTCTTTTCCAAAAAAATTGTTTTAAACTAAAGACTTCTAATTTATCTAGTTAGCCTCTACTGGACAATAAGTTCTGAAATGTAAACTTTAAAATTATCAATACAACTTAAACCTACTGGATAATCTTAATAGAACTTCTATTTATCCATCTATAAATGTCTTATCAGGTCATCCACTGTAGACATTGTATATTTAGAACTGTAGAGTTGCTGATGAGAAGAAAAAAATGATTCTAAATAACTCCTTCCCTTTATTTACCACATACTGCTTTAAAAAGTAAAAATGAAAACAAAGGCTTTTTCATTTTTTTTAAGCTGTGATGTAATTCTTTACCTCATGTCTCCAAACTTTCTGGTAATGGCGCTCCCAAAGGTGCTGAAAGCAGCTGAGGTTTTCTGTCCTGCGGTGGACAGCGTCTCTGATGTCTTCTTGTATCTGAAAAAGACACAAGGACATACACTGCATTTGACAATGGGGTCATTTTAGTGCATGTTCAGTTTCTCCCACCCCCATTTAAATATATCAGTCCTACAAATGCGCAAACAGATCGACTAAATGCCTATGCCATGGGAATTAAAAAAGATATTTTGCCAACTCAGGGGATTTCTGATCATAAGATCTAGATTCTGTTTGATGATTTGCTTAAATAAAATAATGTTGCTTCAATTATAAACCTTGTTATGGTTTTCAAATTCCATTCAATTCAGTTTATTTATATAGCACCAATTCACAACACACATCATATGAAGACAATTTACAGATTTACAATTTAATCAGATCATGCAGTCAAAACCAGATGATGACATCGAGTCATTACCCTTAGAGAACAGGCCCCTCATTCAACATTTGACGCTTCCTTTCTATGTGGGTTTGCATTACATCTGGATAAAATACAGCATGTTTACGCAGTCTCTGTTACCTAGAGTGAAGACCTCATCCTCCTCTGGTCCCACTGGTGCATTATAGATGAGGCAGAGGCTGTTTGTAAAGTGATCCTCAGAGTAAAGTGTAACTGGATAAGAGAAGCAGCCTTTAGAGGCTATCCTGTTTTATCTCTTGCTGTCTTGAGAAAAGCTCTGCTTTATCACTGATCTGCGACAGTTGACTGTTTATCTGTATACAGAACGATTCAAACACCATAAAGGAATCTGTGGGTTTTTTTTTTTGGTACAGAGCCCCTTCTTAAAAAGAATGTATTTAACTGAGAATGTATAGTACCTGTGATAGAGCAATATTAAAAGAATGAGTAATACACATTTATGATAAAATGTTTTTGAACTATTGTACAAAAACAAATCTGTCAATCAATCAATCAATAAAGTGCAAAGCAACACCTTTGTTAAAATAATGGAATTAGTAATATTTGCAATTTTCCTTAATCAAAGGAAACATCATTCAACTTTACTCTGGTCCAATGCCAACAACTGGTTTGTACGGTGGCCGGGAAGTCAAAACCTACGATACAAGATTAACAACGAGCAAAACACTTTCACAAATCTTGAAACAAATTTATAAATGACAAAATCAACGGGAAAGGGGGGGGACTGTCTTTGAAGCTTACCTGGAAGTGATAATGGGAGCCTTTATGATGACCCAAGATGGACGCTAATCGAGATGCATTTTGCCCATTTTGTGGCACACAAAAGATTTTAAATCGCACAGAACACACAGAAGAACCAGATATGCTGCAGCAGTGCATACAATATTTCAATGAGGGTCACTAGTACGCTGTAATCGTAGAAATGATGTCATGTTTACACTGTGTACACATCAGCCTGCAGGAATCTGAAAAGCAAACTGCAAAAAGGATTTCTCTTCAACAAACATAATAATTAGGGCAATAACACTGGAGCTCTGTGGAAACGGACAGCTGTTTGGATACCATACGATGTGGCAGGTACTTAAACAAAAGTCCAGTTGTATTGTTGGTTTGCACTTCCTGGCCACCGTAGATTTGTGCACACCTATATATAACCTGGCAAAAACCACAGTAACTAAGTCTTTATGATAAAGGTATCTTTGCGATGTGTTCAAAGTGGAAAAAACAAAAATCAGAAAACCATCAAGGGTTTTGTTCTCACTGCAGGAAACCAATACAACACACATTTAATTGATGGAAGTGCCTGCAGAGTGCATTCAGTTAGCCATGTTCTGAGATCAACTATAGCCTTCAGCAGAGTTTTTAAATCAGTTAAACCATTGTCTGTTTCAGAAAGCAGGGTGCAGATAACAAGCCGCAAACATGCCAGACAGTGACCCCTTTTCACCAGACTCCTTTGTTTTTTTCAAATGAGTGTTTGGAAACCAGACTGTGTGGACTGGGTGTCTCTGACTGTTTGGCAATAGACCACCAATCATCTCAGACTGTTTTAACTTTTTGTGCTATTGAAGCACATTCAAGTCTCCTGTGTTCTGCCTCAGACACTATTGAACTGCCAACAAGCAGAGCATTCAGGTGAACGGAGCTGCAGACTCATTAACTTACGCCGTAGTGCTCTGCATGTCATGCCAGCTTCTGCTGAAGTTGTTCCTGAGCTCACTGAGAGGAGTCATGCCCAGCTTCTGTTTGAGCTCAGAGTGCTGCTTCTCTTTGGACAGCAAAACCTGCTTCAGTGTGCTGATTTCCTCTTCCAACTGACCACACACACACAAAAAAAAACATACAGTTAGTTTTATTCAAACTGACAATCCAGCTTATGATTCATTTGTGCGTCTGTATACCTTAGTCAGCTCCTGCAGAATCTCTTCTCTCTCCTCCTCTGTTATGTTGGTGTTGTTGAGGCTGACTTCTGACACCAAATCCTCATCAGCCTCCCTCAGAGGCTGAGAGTCTAGAAAACCTGTTCAAAATGAAAGACATTCATGGAGATCTCTGGTTATATGAAATCTGAAATTCAGTTTTCAGTAAATGCATGTTCTTAGACTTCAGGCTGTGAAGTCAGGCTACAGGAAATCAACTCATGAATTTGTTCCTTCTTGCTTCTAGAGAAACACAAGTTACTTCCAGCTTTTATTACTTCTAGTTTGTACATTTTACTGCATTTTAAATCAGATTAAACAATACCAGGGTTGTGTTCAGTTGTTATTCAGCCAAAGAAGACAGGAAAAACCCCTGCTATTTTTTTTCTGATTTCAAGTCTTCCCATTCTTTGGCGTGTAAATTGTTCCCTGCCTCACAGTGTCTGGGCGATTGTCCTTTCTCCATGTCTGGCTGCATCTCTGGCTGTTATGTAATCTGTGGCTGCAGCCTCCAGGGCTTTAATCTGCCTTGGCTAATGTGGATTATCTTGCTTTAACTCTGCTAGCCAACACTACAGTCTGACATCCACTCAAAAACCTACACTGACCAGATGCTGTCTAATTCCTCAGGGATGGATCGTTCATCGACGGTTATCAAAGAGGTCAGAGGGTATACACAGAAAACAACAAGAAGCACAAAAAAATAAGAGGGTAGACATAAAAAAATCCCAACTGATTGTAGAAAAAATAATAATAATAGTAAAATACTTTGTAGCGAATTGGTTAAATAATATTCTGCAAAAGTTTGATTTCTATAAGATGCATACAAAAATGACAATCTGGCTTTCTAGGAATAACATGAAGGCCCAAACTAAAGTTCTCCAGAGAGGAACAGTTCGACAAGCCATGCATGTGACATAAACACAGCATACCAGGAAAAGAAACTCATGATAACTGAGAAGCATGAAAGTAAAAGTGTGAAGTTTTGGGGATGTTTGCTGCGGCAGGACCTGGTCATATCACTGTCCACAGGATCTATAATGTATCCTGGTTTTTATCAGATCGAGAAAATGTAAGGTCATGTTTTAGGAAGAAAAAAGTCGAAACAGAAATGTACTCAGTTACATGACAATGACAAAATACACCCGCCAAGGATGGAAAGTTCAGATCCTGATTCAACACAGACGTCGTGGTAACTTAACGTCTTGGTTGATGGCAACAAAAAGGATCGCCAAAGTGCTCACTTTTTTACTCTGCCAGAAAAAGCATTTTTGGCGATCTTGTTGAATGACTAAAACATGGTTATATTGTTTTAGCTGCAAATGATGACATTTGTATGCAAGAAAGAAAATTGGAGGTTAGATGTAACATTTGAACAATTTCTTAATGAAAAAAAAAATATTAAGGGTGCAAATGATTTGATTAAACAACACAGTGGGGAATATTGTGAACCTTTAAAACAAACATTGACAGACAAACATTCCTGCCATTAACCATCACATCCAGCTGACTGACAGCTCACAGAAACAGCTTGGGAACGGATGGATGTTCTCTACGTGGAACTGAAAAATGGCCACCACATCAATTGCTTTTAAACCACATAAATAGGACAATTTAAACCTCAAGATAAAATCAACACTTTTTAACTGACCCCCTGAAACCAGACACTTATAATTGAATCAAAAACATATTAAGCATTGAGCAGCATGGCTGTGTGAAAAATACAGGTAGCCTCAGGGTGCTTTGGCCATAAAGTGGTTTTGGATCGATTGAACAAGGAAGCGGTTTACTGTACCTGCAGTGAGGCGTCCTCTCTCTTCATCGGAGTGCATTATAAAACACGAGGAGACAGCAGGGTCAGGTAAAGGAGATATGCATTTATATATCCTTTAAAGGGAAACAGTAGCACCACGGGTGGCTAACACACCAACACAGATACGACTCAAACCAGTTAACTCAATCACAGCATGCAGGTTTTCACTTCAACCGGAGTACTTCTATAACATGGAGTTACTTCAGCCGACATTACACAGCAGGGAGGACAGTGAGAATTTTAAAATCCCGCAGCTCTGATGGGGGCTTTTCATGTTCTAGTGCATTTAGTAGCTGCCATAAAAAGAGGTTTTAAAAGGAAACAAATCAATCCGGAGTCCCAGTTGAACATTTGATTGTTAGACGGCTTACATTTTTTTTAGATGTATTTACATGACACTGCAAAAAAAAAAAAAGCTAATAACGCAAACATTAACATTAAATCTTTACAAAAAACATTTTTTTTTTAATCTTATATCTACTTTCAGATTTTGTTAATAAGTGTTTAGTATGCTGGTCAGTGTGATTTTTAAAGCAACCAACTTAAATGAATAATTCTAACGTGCATTTTGCAACACATACCATTGTTGCATAAGTACTAATGCGTCACATCTTTGGGAACCTGCTGTCTCTAAACTATTTTCCAAGCAAGCTAAGGCTGTGTTACATTTTAACTCCCTCTCTTCTATGCTTATACATGCAATACAAAAAGAGGAACTAAAATAGCAGCATATTATGAATTTCTTTAATAGATATTAAAACTATCTCGAACTTTAGTGACCTGATATTAAAAATCTCAACTTCTTTTCCAATGTAATATAAATTGTTAATAATATTCCATCATTTATATTGTGACTAAAAATAAGGGCAGTCACTCTCTCCTATATTCCCAAGTAAAATAAGCATGTTTTCTAGCAGGCTGTAAATGGGTTTAGCTATGTAATTTAAGTCAAAAGGTTATCTACTCTCTAAGCTCTAGTCTAGGTCCCTTTTTACCTGTGCTGTCTAGCTGCATGTCCCAAGTAGTAGACATGGCCCAGCTGTCAGTCTGGCACCCTGATGTATGAGACCACTGCTCCTCCATCTGAGTCGAGGAGTAACCCCAGTCTGTTAGGTTTTCCCCATTTTGGACCAATGGGGCCAAATCCTCCCCATATGAGCTCTTTCGATTGGATTCCTCACCACCGGCACGGTGAAACTTATCCAAACCTGAGCACAGTTACAGGTGAGTACATTTGGAGTCTGATACAGATTTGTTTTTATCTAACCAACATGACAATCGGTCTAAGATTAAGTTAATATTCATTTAAATACTTTGCCTGCTGCAGTCTGACAGCTGATTGGTCAACCTCATGTGGGGACAGTTTGCTGAGTAAATTATGATTTTCCTATTCCTTAGGACTTTTTAATCTGTTAAACTATTAAAAAATGTAGTGCATTTCTTTGCCTTAGGAACAACGTGGCATTCGGTGCATACTGCAAGTTAGAGACGCATAATATAGCGTACTGTATGGCAGACAGTGAGCTTAATGTTTGTGCACTATGGGAGCCATGGTATTGCACTATTAGTGGTACTTAGACTTCTGTTTTGGAAGAAAAAGAAAAAAACAAGAGCAACCAATTGGTATAATTATGTTAGATACAAAGTTAAGGGTTCTCACATTCATTTCAGTGTGTTCCACAAAAGCAAGATAAGATCTGATCATTCAGATTTTAATAGAGGGACCCTGCTTTGGCTGCACCTGGACACCTTAGATCAACCTGGACTTGCAAAGACAAAAATGGATTATAAAAAACTGAATTTGTATTTCCTTGTAAACTTTGATAGTTTTTTTTAGATATATTTCGTAAAACGGTAGCAATTTAAGTGCTTTAAACTGTGATGGTTTACCTCAAGGTTATCTAGAAACCAAACGGGGGGTAAAATGGCTAAATTATAGTTTTTTAATGTTTGCAATCAGTTGGTTAAAAAAATAGAAAATTAATTTGCATGTGATGTGACAAAGCATGTCAGTTGAATATAGATGTTAAACCACGGCATTGGAATAATGGATAAAATAAAGAACAGGATATTTCCATAATTAATTTCTGTATTAACACTTATCCAGACCTAGAATCGATATAAAAAAAAAAGAAAATCATACTTTTCCAAATCTGTCAAGTCTGATAATAATCTACAAAACTGAATCAGACGGTAAGATGTGCTGTAAGGCAACTTTTTACCCAAAGCACAAAAAATTAGCAGAAGGAAAAGAATGTTTAAGAATATTTTTAAGAGCATCAGAAGAAACTGAAGACGACTAATGAACCAGGATGACGTTAACGTCAGCAGGTCGACTGGTCTCCATAGAACCTGTTGCCAACAGAGCTGGGCTCCTTCCAACCCAACATGCAGCGTAAAGGACAAGGCAGTAAATAAAAGACGTGGTGAGAAACTTTGCTTCCTACAAGTTCCAGAGAAAATTTTGGGACCTCTTGCCAAAAGGAAACTGCTTCTGAAATATCTAAAAAGGTGAAAATGATGGGCAACTAAAATCAATAATATTAATCTATACATGGTTCATTATGAGATTATCAGTCTGATAATATTGTGTATAAATACAATATAATAGTTAATTACACCCAGCCTTAAGACTAAAACTTATAAGATTATCTAAAAATATACTCTTTTAAAAGATAAAAACAAAAAATGATTAATGCTGTAGCTAAAATAAAATCTAACCCTTCAAAATTAGATTCATGTTGGTTTAATATTTTCATATTAAACATGATATTAAGTAAAGGTTTCAAGTAAAAACGCTTCATGTTGGTTTATTTAATCTTTCTTTCTATACTTTTCTACTACTGTATCTTAATCTTAATTGAGGTATTTGGACAATTGTGTATGTTTTGAATGGATAGTTACTGGTCCAGGCCTGTCAACTTCAAATACTTATAGATTGTCTATATGTATAAATATTTTTTGTATTTTTGAATATGTTAGGGGTCTCAACAGGCTCATCGGTAAAATGCACAAGGCTGAGGAAGGTGGACTTATTGTTGCTTCAGTTAATACAAAGTATTAACTAAGACCTCTCTAATCCCTCCACACAATAGTGCCTCATTAGGAGAAGTATTAACAGCTTGATCTTACCTAAAACAAAGTTAAGATGTTGTAAAGAACAACAGTGGTTAAGTAAAGAAACTATCAATTAAGATTCTCCCTGCTTGCACCAACATTTCCTGTTTTCTTTGAGGGTTGCTGATTTAGACTTAGGACAATTTAAGTTTCTTAGTCAAATTATAACAGCAGTAAATGTGCTGCATGTTCATTTATGGAGATGGCTTTGAATCCATCTAAAAGTGAAGTGATTACAAGCCCCAACTTTCTGGTCTTTCAAATCAAAAAAAGGAAAACGCTGGTGGCTGATTGCTTTATAGAACCAAACTGGAAGTGGGAGTTTAACCAAATATATATCTATATATCTATATATATATAAAAAAAAACAGAGAAAAAAAATGTAAGCATCACTGGTCAGATGCGATCAAGTGTTAAGTCAATTTTAGATTAATTCAATCCATGTTTTTTTTAAATGTGTCTCATTTGACACATTTAACGATAACTCACTTGAACAACCAATGGAAGAATAAAGATTCATTTTGAAAAAGCTTTTCTTAAATATTTATCTTTGCTTCCATTATATTTTTTCCCACTCAGTTCATTCTCAATAATTCTATCAAGTATTTAATAAATAAACACTAAATCATACAGGAGAAGGAATTTTAGGCATGCTGGGACCATGCTTTTTTATTGCTTCACAGTGATTCAGTGCAGATTTTGTTTGCTTCACTCAGAGAGTCAAGTCTTACCCAGCTCTCCTTCATGTGTTGCTGGGTCAACCCATTCCTCTCCTGGGCCCAAGCTGGCCCAGTCCAGCACTGCTTCACTCAGAACACTAGAGTACAACTCTGTAGCAGAGCAAGGTGGCAGATTAGGATTATTGGTAAATATATATATAATAAAGGGACTACATAAACAACAATATAATTTCAATCAATTCATCAAATCTTATGTGAAATCAAACTGTCCACACTGATTGCCAATCAATTCCACATGCTGTTGTGAAATTGGAATAGACAACAGCTGGGAAATATTGGGAATTAACAAGCCACACTTAATAGGGGGCCCTGTCACACCTTGATGATTTAGACCACCGTATTCCCGCCGTACAGAAAACCTGGCAAAAAACGCTGGCATACGTTGGATAAGTTATGGGTACGTTTTGTATAAGTTATGAGCACCCTGAAACACGTCGACATATGGCTCAAAATTTCCCGACATGTGCCAACGTATGCTCATACGCAGGTCATATGTTAAGGCCAATTTACGCTTCTGACGCATAGCCTCTGCAACTGTCAAATCTGTCTCTGTGCGCGACCAGGCCCCCTGAGGTGTGCAACTGTCATCGCACACCTAAAAAAAATCCTGACTAAGCGTCGGACTGTCGCAAACCCGCGCAGACCTTAGGCGGAAGTGCACAGACAAAAAGCAGCTGTGATTGGTCCTTGGTATGCCTTTCCGGCCGTCTGTGTGGTCGTCCTTCTCGATTCGGTGCCGGGGCGCGCCATTTTTAAAAACCGAGGAACAACTGCAATGGACAACTATGACAAAAGGTTAATCGAGGAGTTTCGCACTATTAAAAAACCTGTTCCTCTTCGATGTCTAGCAACTCTAGATCATTTCCGTGACCGCGATACCTTGCAGATGTGCCATTGTTTTTTTGGACGATAAACACTCCTGCCGGCGCCGCCGAAGTTCTCATGACCATCCGCCGAAGTTCTCGCGACTTCTCCAATAGGCCTCCCCTTGTGCTTTGGTGGGAAACTGCTGCGGGTCCCTAGAAATTCCACACAGATGGTGCAGAAGCATACCAAAACTAGACCCAAGCAACATTTGATGTGTGCGGTTGCAGAAGTCTAATCTGCACTTTACAGGTAAGTTATCTGATCATTGACATACGTTAAGTGTAAATTCCTCATAAGCTGTGGTGTCTAGCCTATCGAAAACTTATGAGTAACTTGTGCAAAATTTATGTGTAACTTATCAATAACTTATCTCCAATGCATATCAACGTATTTGATGTTTTCCAAACAAAAAGAGGGTTCCCAGGAGGAAAGACACTGGCTTGTGACACTTCATGGGCATCGCGCTGCTGTGCGTTACGCATAAGTTAAGCTGTCGTTGGACTTGCGCTCTGGACTCGTTATGAATACTTTATGTAAACACCCAAAATTGAAAAATATATAGAAAGTTCAGCCTATGCAAGCGTTTTAGAACATTCTTGAACGTCAGGCATACGTTGGCTAAATCTTCAAGGTGTGACAGAGGCTTAAATGAGTAGTTCTGCAGGTGGGGACCACACACCACTTCTCAGCACCTGCTTCCTGACTGATGTTTGGGTCACTTTTGAAGGTCGTAGGTTGTACACAGACTCTACGACCCACACACAAGTGGCTCAGGTAGTGCAGCTCAACCAGGATGGCACATCAATGAGAGCTGTGGTAAGAAGGTACTGTCAGCAGGCAGGACAGTACACCAGGAGATGTGAGAAGGCCGTAGGAGGGCAAGAATCCAGTAGCAGGACCGCTACCTCCGCCTTTCTGCAAGGATGAACAGGAGGAGCATCGCTAGGGCCACGCAAAATGTGTCTGACTTATATGTATTGAAGTCCCACAGGACCTTAGCTCTGGCCTTTTACACCCCCTTAGGAAGTGGGCTCCCATTTTGACCTGGGGGTCTCCAGTTTGTGTTCTGCACAGATGTTTCTTTACAGTATACCACCCACTTATTAATGACGTTCCGTTTATTCCTTTCCTGCCAGTATTTTACATACAATGATCAGTGCTTCTGTTTTGTCCTTCAGCCTGGACCTCTCTAAGCATTGGTAGGAGTTTGTCATATCAGCCACTTAAGGTATCTGTCAATAGTCCATCTTATGCAGGGTGTTTCCCTGCATGAGAATATATAGGTTTAATATTTTTCCTCTCCATCCTGTCAGGAGCAGTGAGGTCTGTTTCTCAGCAGGTTATCTGTGTTCTGCATCTTGCAAAAGTTTTACCTTCTTGAACTTGTCAAAGAGGATTTACCTGATTCTTGCATTTCTGTCTATTTTTTTTTAACTTCCTGAAGTCAGGGAACAAAAGTGGGTCATCAAAGTTTAGACTAAGTGACCTCTGGTTGCTGATAAAACCTCATTACGATACAGAAGGAAACAAGCCAGCAAAAAGCCAGTTTCACTCACAATCAGCTCCTCTACTTCCACATTTGACCAACGGACTGCAAAAGTGGTTTAGAAGGAAGTGGAATTTCACAGGAAACATTGAAAATAAAACCATCAGTCTATATTATATGCAATTTTGGAAAATCAAAAATCCTAATTAATGAAACTAAGAACACAGACCCAGTGTAATGATAAATTATGAATATTTAGCTCCTACTTTACTCTTCATTCTTCCAAGTGTCTCCCTATGCTTTGTGTTGGAGTCAGATATATTTGGTCACAAGACTCCAATTTGGCCCGATGGTCATGGGGCTAAACTAAATCAGAGGCCAGGGGGGCTGGTCATAAGGCTGGGGAAAATGAATTAAACCTGAACAGAGGTCAAGTCGAACTGTAAATGCTGTAAACAGCAACTCAGTCTTCTGAACAACAAGGGCTCAGTCCCCAGACTTTAATACACAACAAACAAGACGACCAGACTGCCCTAAAAGGTTAGATGGAATTTCTCATTTCAACAAGGTAATGCAAATCATTTTTGAACAATACCTGTCTTTTTTCCCCCACTCTGGCTCAAACTTTAGACTAAGAGCCTCCTTTGGTTTCCTGCTTGCTAAAACAACCACTCTTTTAATCCTGGAATGCAAAGGAATGCAATTACCTACCTGGATACACACACCTTTATCCCACTGAGTGTGTAACGACATATAAAGCTCCCTTTGATCGCTTATGTTTATTGAAGAACTAAAAATAAAATTCTAAACAAAATTAAAAGCAATACAACATAATCATCAGGGGGGGGGGTTTCTGCATGGGGGCTCAGAGGAAGCTAACTTGCAGGAAAGCAAGCAGATAATAATAATAAAAAAAAAAAGCTGAAAACACAGAAACAACAGATATCCTCTAAGCCAGGAAATAAAATCCACCAATAGCCTAATGGAGCTCAAACAAAGTCCAAATTATTTCCTGGGGACTCTGCCCATGCTTCTTAATCCAGCCTAAAACATAAATAGCACATAAAACTTAGTTTAGATTCCTACTGTAAGGTAAGCAAATTATCATTTTCTTATTTCTTTATATTTATTCTGTCATTATAGTGCTTCTCAGTTTCAGAGGTGACAACCTTTTCCTTGCAGGGTTTACAATCCAGTGCTGAGCAAGCTGTAGTATAAAGCTTTGAATACTATTACAAACATGGGGGAAGGGCGATGACCTGCGGAGGGTGAACCCGACTCACCTTGTTGTCTGGTTTCCATCATAGACGCTCAGGTGAAGTTTCCACGTAGCCTTCAGAGACAGACCGCACGCGCAGCTCCGCTTCTGAGACCAGAACCGACGAGGTGTCACGCGCCGTGCAAGCTTACAGGCGGAGCTTTGGTTACCGGCCAATGGGCTGCAGGTACGGCAAGACGTTTTATCACGTAGTGTATACGAGGCTCTATCCAGGGGCGGAGCTAAATGGGGGGCCTTTGGCCACCCCTGTGCCCACCTCTAATACAGACTATATTATATATTCAATATTCAAACCATTAAAATTTTTAATATATTCTCAATTACTTGACAACAAAACTCTATGGTTAATTATGCTAATCAATATACCAACATTAAAGATGATAAATACAGAATTAATGCTCTTTTCAGTAGATTTTTAGTTATATGGAGTAAAGAGAACATAATGTGTCTCTGCAAGTCATCTATGAGTCTTTGGTAAAATCAGATAAATAAGTATTTTAATAAAAACGTATTAAATAATAAATTCATATAGATATTAGTACATGTAAATATCAATTTTATGCCGAAGTATTATTGATAAAAGTAGGTTAGTAATGACAATGGAAAAGATTTTCGCCCCAGAACTCAAACCTGAAAGAATTTTATCCACTATACCTTTTATTTAGACACCATGGATGTTTAAATATATGCGTCTATTTGTAAGCAAAGGCTGTAGGAAAGTATAGATTGTCTTTATTTTGAAAATATCGATGTTGCGCTCGTTCATTTTCCTGTTGGAAGAGGAAAACCTGAGGTTCTGGTGCCGATCCACTTTTGGCCACCCCTCAGTGTACATTGAGCCTGGCCACCCTGATAAAAATGTTCAGGCTACGCCTCTGGCTCTATCAGGTACATGTCGGAGGCTCAAAACAATTACACTTGATGATCTTTAAATATTTTTTTCATGCAACATATTTAAGATTTGATCATACGAAGGGTTCCACTGTATTACTCTGAACATCAGAGTCGATTATTACTGTCTATAAAATACAGAGAATATCTATATCTTTAAAATATTTTGTACCCCCCCGGGTTATACCATGCTGTCTTATGTGTAGTTTCTTATATTTATCGTCTAGACTATATTTGTGGATTGGTAAAGTTCAGTTCTTCTTTTTTTGAACTACTATTTACTACTATTTTTATATTTTCCATGTTGTATACATTTGAGGATTATATTTAAAAGTGTGTGAATTAAAATACATTATAATGCATTTTGAGTTTCATATTTTGTTCCTCCTTAAAAATCAGCAATAAAATAATGTAAATGATCATGCTGCTTGAGGGGGTGAGTTATTTTTTGTGTGTGGAAATTTTAACCATTATATGCATAGGGAGAGATGCAATTCTAGGGATAACTCTCTTGGAACACTCAATGGTTTCTCATCAAATTAAGTGTTTTTTCCTATTTATAATTTACATTTTAAATGTCCTGAAAATTATTTTTCCTAAGACCATATTGCGCCTCTCCCCCTTTCGCTTACAGTGCTGTAACAAATACTAAACACAAAGCTCACACTAAACAAAATGTACATATGTACTATTTACTATACAATCCTAATTTTCTTTTATAAAATTTGTTATAGATCATAATTATATGCAGATTTAGCATAGATATTATGCCATCACAAAGCAACCTTTCCCGCCCCCCAAGCTTCTACATTTGTTTAGTTCTCTCCTCTTTACTCATGTATACAGCATTTTAAACATCAGATAGTTCAGATTGGTTGTGAGCTGCTTACTGGCATCTTTTAATGAGATGTTAGGAAAAGGCCAGACCGATTATGGAGTAACCAGGGTAGCTCCTCCTCAGGGACGTGCACAGATATACAGGTGCTGGTCATAAAATTAGAATATCATGAAAAAGTAGATTGATTTCAGTAATTCCATTTAAAAAGTGAAACTTGTATATTATATTCATACATTACATACAAACTCATATATTTCAGATGTTTATTTTGTTTAATTTTGATGATTACAAATGACAACAAATGAAAATCTCAAATTCATCATATCAGAAAATTAGAATATTACTGAAGACCAATAAAAACAAAGGATTTATAGAAATGTTGGCCAACTGAAAAGTATGAACATGAAAAGTATGAGCATGTACAGCACTCAGTATTTAGTTGGGCCTCCTTTGGCCTGTATTACTGCAGCAATGCGGCGTGGCATGGAGTCGATCAGTCTGTGGCACTGCTCAGGTGTTATGATAGCCCAGGTTGCTCTAATAGTGGCTTTTAGCTCTTCTGAATTGTTGGGTCTGGTGTATTGCATCTTCTTCTTCACAATACCCCATAGATTTTCTATGGGGTTAAGGTCAGGAGAGTTTGCTGGCCAATTAAGAACAGGGATACCATGGTCATTCAACCAGGTACTGGTAGCTTTGGCACTGTGTGCAGGTGCCAAGTCCTGTTGGAAAATGAAATCTGCATCTCCAAAAAGTTGGTCAGCTGCAGGAAGCATGAAGTGCTCTAAAACTTCCTGGTATGTGGCTGCGTTGACCCTGGACCTCAGAAAACACAATGGACCAACACCAGCAGATGACATGGCACCCCAAACCATCACTGACTGTGGAAACTTTACACTGGACTTCAAGCAACGTGGATGAAGTGCCTCTCTTCTTTTCCTCCAGACTCTGGGACCTTGATTTCCAAAGGAAATGCAAAATTTACTTTCATCAGAGAACATGACTTTGGACCACTCACCAGCAGTCCAGTCCTGTTTCTCTTTAGCCCAGGCAAGACGCTTCTGACGCTGTCTGTGGTTCAAGAGTGGCTTGACACAAGGAATGCGACAGCAGAAACCCATGTCTTTCATACGTCTGTGTGTGGTGGTTCTTGAAGCACTCACTCCAGCTGCAGTCCACTCTTTGTGAATCTCCCCCACATTTTTGAATGGGTTTTGTTTCACAATCCTCTCCAGGGTGCGGTTATCTCTCTTGCTTGTACACTTTTTTCGACCACATCTTTTCCTACCCTTCGCCTCTCTATTAATGTGCTTGGACACTGAGCTCTGTGAACAGCCAGCCTCTTTAGCGATGACCTTTTGTGTCTTGCCCTCCTTGTGCAAGGTGTCGATGGTCGTCTTTTGGACAACTGTCAAGTCAGCAGTCTTCCCCATGATTGTGTAGCCTATAGAACTAGACTGAAAGACCATTTAAAGGCTTTTGCAGGTGGTTTGAGTTAATTAGCTGATTAGAGTGTGGCACCAGGGGCCATCAATTTTGAACCTTTTCACAATATTCTAATTTTCTGATATGATGAATTTGAGATTTTCATTTGTTGTCATTTGTAATCATCAAAATTAAACAAAATAAACATCTGAAATATATGAGTTTGTATGTAATGTATGAATATAATATACAAGTTTCACTTTTTAAATGGAATTACTGAAATCAATCTACTTTTTCATGATATTCTAATTTTATGACCAGCACCTGTAGACCCGGTGGTGCTGGAGCACCTGCGCTTTTCACACTGAACCAAAGAAATGCCATAATGGTGATTTCTTTAAAAAAAACAACAACACTGTAGCTTTGATGTGTGGCCCATTTCTGGATTTAAAAACTTTTACAAAAGCCGCTAACTTTTATACTTTTGCATGACAAACCCCCCTCTCACCCCCCCCCCCCCCCATCAAAACTGAATGGTTTAAAATTGGTAATTATTTTATAGACAATAATGTTTCGTTATACTGTGTTCTGTTGTTACCAATCTTATCTGAAAACCAACCTGTAGAGTGTTCAATATTATGAAAGACATTTATCAAACAGAATATGGCTAATCATTTGAAATAGCCGAGCGGTGCAATGCGCTGCACAAATTCCCCTTTTTTTCTACTTGAGCACCTGCCCCCCAATATGTCTGTGGACAGCGCTGCTCCTCCTCCACATGTTTCTGCACATTCCTTCTCAGCTTGGTTACAACAGTTTACAGGTTTACTGTTCCAAAGTAAATGTTTGTATTAAAACATATAAGATGCCAGCTATCGTGAACCTCTGCACAAATATTTTGGAAATCACATAAGAACTGGAGGCTTTTTTAAAGTCAAACAGATTAAATTGCAATTCAGTCTTCTACCAACCTCATGGTAGATATGTAAAATATGACAGTCTGTGAGCGGATATTCAATTTCAAATATCCATAAAATATTGACAGAAACTATGTTCCTGTTGGTAGTTAGAGTTTAGATGGTCAGACTGTATGGAATGTACATGTCTTGGATTATACAAGTGCATTTTCATGTTCTTGCTGTTGTTTCCTACAAAATATATATTCAGAGTCATGAAACTATTTGAAAATAACCATAAAATTCCATTTAAATAACAATATTTAAAATATCTTTTTCCAATATTAACAAAAAAATATATATATATAAAAAAAGAGCCTACTTCAATTATATACAGCGATAAACTGCCATAAATTAGTAATTAACTGATCAGCAGCACACTGGGGAAAAAACATCAGCAGCTAATAACATTATGACCACTCACCACAAAATGGGTTCTCTCTTGGAGAAAATGTGGAAAATCCCAGATTTGGAATTCAGTCAGTTGTACTTAGACTTATGGAAACTATTTAAACAATTCTGCAGGCTAAACAATTTGTGATAAAATGAAAAAAATGTGACCCATGTTTTCCTACTATGGCACAATTGTGACCTCTAGTGACAAAGAAGTGTTATCACAACTCAGACTGATGAATGAGATAGTAAGGCTTTTTTAACAGTTGGTAAATCAGGGTAAAAAGAAAAACACCTCCACATTTTTGGCATTTGGTTTATTGTCCATCAAATTCGTAGATAAAATAGTGTCTGTGCCTTTGCTAAGATAGCAACAGTAATATCAGCAGATATCTCTGACAGTGGCAGCATTTCGGTTAAAACGGTTTGGTTTGTTGAACATTTCCTTGTAAAGAGATACTTGAAATAAAAGTGACTATATAAATCTATATATATATAGATAGTATACCATCCTGAGGTTACCGATAAATCCACCTTTACTGGTTTAGCAGTGACGACTTGTAAGGTCTCGCTTCCCAAATGCAGACATTTAATTAGCTAAAGGCGACACAACTTCCTACACATTTCCTCCTTCACAGGAGATCTAATGTTTTAGGCAGGGCTCAAAGTGCAACACATTATTATTCTTTTTCCCCCAAGTGAAGAAAAGCATGAGCCATAAATAAAGTGACCGTTAGACGTGCAAATTTACAGGCAGGTTTTGGATGCAGCCTACACCCTGGCTGTGGTTTGGGGATGTCAAACATATACTTATTGCCTTTTGTTTAGTAAACAGTCAGCAACAAGATCCGAAATGTATTTACCATTTGCTTCATTTAGTTTTATAAGATTTTCATGTATGATTATTTGCATTTTAATTTTGCCGTTGTAATAAATATATAATAAGGCCAGACTGTGATACATTCTCTTTAAAAACACAAGTTTATAATCTGATCTACAGCCATGGTGATGGCACCATTTACGCAACATGTCTTAATGGGAAAATATATATTTACATCTAAGCTGACAGCTAATATGGCCCTAATAAATTTGCATCAACAACAACAAAACAAAGAAAAACTTGATCATAAAATACAATTTCAGTCAGGGAAAAATAATGTCTTCAAAATTCAAGTTCATTTAAAGTTCTTTATCTGGCGACAGGCTAGATTAGCACAGTTGTAATTTCAGTGATGAGAAAGCCTACCTGCAGTGAGTTGCAAAAATCTTCATACTTATTAAAGTTTTTCACATTTGTTTGTGTTACGATATAAATTTATGCATTTCATTATCTAAAAAGACCAACAAAGACTTTTGAAATTAAGATAATTATTCAAATTCAACAAAAGAGAAAACTGAAGCATGTTTTGCTTTGTATTAAACCCTCTTTGATCTAATAACAGTAAAACAACCCTCGTGCAATTATTTGCCATTGTTATCAACTAGAAATAAAAAATGTATGTATGCCCAAAAAGGAACACAGCACATCAACCTGGACAAACAGTCCCTACATTGAAACACGGTGGTGTTAGCATCATGCTGCTGGGCCAGATTTAACCCTCACAGACTGAGGTTCACCTATCTTGCAAAAACAAATTGGGCAAAAATCTTCAGTATAGTTATGCAAGCAGCTAGAAAGATGAACCAAAAGACTTGCAGCTGTTGAAAGATGGTTGCACAAAGAATTGACTCATGGGAGCCAAATACAAATGGATGCCACGCTTTAACTTTCCCATTACTTCAAGATTACATGCTAGTTTTTGTTGGTCTTTATATGAATTCCCAACAGACCACATTGTAGTTTGTGTCTGCTGGGTGAAACATTTTGAAATGAGTATTTTTGCAAAGCACTGCAAATGAAAACCCTCTGGTAAAATGGCACAAAATAATAGTAAAAAAAAAAAAAATGTTCTGACATTGCGTAAAGAATGTAGGGAATGACAATAATCTCTGTCTAATTGTGGCAATTTAAACTCACACGTTCTTTATAAACAAAAACTTTAAAAGAAAAAAAACAGCTGTTAATTAACAGTGCAGAAGTAGGAGAACAGTATGAATAAAACACGTAAAAGCATTTCATTTCTCATTTAACCTTAGACGTACAGTTTTCAAGCCCTGATATTTATCACTCTGCTTTTCACCCATGCATATCATCCCTCTGACCCCTTTAAAGGGTTCATAATCCAGCTGAGTCAGGCTGGGAAACAGAGTCGAGGTTGGCAACACTAAAACGCCTCTGATCTCCTTTTGAAGCAGCTGTGCACTTTGCTTCCTGGAATTCAATTTGTTTAGTGAGGCAGCCTACCAGGAAGCATTTCGAATCTGCTCTACTGTTCAGCAATTTCTTTGGCCAATGTACAGGCTGGGCTCTGGGTCCAGTGAACACAAAACAAACTTCCTGAGAGGATTCAACCCAGACTTACATAGGACTGCTTGGTCCAACTAAAAGCAGTGTGAAAGGATGCATAATATCAGTGTATTTAGTGAACTCTCTCATTACAGTGTAACTTTTTATGACACCTATTAACACTCAGATGTAGAAAATGGGTCATATTCCTGGGATTAAGCTCAACTAAAACATTTTGCATTGCTGAAATCTTAGAAAAGCATAAAGATAAATCTCCTTAATTGTTGAATGAAGGTCCAGTGCTGCAACTTTTACAGATTTACAGATGCAAAAAACAAAATTCAAACCATCTTTTTCCAGCTTCAATGAGGGCATTTTTTAAAACTCTATTTAAGAGAGCAAGAAGAAAAAAACAACAGATCAATGTAAGTTGGTGTAAGTGACTTGATGAATGTTCTGTTTTTGCATATCTAAAGCCCAGGAGCATGATAAGCCATTATCCATATATCAATCTGATAAAATTTAATTCTTTTATATACTATGTATATATATGTAAATTCTTTGCAGAGCTCCAGGCTTTACATTCATGCCTCAGTGTTGAGGAAACTGACCCAAGTTCATAAAGAGAAATAGTCCTCCTGCATAACTTCTTGTAACGTATAAAAATCTGATAACCTCTAGAATAACAAATCTATATAAAACCCTGTTGAACTCATTGGTAAAGCACTGCCCAGACTACATAATATAAATAAAAAATAGTATTGTCTTTAATCCTTCAAAGTACTTTTTTACCATATTTAATCTCACTATGCAATCTTTAGTTTTCTTCCCTAGGTGGAATACTGCACCCTGCCAAAGTGTTCACAACTTCTCAAACCTTCTCACATTTTGTCATGTTATAATTGCAAATCTTTGGCTTACATACATAATATGTCTGGAGAAAAACTACCACTGCATATCCCCCTGAACATGCCATCCTTTTGGATAAACTTTAGCGGGGGACAGGGGGTTGGTGAGGCAAGATGAGAGGATGGATGGAGCTGCTACGGTGGAATCCTGGGAGGAATGAGATCCGACTGTCCTGCAGGGTAATGACTCAGCCAGAGCTACAAAGGAAGGCTTTAAATGAAGCCTATTTATGCAAACCTGAGGTAATCCTTTTTTACAGACGCTCTCAATACAATCTGATTGTAAGGGTGATGAGGGGAAATAACCTTAAATTGTTTCCTTTGCTAATCTTTGGATTTTTAGCATGACAAAATGTGAAAAGGTTCATGGAGTGTGAATATTACTTCAGAGCATCAATTATGCTAAATACTAAAAGATTTTTAAAAAACAACAAAGCGACCAGATCAACTGTATGTTGCTCCACATTCAGCATTTTGTTTTGCAATAGCTACCTTTTCTTTTTGGCTTTTGATGAGAGGGTAAGCAGGCAGAGCAAAGATGAGGTCTGGATGTGGAGCCGAATAGCAGGGGTGAAAAGACAGGGAGCCAGGACACAAAACAGCAGGAGGGACGTCGATGTCGCGGTCAGAACTTTAAATATTTAAGGTCCCGGTTCGTCTCATGAAACACTTCTTTGACCATATTTTCCTCGGTATTTGAGTCAGATTTCAGTGGGAAATTTCCACTTTTGAACAGATTAAACTCTGGTTGATTCATTTCCCTATCATGGCTCCTTTCTTGTGCTCCCCAACAGCTCTGCTCAGACCTTTTCATACAGTCATGCCTGTCATAAATATCTATTTTCATTTTGGGCTTTTAATAACAGATCTGAATCATTATTTTACCAGTGTGAAAACTCACCATAGAGTGCAGCTCAGAGCCATCTCAGAACTCTAACATTTATTGTCCTGCTGGGGTTTTGTCCCAGATAATGATCCCTTTGAAATACACAACTCTGTCCAAATATCACCCACATTTTGGTGGATCTTTAAATCTACACCAGTAGGTGCAAAACAGCCCCATAGCATCATACTGCCACCATCATGCTAACAGCTTGGAGGAAATTACTCCTCTAAAGACAATTTTTATTATTGGGGCCAAAAGGCTCAATCTTTGACCACAAAAACCTTTCTTCTAATGATATTTGGCTAATGTTTTTGAAAGGCAGGAAAATAAATCATACCCAAAGCTGGGTGGTAGAGACATCTTATCTTAAAAGCATTCCATTTTTTTAAAAAAAGCCCAGAATTAGTTTGGCATTTATTTCCATGAAGAGTTTATGGATAGTTTGTTCATCCAACTCTCCTAAAGCTTCCTTCAACCATCTAGCTTCAACTGAAATGCTCTCAAAACTGGATCTTTTGCTTTAGATTTCTTCTTTTACGGATTAAATTTAGGTAAAAGAAATAATTAATCTGATGAAATGTTCAGAGAGTGTGCTATAATCTGACCGTAACTCATTCTTCACTGTGTGGCAATGGTGTTAGAGAGAGACGTCACCTCAAAGTACATTTCGAATAGGTTTGGGTTGCTCTTCTCTTGATATCCAGCCTCCGTGCTTTGACAGCAGTCCCATGCGAATTTAAATAAACTAGATGGGTTGATGTGCAATTATCAAGGCCTCACTCTGCTAACAGAAAGTACCACTCAAACAGCCAATGCTTATTTTATAAAGTCTCCTCAATAAGAGTTTTCTGGGGTCTCAGGCTGGCGTGTCCGTCCCTGAGGAGATGGGTGTCACCTTTATTGGGCTAGGTGTACGGATAGTTAGATCCACCGTCCGGAGCCCCGGGTTAGCTGCTGTTTCTTCCTCCTTTTGCAAACATAGTAGACGGGGAAAACAAACAAACCTAGACAGAAAGGATGAAATGGATGCAATTATTTAGTTTTAAAGTAAAAAAAAGCCTCAGAAATGGCCAAAAAGAAACATTTTTGTTTACATAGAGTTTGCTTTCATTTTTAATATCAAATAAAAAAAAAGAAGCAGTTTGTAAATTATGATTCTATTTGTTAAGGGAAAAAGACTATCTGAGCCAACCAGGCCCCATGCGCACTGGAGCGGTTTTAGACATGAACAACCATGTTACTGCACCTTAACGGAATTCAGGCTTGCAGTATGACTAGACAACTTCAAAAGCCTTATTTTTATTTTTTATGCTGAGCTATTTTATAAAAGTAGGCTGTACATTAGATCAGTGTCCTCCTGCGTGACCTCAGGGAGACAATCTCCTTCACAGCCTTTGCATTTGCACCATTCCACCACCATGTTTGATCTTTTCTGCTTTACGCCAGATTCTATGAGATTTTTGTATCAGCGATCAATACAGAATATTTTCCCCAAAGGTATTGTGGAATCATCATCAGATGTTTTCAGTAAATGCAGTGGTTTTTGCATTAGAAACCTTCCATGGAGGACAATTTTCCCACTTTTAATGAGAAGTGAAGCCTGCAGAGCTTTAGATCTCATTCTGGGTTTTCCTGTTAGATCCTGGATGAGTTAATGCGTTCTGTGAGTAAATCTTAATGGTCAGCCGCTCCTGAAAAAGTTAATTGTTTTCACATTTCCTCCATTTGTGGACAAAGCTTTCAGTGTTGATCATCAGATAAGACAATTATTTCATTGATTAGTTCAAAAAGCAAGAATAAAGCTGTGTGTGGATTTGTATGCATTTCAAGATTACTTACTACTTTTTACTTTTTGTTGATGTTTCAATGAAGTGACAAGGATTTAATCTGATTTTTCCACATTCGAGCTTAATCTGGTCAAGAAAAATACATTGAGCCAAGAAAAAGAAAGATAGCGGCACAAAGTGGATTCTAACAAAGCGAATGTAAATCTTCCATCCCGGCATATTAGTGTTCAGAAGATCATCCGTCAGATTTACCAACACAGGAAAAAGATTAACAGTAATCACATTCAGCTGAAGCATCAATAGCTCCCAGTGCAACCCGATGAATGACTCAGCATTACTGAGTGTCTCCAGACGGATGATGATGCTCTAGATGTGATTCAGCAAAATAATCATCAGAGGTGTGGTTTGAATCCATGACTTCAGAGCAGCTGCTTTGCTATGCTGAGAGAAACCTCCAAGTTTCCATGACTCAGGTGAGGTATTTCGAGGTTAAGTGTTTGGCGTGTGCGTGTGAGTTTGCGTGTGCAGCTGTGTTACCTATCACCAAAGCGAGAGCTCCGAGCACTATCACCAGCAGGAGGACCAACGGAGCTATCAGCACTTTGGTGGCTGCAGAGAGAGAAGTAAAAACAGGGGAAGTAGGATGGTTACTGTAACAAGCAACGATCACCACAGCCTGCAAAATAAAGCGCCTCATTAAATGCAGATGGAGAGCTGCAATGTGTAAACAACTCTCACTGGGCTAAAACTTGCTCCTATATGCTGAGATAACGAAGCCTCTATCAGCGCTTATTCGTAGAAATGTACATAAATACATCTCCTCTACTCTGATAAAATCTAGTGCGATCCATTACTTCTAAAGTCACCAATGGCAGTGGGAAGAAAAAGGCTTCCGTTCGTGTAAAGTGCCATGTATGGCTGAAAACTAATACCCTGAATGCATCATCCTCTAGGAGATACTAGGTTATGGTAGCACCATGGTGTTAGTCTATAAATCTCTGAATGGCTTAGCACCTAAATACATCACAGACTTGCTATCAGTGTATCAACCCTCCAGACCACTCAGGTCTTCTGGCTCCAGCCTGCTCTGCATACCTAGAACCAGAACTAAACATGGAGAAGCAGCATTTAGTTCCTATGCTCCACTTATCTGGAACAAACTTCCAGAAAACTGTAAAAGTGCGGAAAGCCTGAGTTCCTTTAAATCAAGACTAAAAACACATTTGTTTAGGATTAGTTCAACTTTTTTATTTTCTAACATTCATTCAAGTTTTATGGTTTAATGAAAGTTTAATTCAGATATAAGTATAAACAGCCGTATTGCTACTGCTGATCAGGCAAATAATCCTTTGCAACATTCAAGAGTGATTGCTGTGAAAAGGACAAAAAGTGAATTTGAAGCGGGGATCCTGTTTTCGCATGGATCAGGAAAGTACCACTTAAAGATCTATTTAAATAGGTTGGCTATAGCTATCATATAGTTAGGTGTGAAAACGTGATGCAAACTTGAGATATGAAACTAATTAAAAAGGCTTGCTTAATCTAAACTGTTAGGAAACTGAGGCGATTGTCATTGTTAATCCAGATACGCTGGGAAAACGTCACGAACCAACATGTGAAGATATTATCCTAATGATTTAAGAGCACGCTCTTGTTTGCAGTTGACTCAGGCTGACATAAAAGTGAGAGCGTTGGCCCTCAGTTCTGCTGAGTTGGTAACAAACATGACAATAAAAGAAAAAAAACACACATGCTGCTGCTGCCACCTTTTGTTTTTGATGCGACACACGGCCATTATCTCTGCCTACAGTGCCCTCTGCGTTTATTGGCATCCCTGGTGAAAAGCTGTAAAACACCTAAGATTCATAAATAAATCAGTTGTTAACTCACACTCAACGTTTAGAGGAAGTATCTTTAATTTCTGTAACTCTACTCTATTAAGGAAATGCTTTTTTTCCCTCAAAACAAATGGTGCCAAGTCCTGCCTCCTTAGAGATAAATGTAAACAAAGCGATGTTTAAACATATACTGCAAAGATTTGAGTTTCTAAGATATTTTAAAACCCAATAATACTATGTGGTAAGGATACATATTAAAGAAAATACAACATAAATTTGGATTTTATTTAAACTATGGACCATGGGGAGGAACTGATTGCTCAAATGGTGATTAAAACAGGCTTTTTTATTTCAGCTTGATCCGTTCCAACAAAGACATGCCATTTAACGTTTGGCAGCAGGTGAAAAAATACTTGAACCCTCTTAAATGTCACTTTGAATTTCTACATGGTAACAGCTTCTGTACAACAAGAAACCAGGGATTTGCATACACTATAAAAAATCCCCCCTAAAATAAAACTCTTGCTGGGATTGTTACTTTAATGGTTGATTTTCACTGTTAATAAGCGAGCAAAACTTCTTTACATCATTAAAATTAAATCACTGTAGGCTTCATAGTAATTAGATCGTTGGTTTGACTATAAGCAACAGACATTCAGGCCTCACTATTTATTGCAAAAACACAATGCATATGTTTTCCTAAACACCTTTTTGTTGTTTTGCAATGAATGCTAAAACATCATGATAATCCTTCAAATCTATAGAGGACATCCCTGTTAGAAATAGATATTGGAACCTAACTTAAGCTCTAACGGTTAAAGTGTATTTGATAATACTTAAAACTTGTATATATACTGATGCATACATTTATTTCAAATTTAAACCTGACTCACCTACTCCAGTTCTCTCAAGAGAAAATTCATGCAGCTATTGTGAGAAACTTGTGGGAGAAAACCTAAAATCTTTCACTCAAATTAAACAATTTAAAAGGCAATTCTACAAAATAAAGAAAAAAAATGGGGACACTTATGTTAACTTGGAAAATAAAAAAATAATTCTGTTACTTAGCAAACAGAAATTATTTTAGCAGTCCTTACCGGCTTTAAACATGAAAAGGTTTATCTAGATTTTATGTCAGAGAAGAAGAAAAAGTGCATTGTAAATGCTGACGCCCCTACTGGTGACCTTTCACCCGCCTAAAGTAGCATAGATATATTATTTTCTCTATATTCACAAATACAACGCAACTAATTATATTTATTTCAAGTGAATTTATTTAATTGTCCTTTAATCACTTCACTTATTATTAAATGTTATATTTAATCACTCTTATTTAGATTTTTGACGGGATATTCATACATTTAATACCTTAAAAATATATTCAATAATTCAAGAATGCTTTAAATTAATGAATAGTATATTATAGATTTCATGGGGAATTAACAGTTATTAAATTTTAAGAGAAGATCTAAATAAATAAAAATCTTGTTTTGCAGGATTTAGAGCAAAGTAGCAACATTTGATCACGGACAATTTGCTGTGATACAACTGAGAATAATTAAGAGTAAACTAACCATCTTAACGTCTGTCTGTTAAAATAAAGCCACAAAAGACACTTCAACTGTTTAAATGGGTCACTTCAAAATAGTTTCTGTTAAAATACAACTAAGCCTGCCTGACATGAGGAACAAAGAGCTTAGAAGGCAAAACGTACCACAGACGGAGCCTCTGATGAGCCTTCTGAGGTGTGGCTTATCAGGGAGGTAACGATACTTGCAGCCAAACACGCTGAGATTGGAAGTGTGGTCCCCGAAGAATCTGTGACAAGATTGTGAAACGTGGAGTCAGAGAGAATAAAGAGAAAACGGAGCAGCCAGAGCGAGAAGCAGAGCAGAGACAAACCTAAGGTGGCGGTAACGCTCTCCACAGCGGTAACAGAAGTTGGTGTTACACTGGGCACAAGTCATGTGATCGCACCCCTCCGTACGCTGAATGTGGATCTAAAGAGAGAAGAAACAAAAAAAAAACTTTTCTATATCGCTCCCTCCCTTCATAAATCAGCTCCGCACTGACGCAGTGACAAGACTCAGCCTGCACTGCAACATCAGCTCAAAGGCCTCCAATCCCAGGCGCTGCCCTCTTTACCTTGCAACGTGGACACTTCTGTGCATTCCTCTGCCCGTGCTCAATGACACTCGCCCAAGTTCGCAGCAGCTTGTCCCCCTTCCTGTAGTCGCGACACTTGAGTCCATCATGCCAGGGCGCATGACACTTAAAGCACCACACAAACTGGCAGCTGCTGCACTGGATCTACAACAACAAAATAGGGAAATTTGCCATTTTAGAGACAACTAAATGTTGTAAAAGGGATAAAACTATATATTATTAACTATATATATAATATTAGTGATGGATCAATTAAGGCTCCACAACGCAGGACACACTTATCATCACAATAATACAGTTTGCAATATGCATATTCCAAAGATCTGCTTAGACTACCAGAACCATGAGCTTCTTTATTTAATTATCACACATTCAAGTTCTCCAATGCTAGACATTTGATAGCACTTGTTGCAGAAAAATCAATAAAACGCAAAGAGGTAGTAAGGAGTTCAAAAACTAAATTCTTATTGCTTTACTTCCCCTGAAATTATAAAAATCAAAAGGAGGATGTTAAATATTAAAGACAAAAGAAGTAAAACAAAACTCTGTGGAACAATAAGTAGCCTAAATATTGTGAAACAAGCTTGTTTTCCTTGTCTATCAAGGGGATTTTGTGTGCATAATTTGCAAGAAGGGAATTTATTTGCGTCTTTTCCAGAATCCATCTCATAACAATAATATGGTAGAGAAAAAATAAGTGATCTTTAAGAATCCGCCTGATTGAGTTTCACTTTTAATTATTTATAGACAATTTAAAATATTCTTCTATAGAAAAAATAAAATATAAATAATATTCTTTTATAAAACAGCATCTTTAAGAAACATCCATAATCCTACAGAGTTTCTTGGACAAGGGAAGGGATTTAGTCTGATTCAATCGTTCTGAATATCATTTGCAGTTCCTCTTAAAACTAATCAGAGCACAACAGCCCCACACTTGTACATTGACATCTATATTGTGGCTAAATTACTTTTTATACCACAGTTCCCAGTAAAAATGTATTGTAAACACCAGAAATAGCTTTGAAGGTCGGTAAAGTTAGCATACTTCATTGACCCCAACCACATATTTAAGCAGATATCTTTAGCAGGATGTTTCACTTTTTAACCGGCGCCTAAAGTCACTCAGACAGAAGGCAGAGTCTTTTATTTGTTTTCAGCCAGGTTCTACTCAGCAGGAAGCATGATTAAAACGACACACATAAAACTAAATTTATTTTGAGAAATCCAAAAACCTCCAGCATGTATGATTATCAAAGCTCCAATGACAGAACTCATCATGTCCACATTCTCTCCGTCATGTAAACTTTATTTCCAGACCTTTTCTGCAGCCTTCGGCTGAATCTTCATCTACAGAGAACTCACTAGGGTGTTGTAATCAAGACCCACTTGTTCTAGAAGAACATTTCCAGGATTAAAGGACTAATGTCTCAGCATGATCTGGAAAAACTGATCCATGCGTTTATTTTTAGTCAAATCGATTACTGCAACTGTGTTTTCACAGGTCTGCCTAAAAAGTGGATCAGACAGCTGCAGCTGATCCAGAACGCTGCTGCCCGTGTCCTCACTAAGACTAAGAAAGTAGAGCACATCACCCCAGTTCTAAAGTCCTTACACTGGCTACCTGTATCTCAGAGAATAGACTTTAAAATACGTCTGTTAGTCTATAAATCTCTGAATGGCTTAGCACCTAAATACATCACAGACTTGCTATCAGTGTATTGACCCGCCAGACCACTCAGGTCTTCTGGCTCCAGCCTGCTCTGCATACCTAGAACCAGAACTAAACACGGAGAAGCAGCATTTAGTTCCTATGCTCCAATTATCTGGAACAAACTTCCAGAAAACTGTAAAAGTGCGGAAAGCCTGAGTTCCTTTAAATCAGGCATCCCCAACCTCGGTCCTTGAGGGCCGCTGTCGTTCAGGTTTTAGAGGTTTCCCTGCTTTAGCACAGCTGATTATAATGATTGCAGTAGATCAAAAGCCTGTTAATCAGCTTTCAATTAAAATAAGTTGTGCTGGAGCAAGGAAACCTCTAAAACCTGCAGGACAGCGGCCCTCGAGGACCGAGGTTGGGGATGCCTGCTTTAAATCAAGACTAAAAACACATTTGTTCAGGATTGCCTTCGACTGTTTTAGTTAAACAGTTCGACAGAAACATCATTAGTTCAACTTTTTTTTGTCTTTCTTTTGTATTTTCTTTAGTCCAACTGCTTTTAATGTTCTTTCTTGTTTCTGCATCTTTTTTTTTTTATTTATTTATTTTTTTTTCTTCTACATGTTCTGATTGTGTTTTATTTTCCTATATTTTAATAGTGTAAAGCACTTTGCATTGTCTTTGTACTGAATTGTGCTATGCAAATAAATTTGCCTTGCCTTGCCTTGCCTAGACCAAATCCAGAACTGGTTAGGACTTCTGCATTCCCTCCTGTCTTAAATGCATTGGGATCTTCAAAAGAGAGATGTCTTTGTTTTGCTACTGGATGTGTTACTTTAACAGCCCAATCCCATAAGCAGAAGATATAATGTGGATGGATTGAAAGCATAAGCAACCGTATATTAGATTCCCCCGATATCCTGAGATCTGATAACGAGCGGTCAGTGGAGGCAGGTGGAAATGCCTGCTAACTGCCAATTAGACCGGAACACACAGACCTGTCGCCATATGTTAGTGTCTAATGTGAGCTGAAATACAATCAAAGTCACTCGGGTCATTTCCTGGTGGAGGTTAGAAATGACAAACTAAAGTATGCACCACAGCCTGTGAGCAGCATCATCCTTTCTGCCATTAAAACCTCCAAAGGTGAGCGTGAGCTCTTACCTTGTACTTGTGCTCTGAGCGGTTTGTGCTGTGCGCCTTCAGGGAGGTGAAGTGGCTGCACTGGGGACAGGGCTTCGTGCTTGAGTCCAGCTGACTTAGCTCCAAAAAGTAGCGGTACTTTGCCACCTCTTCATTGCTCAAGTGAGAAATCATTAATCCCTCCTCCAGGCTGCCGGCACACTCCGTGATTGGACAGCTGATGAGAACTTTTCCCTCTCTCACCTGAAAGAAAACACATTTTTTTTGGAAGAGGAACACATCCAGGCTTCTCCTGCAGCATCAGCTGTTCAGTCGTGAATAAACGTGAAGGTTTGATACATGTGGATCTACATATTAAGTCAATTCACACAACTGATGAATGATTAACCTCAAAATGGAAGGAGCGCATAGCAGATTAGTAGAGGCTAATGTTTGTCAAAGAACTGACAGGTGTGCACTAATAGTGATATTACCTTTTCTACAAAGCCTGCTGGCCCTGAAGTTTGACCTAAAATTGCTATTTAATAAACAAAAAGTGGAGCATTTTAAATAATCAAGTTTAAAGTTGCTGTATATTCAATAAAAAAAAATAATTTTAATACCAAAAGGGAAATTCCATTTTGCAGTAACTCATGTTTTATTTTTTGGGTTTGAATACCATTTTGAAAACATTTGAAAACCATTTTCCAGTCTTGCAGAGAATTCCAACCAATCGCACTGTTTCACGTTTATTACATGTGATACACTGTGAACACAAATTGGAAAAAACATTTTTAATTCCACAAAAAATAAAAGATGCCTTATTTCCCTTATTTTGGCTTTACTGAACCTCTATCAAGATTCTTCTAAAGAAACTCTAATGCAACAAATCCCCTAAAGTCAGCTTATTGTTCAATAGAATCCACCTGTGTGTAATTAAAGCTCAGAGTAAAGGCCTCGGTTCTGTGAAACCTCTTTAGAGACTTCTGATCAATAAAAACGTCAAGAGTTAAAGCACCACTGCAAACTAGGGCTGAAAGATTTATTTTAAACCAATATTGCAACTCTGATTTGATTGTAGGTAGATGTTCCACTCGAGGGGGTCAGTTCCAGAGTCTATTGTTTCAGGACTTTGCTGTAACCTTTGTGTGAAAATTTTTTAATTCTACTGCCATGGCTGGATCTGTGTGAGAGCTTCTACTGTGTCTGCATTTCTATGTGGTGGCAAACCCACTTTAAGCGTACTAACACCACCCAAAGGGCTGGAGGGAAAAAATGGCATACTCAATTTAACTTGTTCCTGCTATATGTAATCAGTGGTGGCTGGTGGAGTTTTCTCAAAAGGGGGGGGATATAAATTCAAAATAGAGGTGTACCAAAAAACCAATCAAACGTATACTAAGTTACCACACCAGTATATTTATATGAATGCCAACAACAACAAAAAATGATAAAAACAAAATATCATTTCATGTAAAGGTTTACTTTTTGTACATAAATCTTGCCGTTTTGAGGCTTTGAGAAGGCAAAGCTCCGTGTTTTGCATGGTCCAATATTGTGTCACAAACATAAAAAAAAAATAATGTACCAGTTTGATAATGGAGAAGCTATTAGTCATCCTTACATTTTTTTAATTAATAAAGACTATTTAGTTTTTAAGAATGTGTTTATTTAAGAGCAACTATGCAAATTAACAAACACAGAGAAAAAGTACACTATATTATTTTCCATTTTATTTGTGAAACCTAGATTGTTCCTGCTTCTTTGCCTTTTCTAAAAAGTGCTTTAAATCTGTCATACCTGTCTTCCTTGCTGGGTCAGATCCTGACATTTGAAAAAGGGTAAGTAGAATAAAGCGTTAGCCTTGCTAAATGCAGTTAGTCAAGCCTTGTAACTAAACCAGGTCCTGGAAAAAGACAGAGTGTACCGTCTGTCTTTGGACTGCTGGTTAACTTTGATGTTCTGATCAGGTCCAAACGCTTTTAACTCCTGCTTATCTTGTTAAGTTCGCTTTTTTTTTCTCTAGTGATAAGTTTTACTTTTAACGAGAGTCTATAGCCAAAGATTTTTGCGACCCAGGGTGGAAATAGGTTGCCAATCCGACGACAAACGGAACAGCTTTACTCGTCATTAAAATGTTAATATTTATCTTTTACTTATAAAAAAAAGATATAATATATTTTTAAATATTTTATCTTATAATTTAATTTTTATTTGTTTTTTATGTCTTCAAGTTAATTGTGTTGGTAGGATGTAGCCCTAGTGCATTTATGATCAGCCACCACTGTATTTAATGTGACTCAAAGTGGTTTATTTGAAAATTGCATTTTGCTAAATTGCAATTATATTGCAAAAAGAATTAATTGCTCCCTGCATCCCTACTGCAAACTAAACAAAACATAGCCTTCTACAAAAACAGATGATCCAGGAGAGCAGAGGGATGGTCAGTTAGCCATCCAGGAGGGCTACAGAAGCTCTGGGGGAGATGCAGACATCAACAAATAGCCACAAATAGCTTTTTTTCATGGAAACGTGAAAATAAAGCCTTGATGAGTTCTTGTTGAATCCCACAAGTTGTGCTGAAACGGTTCAGCTCACAAAAAATAGAAAAACAGGAAACATATCCAGAAAATGCATTTTACTTTACTTTATATGTATCACCATCACAATTTTAAGCAGTAAGGTCCTAATTGCCTGCTTTCTGAAATCATGCAGCTCTAATGAAGACCTTTGCAGGGCACTCTAATTTGGCCTTATGGCATAACAGTCAGGATCATAAGGAGAACTTCTCATTAACTATCCTGTTACTTTTTAACCATCAAGCTCACTTCTTTGTCCAGGTTCCACTCTAAGGGCATCTCGTATTCCTATGTTTATTCTTACTTTTTCAAATAAAGTTATTTTCTGTCATCTGACCTTCTACACATTACATCTATAAATCCCCTCAGAGACATGTTGCATTGACATCTACTAAGGTAGTCATCAGAATGCGTGTATCTTGGACACTATCCGCACCTTTTTATGGATGCCGTATATCTTCTACAGCACCTGTACATAAACATACACAGACCTGTACAGACAAAAAGCACCATTTACTTTAATATTTACATTTATCCTTGCAGGTGTGATAGCCGTGATGTTTGTTTTTAACCATAACACCAAAGCTCTGATAGCCACTGCCCGGTAGGGCTGGTTTGACGGGTTCTTTCTCACAAACGTGTGCCGCATTATGCGGACGCTGTGACACCGTGGCTGAATGTGTTCAGTCTCAAATAACAGTTTGCATCAACAGTATAAAACAAACTAGGTCAACGAACTTGCTGTAAAGGATACGGAATAATATCCAGGTGTTGATGCATTTCTGAATTACAGTTTTGATTCCTGGAAACATACTTTTATTCTGAGGAGGCTCCAATTATAGGAAATCTGCAGGATTTAATGTTGACTATAATTATTTAACCTTAAGTAACCCCCACTGTAGCTTTACAGTTCACACAAGAATGAAGGGAAGTTATTTTTAGCTACTGACTCCTTAAAATTGATCTAAATCCACATTCCCATTACTTTCCAAACTAAAATGAATCCCTTGATAATTCACCACCTCAACACTAATAACATCCAGCAGTTTTTTTATCTAGATGAATTAATCCATTACAAACTACCAAGAAATGTTGTCCCACTTTCATTTGCAGCATTGGGTCAGTTCATTCAGTTTTTTAAGCATATTATTAAGCATATGCCTTGGCTTTGAGTTATTGCAACACTAGTTTGGTGAGATTTCCAAATTAGTTTAGAATCCTTCCCCTTTTTAATGTCCATATTTGACCTTAGATCATTAACCTGTTAGCCAGTGGAGCTCATAGCATTTCACTTGAACCTTATTGACAGTTGTTTAATGACATACAGCTTAGAAAACATGAGTTGAAGATCAATAGTATAATTTACAGAAAAAAAAAAAACAGAAATTGGAAACAAATCAGAAAAAATAAAAACAATAAAAAACACCTAAGAGGTCTGTTGTTTCATGTAGATTAAAATAATCGAAGGTATAGTCGAGGATTTTCGTAAATTTTTGAAAAGACCCGCCCCCTCCACTTAAAAAAAAAAAAAAAAAATGCACATGCACAACCCTGTACCTCCAGAGAGGGAACGTCTATTAAATACTTGCAAGAGCATGCACAAGCTCACTTTCTCCTCGTGCACGCTCTGTTTAAAAGTTGCTATTTGCATCGCTCATACAGGCTTACTTTCCAAAAGAAGATTTGCAATTTTTCCACTATGTCAGACTCACCACCGGTAAAGCCGGGCACACACTATACGATTATTTTTGCCCTTTTCAGGCCAATTCTCGTGTGAGAATTTTTCGATCAGGCCTACTTTCAGCCTCGTCGTGCGTTGTGTAGTGTAGTGTACAGGGGGTAACGAGGGGCGATCAGCCTCTAACGACCACCTCCCGATAAGGAATCGTAAAGTTTGGAGGAAATCATGTTTGAAATTCAGTTGGCCATCGTAGGGTCACATCAGAGCGTCGGGCCGCACAGTGTGAGAACGTGCATAGCGAGCTGTGAACTTTTAAACCCTGCGGTTTTGTCGTACAGTTTGAGCTGTAGTTGATTACGTGGTACAGCCTTACATAAACCTATCACCAGAATGATTGACAATTAGGAGAACCACTTATTTAGATGATCCACCCGGAAAGAGAAAATCCTCCACTATACCTTTAAGTAATTGATTATTTTGACTTTGTTCTTTTCTTCTTATTATTTTTTTTTACAAAGGTATACCAATATATTTTAATAACTAATTTTAAAGGTATAAAAAGAGGGTATTTTTTTCTGCCAAATCATTTCATCTAAAGGACTATTTCCCAAAACAACGATTTAATTAATTGTGTATCTTCCATTAGTTGTTAATTTGGATTAGTGACTAGAAGAAGCATTTCAAATTTGAACAAAAATATTTGTTTTATTTTTACGGTAGAAACAGCTTTGCAAGTGGAACCACAAAGAAGCCAATCAACTAAAATATGCTCATTGGTTTCATCCTCACATCCTCCAAATGTACACAGTGGAGTTCATAGCTGCTTTAATGAAGGCTGTCCCTATATTGATATGACGTGTTTGGATTTGAATCAAAGCAAGCAGGGTTCATATAAGACAATCACCTTTATCATAGTGTCTTTAGTCTGAAATGTTGATTAAAAAGCTGAAAGAAGGCTGCTTTATTCTTGCTCTCAATCTATATCTATTCAAGCTAAAAAGCTGCAATGTGATGAGCTTTAACATCTGATGTGCAAAAAGGTCCAAAATGGAAATACTGCAGTTTAAATGTTATCCAACTGTGGGAAAAAAAATTGCAAAATTGTTATTCCTCAAAGGATTGGTAGCAATATTTAGTGATTTTCATCTTTAACTGATGTATAATATTTTGTCACTCCCGTACTTTTGAAAAATAAAACCCCCATCATAATTGATAATAATAACCATTAGTTGGTAAAGCTGCTTCTCTTTAAGTTCTGACAGTCTTGTTATTGTGTTACCACCCACCTGTATGTGTTTGACTAACAACTTGACCAGAGTTGCTGATTATAAACTAATCATCAGCAACTAACTTCTTCCCTAATAAGTAATGGCAGTGATGAAGCTGTTGTGCTTTAGGATATCAGATCTTGTACTCTCCCTAAATATTCCTCCAGCACCCAGAGGCTTGAAAACAGCAGGGATTTTGCAACTTTGATTTGTTGCAACAAGATTTTATTTCTCCACAAAGCCCCATCTTACTCCACATACTGCACACCAAGCCTATGTGCTAAAATCAGCTTGTGGTGCATTAACGAGAATAAGAAAAAAAAACCTTCAGGCAAACATATTAACGGCTCCTTTCTTTCTTAGTTTGCGTATCAGATGGAGCACTTTGCGCTGCAGCTCAGGACCTGTTATCAAAGTAACATGACTGAGGACAAAATCTACTTGGAATGAATGACTGACTAAACAGTTTTATGCAAACCGATCAAAGCGGATTAGAGCTAGGGTTGCAACTTGCAGGCAGCCTGAGTGATTTGGGAAGCTGCATAAATGTTTATTAAACCTGGGAAAGTGTTTGGAAGATACCATCTTATGAAAGAGGGAGAAAAAATGATGGGAATTAACCCAGAATAGAACTGGACCCTCATTTTTCTCTTTGTTAAATTACATAAGCAGCAGATGGTGCAGCTCTGACTGAAAGAAAACAGTTTGAAGGTGGGATATAAAAAGCTTTCACAGTTTATAAAGCTTGCTGTTACATAAACTATTTGAGCTTTTATTATTCTTTTTTTTTTTTCGGTTTTGTTGACCTAGATTCCCCGAAAAAGGTCTTAATCACAAGACAAAGAGACCTTAGGGTGCTGACTTCTGGCATTTTAGTTAACTCACATGTGCTCCTCTTGTTAGTTTATCTTGAAGAGTTTAGGTTTGACTTTTAATCTAGATATTATAAACATGTGGGGTCAGCTCCTGGTGCATTTCCCAGAACTGTGAGCCGGACCTAAATTCCTCTGAGATGCTAAATATAGTGCATGGAAGCACGACAAAGAAGAACGTGCTTTAAGACTCATCAACCAGCTGCTGAATATTTCCCAGCAGTAACTGTTTCTAAGGCAGGGTTTCGCTGTTCTACAAAGCTGGTGTCCCATACTGGAAAAGAAGAGGACCTATTAATCCATCACAAAGAGAATCTGGTGAAAGTCCCTCCAAAAATCACTGAGAACTAAAAAGGAAATGTTATTCACTCTGCTTTCAATTTCCCCTTTCATTGTTCTCATTTATTGATTTGCTGAGAGGTATGCTTAATGCTCTTGACCTCCAGTCTGGAAACATAGCCTGCTCCAGAGAAGATTAGGTTTCCAGCATGGTAACCATGGCGACAAACCCAGAGAGGAAGTGAACCAGCGTTGTCAAACTTAATTTAAGAACCTACAGTTAGCCAGCCAGTAATCCTGCTTTTAGTAAATATACCGTCTGAAAATGTGAAATCTTTTTCAAAATATAGAAAATTTCACATTATGACAGTTGACTTTTATATCTCTGCTTCTGTCTCCTTGAACCCCAGTCGGCCTCAGCAGATGGCCGCTCACACTGAGCCTGTTTCTGCTTGAGGTTTCTTCCAGTTAAAAGGGAGTTTTTCCTCTCCACTGTCACTATAAGCATGCTTAGGGATTGCCTTCAAGTCAATAAATCGATACAATAAGCTGGTTTTCCTTAGATAGAAAACTTTAAATCAATTTGACTGTATGATCTGATTGAATTGTATGGTGCCTTGAGATGACATGTGTTGTGAATTGGCACAATATAAATAAACTGAATTGAATAGACTGGTGCATAAAAATGAAGCCTTTCAAGAGTTGAAATTGTGATTACAGCTACCAAAAACTAAAAAATACTCTCTCTAAAAAATCTATACTATTTTACATTGGATCAATTTATTTAAACAGGTACTTAAAATTTGAAATTGTAGCCCATTGAAAAGTGTTATGGAACAATTCCTTTATCAGAGTAGTATGGCATAGAACTGATAGGCCTGTGGAGCTACTGAAATGCTGAGGAAGCCCGGTTGTAATGATTAGGGCTGAAAAATTAAGCCAAAAATAAAAATTGTGATTATTTTCAAGCAATATTGGGATTTTCCTTTATAAAAGCACAACTATGTCGACCTTTCTTTTTTTAGCGGTTTTTATTGTAATTACACTGTCACAAGTACAGTGCAACAAAATGAACTCTCTGCATTTAACCCATCCCCTTGGTTAGCAGTGGACTGCCATTGTGCAGCGCAGTGTGGGATTAAGTGTCTTTGCTTAAGGAGCCAGAGTAGCAGTCTGTGGGAGTGGGACTTTAACTCACAAACTCAGGATTGCAAGCTCTATGCCCTAACAGCTAGGCCACCACTCCCCTTTACTACAAGGTTTTTTTTTCATAAGCCTGACAGCCTGCTTGTCCAGAATCCAGTGCTGCTGGACTTTGCTGTAACATTTGATGAAAAATCTCATACTTCTTCTACAATGCAAAGATCTATGAGCTAGCTGCCACCTTGTTCCCTTTTGCGCGAGGTGGCAGTCCTTTCTGTCCCTTAGGAGGCAGTCATCGTATCACCGCCACCTAAGGGAGAAATTTAGTGTTTCACCCTTGTTAGATCTATTGTGACTAAAACTGAGTGCCTTTGCGTTTTGACATTTGTGTTTCTCTATTGTGATTATATTGCAAATGGAATTAATCGCCCAGCCCTTGTAATGATTCTAGTCGTTTTAGCAGCATTGCTAAGCTTGGCAGTAAGGAGCATAAGTATAGCTAAAAAAAAATAAAATTAAAAAATAAGCAAAAAAAACCAAGAGTGATCTAAAATTTTCTGTAAAATTGTTATGCTGACTTTAGAGCTGATAAAAACCAACTCATTACTGAAACTTCAAGGAATATGGACTCTTGGACCTTCATTTGCTAAATGAATAAAAAAATACCTTAATCTACAAAAGAGAACAGTATCTCCTTATACCCAAGGTGAAACACTTTTTAATTTTGATTTGACTCAGAAGGCAGTTTAACTCAAGGATGTTGACATATTTGCACATATCTGTGATACATCTATGTGGTAGCTCATAAAAAATTTCTTGAATGCAGTTTTCCTCACAATCAACTCAAAGGTCCTCACTTTTCCTTTCTACTCTATTTTCTATAAATATGTAGGGTAATATGTGGTCAGTCAGCGGATGGATTTATTTAATAAATTATTTTCTAATTTTAATATGACAGAATTGAATTAATAGACTTATATGATGTTTTGTTTTTGGATATGCCTGTAAGCAAGTGTGTAGAATAAATGTTAGGCATAGAGCAGCATTGATGCAAAGAAAAGAAAGGGGGGAAAAAAACCTCTGCTGACACCAACCTGGGAGCTGACGTAGAGCTGCAGACACTCGTCACACACGGCCTTCCCGCAGCAGGGCAGGGGTGCGCTGGTTTTCTCCTCCAGGCACACCCGACAACACTTCATCCCATTCTCCGCACCGGCCTGCACCCGCTCCAAGCGGTGGGACATGTCTCCAAATGGGTCCACCAGGTCATCCAGCGTGTACATCGCCTGTTCGATGCCCATTCCCCCAACATTTACCGCCTCCAATCCCGTTCCTGTCTCCCCCGATAAAGCAGCGTCATCGTGACGGTCCGTGATTTCAGCGTCTGTCCGTTGAGATTCGTTGGCAATGCAGTAAACCGTACAATAGACGTGCTCTTTGGCACTACAGGACTCAACTACAGTCACCGTGTTGCTTTCATCCTCAGCTCTAAGATGGCGTTTATCACTAACAGTTAAGAGTTTAACTCCTGTAACATCTGAAGTCAAGTCAATAGAGGGTGGTTCGTTTTTATCACCAGGTTCCCCCGTTTCAACATCCGACTTTTGACGCTCACCACTTTGTACTCTACGTACTCCCTTAGAGATGTTAATACTAGTTTCTCCGCCTGTTCCATGTTCCACTCCGTACTGCATCCGATTTTTTGTACTTAAACAGAGAGAAGATGACTTGTTATCTCCGAAATTCCTTCTCAGAACCTCCACGGCGCTCGCCCTTCTCCTCCTGGCTGCTCCGACTCCTCCGCTGTTGCAGTTGTTGTTGTTGTTGCCCTCTGCATCCCTCTCTCTCTCGCCACTTTTCTTCCCCGTCCTCCCGATGACACCATCGAGGGACAACCGGGAGTTGGACCGGATGACAGGTCGGTTCAGGTCCACAAACTGCAGGTGAGCTTCACCTTCTGTGATGGAAGTTCCCGTTGGACGGTTGTGGGACGATTTCTCCCTTCCCTCTTCCAAATTGCTCATAAAGATTGGCATCTCCCGGGCGTCAGCTATCGGTTCGTCATCTTCCATCCCCGATTTAGCTCTCCCCATTTAGAGAGCAGGTCTTCCACCAGCTAGACCTCTTCTGTCGGCCTTCCTCTGCTCCTCCAACTCCCTGTACCAAAACAAAACAAAGCGAACAGCAGCTTCCCGGTGCTGACGTAAGCACAGAGGAGAGCACTGATAGGCTGATGGGAAACCTAGTGGTGGAGAGAAGGGATGCTGCTACTGTACAGCAGAGGAGCTCAAACGATCTTTAACCCCCCCCCCCCCCCCCAAATCAGACTATAATCTCAGAAGTCTGACTTTTTTCTCCTAATTATTTTTTTTCTTAGAATTCAGCCTTTAATCTCAGAATTCATACTTTTTACTCAGAATTCTATCTATCTATCTATCTATCTATCTATCTATCTATCTATCTATCTATCTATCTATCTATCTATCTATCTATCTATCTATCTATCTATCTATCTATCTATCTATCTATATAGATATATATATATAGATATATATATATTTATATATATATATTTATATATATCTATATATATCTATATATATCTATATATATCTATCTATCTATCTATCTATCTATATATATATATATATATATATATATATATATATATATATATATATATATATATATATATATATATATATATATATATATATATATATATATGGTTGGTATACAGTAGCACAACAAAGCCTTTTTGTTTAGAAAGCATGCAAGCTGAAATGGACTTTAATGTCATAATTCTGACTTTATTCTGAGAATTCTGACTTTTTCTCAGAATTCTGACTTTAATATCAGAAATATGACTTTAATCTCAAAATTCTGACTTTATTCTCAGAATACTGACTCTTTTCTCAGAATTTCTGAGTTTAATATCAGAATTCTCACTTTTTTCCCATATTAACCTAAAATAAAATGTAAAAATCAGTAAACTTTTTTTTATGTTTTCACTGGCCCTAATCATCTTCCGTAACAATTAAATATCAACTCAGTGGAAAAAAACATCAAGATCACCAGAGAAGATGCCTACCTATCAGATAGCAAAAGGTTCCTAAAAGAAGATTTTTTTTTTTTTGCTAAATTAAACCAGGTGAAACTAAAACTTTGCCACTTGAGAAATTCTGGATAGAGCCTATTGTTGAACAAAAAAAAGTTTTAAATCTGAAATGCAAAATATTGATGTTTTTTTTTTCTTTGGTATATCTAGTGCTCTAAGAATGTTACTCTTTAATCTAAAGGCATGTTTTAGTCTCTATACTCCGGTTAGTGATTAATCAATTACTAAATGAATTGACGATTGTTTCAATAATCTGTTAATCACGATTATTCCAATAAATTGTTTCAGCGCTAAACCCCATAAGATTTTCTCTAAACACAACAAACAAAAACAACTCGCACAGAAGAAAATTGTTAATTTCAAAGACAGAACACTCAAACCAAAGCTGAGCGGCCTTGTTTATGCAGTGCAGTGCAGCAAGGACTGTTTAACACTCCTTCAATGGAGAAACCAAACAACAACTACGCAAACACATGTCACAGCACAGGAGAGCTAGCAGTTCTGGGCAAGATCCAGCTACACTTGCACTTCAATAGCTAAGGACACACCTTTGAATACAAAAACGTTCAGATCATGGTCGGAGAGGGCTGATGGTTAGAAAGAGGGATGAAGGAAGTCATCTTTGTTAAAAGAACCGTTTCAGCTCCCAATCATCTACAACTCTATCCTTGAACTCATTCCAAGAAGGTAACACAAACAGGGTGATCATTATTCAAATGGCCAAACACAAAACTCATAAAAATCAACCTCACCGACCAGGAGAACGATGGGTGGGTCATTGATTTGCATCTGACCTGGAATGTACTTTGCGTTGTAGGATATGCCTCTGGGTGTTTAACTACACCAGTGTTTCAAATATAGGTTGATCTGTATGAATAATCTGGTGAGAACCGACAGAACTGACAAAGGCTCCTGGAAGGTGTCGAAACATTTTTTGGAAAAACTGAGAGAAAGCCTGCTTGCTTCCAATTTAAGCCTGTTTTTAGATTATCTAGACAAGTATAGAACTAATTATTTTCCTGGTTTGGATAATGATGGCAAATGAATATAACATAGGCAAAATCTTTATATTTCTAGACTTTGTTCCCCATCCCATTGTGTTATATTTCGTTCTTCTTTCTCTCCCTTATGTCTTTTGAATCTGCTTCCTTGTGTCCTCCCACCTTCTCCTAAACCCTACCTTCTTTTCTTGTCCCTCCATTTTCCCCTCAGCCTGTCCTTTTTCAGTCTAATTTTCATCCATCCTTATGACTTTGTCCCCCAGCCTTATTCCTCCCTTTTAGGGGTCCTGTCTGTCCTTCCATGCTCTACATCCCTTCATTTTGTCATTCTTTCTCTTTTTTCTGACTTTCATTGGTGACCTTTCTTTAATTTTTGCATTATTCTTTTTAATGATTTGCAGGTTTACCTATTTAGATAAGATTTATTTAATAAATTTGCAATTTTTATTTGACCTTATATGACTTTGGATTACTTTAGACTATCAATTTTGCCACATAGCTCAAGAGATCTAAAAACAGTAATAATGTGGGTGCAGGATGAAGGGTATACAATGCAGTGTGTGTTACTAAGGATTGGGAAAGTGGATCTTTGCACTGGTGTCAAAGGTTTTTTGTTGTTGTTGTTTCTTTCCACACTTGATTACTTGTCCCTTCCATGTAGCTTTCAGATATCCTGTGTCCACTGGCTGCATGAGTGTGTGCCATGGTTTACTGGCCTTAAAAGAAACAAATTCTATGTCACAAGGCTCATTGTTTTACATCTAAAAAAATGAATTTATATGTTCTCTTACAAGTGGTCTATGAGTGACACCTAGTGGTCAAATAGGTAGTAACTGAATTCATTAATTCCAATTTTTTTAAACCAATTTCATGTGAATCTTTATGAGCAAACAAAGTTAATCTCTGTAATCAACAGCACATAAATAAATTCTTTAGTCACAGTTGATTGACATTTTGATTTAACGTTTAACTAACATATGATACTCTACACTGAACCCTTGGGGAGGAGAAGCTAACAGAGCCAGGGGAACATTGTGGGGTTAAGGTTTCTTGCTTAGGAGCACAGAGTCACAGTCTGGGATTTAAAATCCTCTCCAGGATTTAGGAGCTACTCCCTTAAGACTAGACCACCACTCCCCATTATACATTATTTCTTTTAGTGTTGTACTAAAGAAACAAAACAGGGATTCATAAAACTGTTAAAAGCTAATAAAGCTTGTTTAAAATGAATTAGCACAAACTCAGTTTAAGTGCAGGCTTTTTTCAAAGTGTAGTGTTGTATCATAAGTGCTACACTGATGTTCCCGTGTTGGGAACCTACAGTGTTTACCTTTCTGACTAGAGACACTGGGACTTCTTATCAGCAAGACCCTGACTGTCCAGGGCTGCTGGCGACTGGAGGAGGTCGGCTTGACTTCTTCTTTTCTGCCTGACTAATCTAAATATAGTTAAGCAGACTGATTTTTTTTTTTTTTTACAACATCTTATTGCATCACTCACTCTAGTTTTCTCCTCAAATCACTCACTGTATTTCCTATTGCATGTAAAATCTGGATCAGATATTTGAAATAGGTATTTCTGTTCTGCGTTACATTAGATGAACAAAATATGGCCATTTCATTTTTAAATAATATTCTTTAAGAACTTTAATTTTTCTTAAACAACATAAAAAAACGCACGCTTAAAGGTTCTAATCTTTATTTGTAGTTTTGTACAATTCTGCTATGCTATGATATTGCCATTTATGTGACCTGAATATTAATTTCAGCTTTTTTTTAATCATCTTTTAATTTTCATTCTTTGACAATAATTATTAGTTTATTATCATTATGCCAAATATATAATGATTATGGAAGCTTTTGTTTTTATCTTTCTTCTTCCTTTTATATTTCTATACAGTACATGGAGGAATGTTGTGTTGCTTTTTCTTCTATCCTCTGCTTTTTATTTCTATCTTCTAGGCTTATTTTATACTGACAGGTTATGTTGAAGGTAATTCCTGATTCTACAGGTCAGGGAGTAGTCTGTGGGGCTCTTGAAATCAAACCAAAAAATATGTTTCATTCCACCAGTGGGCCCTTAAGTCTTAAGGAGGAGTCAATGGGTTTAAGATAAGGCCAACACCATAAATTCATTATTTAACAAGGGAAGGATTACTGTATGTTTCAAAAAGGGAGACGACTTGCAGTAAAGTATCTTTATTTTTCTCTTATATCTTTGTTATAAAAAATAACCTTTTTCACAAAAATATTTATTAATCTTTACTTATGTAATATTATCATTTAGATCACTTCCTCCTTTAATGCTGCTCCTGATATTTCTTTACATCAGAGAAAAACCAGGGAGTCGTCTTTTCCAGTTCTTCATCTTTTCTCTAATTAGTAATAACATATCAATGTATTTGAAAGTAGTGGAAATCTATTCAGGGTGTATCCTGCCTTTGCCCATGGATTACTAGGATTCAGGAGGCACCAGTCTCCCTGTGACTCTGATGGATAAGCAAAATAAGATAAATGGATGCATGGATTTGATAGGCCAACTTTAATTCTTTGTTTGTTCTTTGATAGGTTTTATATACTTTTATTTCTTTATTACCTATTGGCAATGGCTGAACTACTCTGTGCATTTAACCTCTTTCTTTACCGTTCTTACAATATCACTGCAGTCACTTTTGACAGAACCTGACTAGTGGTCTTTCTCCCAACTATCTTATATAAATATGAACTGTACTGCTAGGTCTTCATTTGTGATTTGCTTTGCAAAGAAGTCTCTGCCAAATGCACAAAACATATACCCTAATAGAATCTGCACATTTGACCTGATGATGCTTCTGCTTTACATTATTTAAGCTTCTGTGCTGGGTGCCTTTTTGCTCTATTGGCAGGAAAAATATATACTGTTTTATATCATTAATGCAATATGTAAAAAGTTTCACAGAACAGCAGTTTGCAACCCACCTAAACAGTGTTATGGATACTTTGGCAGACAACACCTATAATCAGAAATGTGTTATACAGCAGCATATGACAGTTTTAAACATATTCCAACTGCAAGAACACACTGGGTGCTGCAAAAACCAAAGAGAAGCAAGGAACTATATTTGAACCATCTAGCACCATAGCAGGTTACTTTCCATTGCATCATCCTCACTCCAAAAATCTCCTCTTAACTCAAAAAGCACGAATCGCATTACATTACACAAACACTGTAAGTGCTGTGAGAAGAAAGTAGCTGGAATTGACACTTTTAAGGCCGCTGCTGTTGGTTCCATTGGAAAAAGAAAAACAAACTACCTACACTGCTCCTTAAATTTGGTCCCTAGCTTTGTAATTATTTTTTGTTAATGGCACAGGTTGGGTTTTTTGGATGGCAGTAACAATTAAAAACGCTTTTTCCTTCAGTAACACAATTCTAACAGATTTACTGTAAGTATTTATTGCCACCTTAAAGCTAGACGAGTTTTTAAGAACACTAATTGCAGCAACAAACTCCATCAATAGTCTACTTGGTGGCTGTCCTTTGTTTCAGGTGTCTGAAGAGTGAACTCTACTGCACAGATCATCATACTTATAGCAGTGCTGCAGGCCATCTGAGGAAGCACAGAGGGAACAGACGACACAGCAGACCAATCATTTTCCACACTCTACTTTAATCCCAGCTGTCTAGTTTATGTACAGTCAACTGTGGGAAAACCAGCATAAAAAGAGAATCCTATAACATACATGGTTATAGTTTATGGCGAACTGTAACTGATAAACCCAGAACCAAAATAAGGAAAATCACTATAACGTGTTAAATAAGTTGAATTTAACATTTTAGCGACATCTTTTGGGGAATTTTAGAAAGTAGAGAGATTTCCATTGAAATGTGTAATAGTTTAAAGGACAAGGCTATGTGGCATTACAAAGATATAAACTCATATGTTACAACAGAAACAATAAACTCACTTTAAAAACTGCAGTTCCCCTGTATTAGCTTTTACATTGTATAACTTTTGATCCGTTTTAAACAGGTTTGTTTTTTAATATTCATATGTTAGGCATAAGTTTAGTTGTGTAAAAAGTATTTACCTCCTTTTACTTTTTGACAAATCTAGATCATTACTAAAAATGTCAGTATGCAGCAAAACAACCTGAGCAAAAAGAAAATCACGCTTCTTTGCAGAAATGTTTAATGTAGCAATATTCGAGGACTTTGAGATTAAATTGTCAATTTGAGATCAAAGCATGGCTTTTAAATTGTGTTGGAGTTTAAGGCTTTGATTAGGTCACTTTAAAATCACCATCATTTATTAGAAGTAACAGCGTAGATGTAAAGACATATCTGCTGAGACTAATTGTTTTATTAGTGGATGATACACATCAAGATTAGCACAGTCAGGTTAGAGCTTTCTGTCGCTTCCTGAATGAATTGCTGATAAGATTTGTAGGGAATTTTGGGTAGAACTTTGTAACCATTCCCACACTGAACTACATAAAGAACTTTAGTCTTGACCTGATCTTGGATTTCTTTAAATCAAAGGAACATGTGTTGGTTCCTGAAATTTTTTTGCCTGCTTCCTGTTGTTAGACAGGTTCTACTAAGGGGATTTCTTGATAATATAGATGTGCATCATTTACATAAAAAAATGGCTCAATACACTTTACTTAGGAAGGTAGGAAATAATTTTTCCAAATAATGTCCAGTTCATTTGAATAACTTCTTTTCCCTTTATAAAAATCGACAGTCAAAATAAAATTTGGATTAACTTTAATGCACACTTTAATCTTAGCATTTGTTTGATAAACAGAAACATTTAGATACAAAAGAAAAACAGAGGAAACACGAAAACAGCTACTTTTATTTTTCAAATCTTAGCAACTCAAGCATTCATAAATAAATTAATTAAGTCAAATTAGGAGGTGGGCTCTCAATGTGGAGACAATTACAGCAGCTTTTTCTTGATGTCGGACATTTTCCACACTGAACAAATGCACTCAAGTCAAATGTTGGATTTGGATTCTTGTTTGAGACAATGCTACTGCAATAAAGAATATAGCGACTAAGAGGTTTTTAGCAGGTTGTAATGGGGTTGAAAATTCATGTGCAAAAGGCTTTTAGTTTCTTAACAGCAGTAAGGATTCAAATCTATACAAATCCTTCAGCTATTACTCTTGTTACTGTATTTATTTCCGAATTTTGATGGGCCTGGGTTAAGCGTTTACAGTTCGCCATGACTCAGAATACAAAGCTCACACACACAAACTCACCCAAACACACACTTTTATACACCTTTCTAACTTCGACGGTTTGTTTGATTGTGAACAAAATGCAGTAATTAATATTTATCACACAGTGTCGGTTGCTTTAAAATAAAACAACCAGAGGCTAACAAAGAAATTAACTGTTATTAGTTAGAAAATAAAAATCCAATTTTGAATAATAAAAAATTAATCATAACAGGCCATTTTTCAGTTAAATGTCTTGATGATACTGGTATAAAAATGAGTTCTGCTGTTTGTTTTTTATTTTTCTCCAACTCTCCATTTATATACTTTGAACAGTTAGAAGAAATAAAACCTAGTTTTCCCACTTATACACAACATCATACATTAATAGGCAACTAGAAAAAACAGTAAACACTGTCACATGTGAATAAAAAAACTTCTAGAAGATCAAAGTTACATTTGATAATTTTTACATCGCGGTACCTACGTTCTCCTAAACTTTGCAGACTCTTATTTATAGAAAACAACAAAAAAGCACAAAGTTCACATTTAGGACTCTTCAAAAAGAGCCGAGGAGCATCAAACAAACAATAGCTCCCTCCCTCTTTTTTCTTCTGCATTTTTTCTTATTACGAAGCTAGTTAATCACACGAGGCATGAGATTAAATATGCAACAGTTTGGAAACACCTCATGCAAACACACAAAATGTCGTCTCTGTCCTCAAGATGGAGCGACTCGGAAAGTAGACCACAAGGTTTTGTTACAAAACAGGTAAAATGCTGAGGAGAACTGCAGACTGAGCCAGTGCAGCACAGGAACCGGGGAAGCAGTCCTTTCTGGATGTCTTCAGCAAAAGGCCTCAAACTTTTGGTCCAGTTTATCAAAAAAATTGTAGACTTTAGCTGTGTTTTTTTTTTCAACAGGATTAGAAGGCAAAAAAAAAAATCTGGTATGTCTGTATTTTCTTTTTTTGCAACTTCACTTTTTTCTAACATGGAAACTATGAAAAGGAATCGCAGACCTGTATTTGGTCCCAGCCTGTGGCTCATGATCGGAATCAGATGGCACTTTCATCTTGAAACTTTTGAGCTGTGAGTTGACAGAAAGAGTTGCTACGCCTCCCGCCTATTTGAAAGGGGGTAAATATAGCCTGCCCAGGATTCAGCCCCTGCTGCTTTTCAAAAGTCATGTTTTCTCCAGTCGTCAAAATTGAAATAAAAATGTATGTTTGCCAAGTGCTTCTAAAGATTCAGTAAAAGTGGAGACTACAGCTGGGTGTGATTGTCTTTTCTATTGGGGATGTGTATACAGTAAGCATCATTTGAAACAAAGGAGAGCTGCTTTGAGCAATTCCTTTTTGCCGGTTGATTGGGTTTTAATAAATTCTGAATGTAATTTGCAATTAAAAATACACTGCCTTGCAAAAAGTGAACTTTCAAACATGTTTCATGACACAGCCAACAGAATATTTAATATAAATTTCCCATGATAGACCAACACAAAGGACAACTGTGAATGGAAGAAACCAATTTAGGGGAGGTACAGACAAGAAAAACAAACTGCACTTTTTAGATTTCATAAATACGCCTTTTTCTTTCCTTTCTCGGCTTTGGACTATTTTGTGCTCATCTGTCACGTAAAACAATAATGAAACTCATATTAACGTGTATTATTAATACTTTTGCAAGGGACTGTAGGTATGATATACTTCTGTCTTGAGTGGAAGACAAAATATTTAAGCAGGACTGCAAGATGAGCCTCTGTTGTCTGAAAATACTGCTGTTAAAAAGTGACCCTCTATCCACCCCTGTCTGTCAAGTAGACAGCATTACCTTTGTAAACATTGTTAAGATTCACATTAGTAAGAAGGACCTGTGTAAGTGTGCATGCATGTTATCTTGTCCCCATGCATCTGTAAGCTGAGAGCCTGTAAGTCATCGCATCACACTGTTAGTTGACATTCATAAAATACCGGTAAGGAGCAAGCCCAGACTTCCTTCGAGCATTCACTTTTCCATGTCATGACAAGATTCCCAGTTGCAGCAGGAAAACTAGATTTTAGAAAAGAAATGTCCGACATTCCTTGATCGGTAGTCACCATTGCAGGGTCCAGGTTGGAAGTCTGTTACGCAAACCGTCAGGCACCAAGAGCAGAAAAAAAAAGCTCCCTTAGACTTCAGGAGTTCTTCTTTTTTTTTTTTTTTCCTTTTTTGTAGTTTAACTTCGAAGTCTTTGGTCAGAAATATCTGCTTGACAGTCATCATGTAAATCTTAAACCAGAGGATTTCATTACTGTATCTTGAAGGTATTGGATTCAGTTTCAGCAGGATTTAAAATTCTTTCACAAAGCCTGAGAAAAAGCCAGTCTTAATCCGACCTCTTGGTGTTTTCTAACAACAAAACATCCACTCACAAAAAACTAAAAAAACTATTATAATATTGGCTCCTGACTGGGCTTCAAAAACATGAAATCAGTGTGGCTGAGAGATGCTGCAGTTATCACGGTTGGCCACATGATGTCAGCATTTCCCAAGGGACTCCGTCAGTGGACAGAGCCAAAGGATGTCATCTGATTGAGGATTTCAGAGTATTTGGAGCTAGAAATGAAGGGTGTGATCTATCCTCTGTCTACATGACTGTCTGTCTTAGAGGAGTGTTGGAGTGGTAAACGCAGTGATCGTTGGTAAGGCTGATCCTCTGAAGTGGCTTCTGGTTTTACTTTGACCTACAGAAAAGAGAAGAGAAAAACAGATTTACTTTTATGCAAAGTTATAGATAAAACGTATTCACTTCAACAGTGGTCAGTATAAACAAGATATTGTCAAATGCTGAGAACTTTTAAGCCTGCAAAGCAGAAAAAAAGCAGCATAATTGCAAAGATAGAAGGCTAACGGGTTTATGATGAGGTGCAATACAACTCATTTAGCTCAGTATTATCCTTGAGTTAGTAATTTGCTCTGACAAATAAGCTTAACAACATAATGTGGCTTGAAGGGAACATTAGAATCACTTGTGTCCCCTGTGTTCTGTGGGAGATAATAACACTCTAGAGGTCTTAACAATCTCATGGGTGCAGCGGATCTCTCAAGTGATTCCCATTTAAAATTAAGCATACATCAGAGAACATGCAGAATCACAGAGAGAGAGAGAGCTTCTCGAGTTTTTCCTGACTGCAGTTTGCATGTTTTTATAATAAGTGTCCACAGCCTCAAAAGAGGAAGTACTATAAGAAAACCTACCCTGAAATTACCACAAAACAAATTCACAATAGAGCTTATTTTCTTTAAATGGAAAAACACACTGCATATTTTTCAGGATTTAACTTGATAGAACATTACAAACAAAATACATATTTGTAATGGAGAAAATAAATAATACATGGGTTTTCTAACTTTTAACTGAGGCTTCTCTGCCTCTGCTGATGAAATCCATTCCACAACATGATGTAGCCACCAGTGTTTGATAGTGTGCATGTTGTTTGGAGTCTAAAGAACTAGATTGTAAACAACTAAACAGTATTTTGCATATAAAACGTTTTGTTTTCGGCTCATCCGACCAGACCACCTGCTAGTAAACTTAAAATGTAACTTCTTATGGATTTCTTACTTAATGAAACTTCCTCCCTCCATTAAGGCCAGTTAGCAGCCTAATTAGCTGTCCTGTTGACTGATTTTTAAGCCTCCAGAGTTACCATGGGCTTCCTGGTTGCAACTGACTAATGCACTTCTTTCCTTCATTGAATTCCCCAGAGTTTAGCTGGGTCGCCATGTTTTAGCAGATCTGCTGTCATGCCATGGTTTTTCCTTTTTCTGATGGATTTAGCTGCTATCATCGAAATGCTCACAATATTGTTTCAGTTTGAAACCTAAAGCAATCAGTTACATGGACTCCACATCGGAGTAAGGGAACATTCATGTAAAGCAAGCCACATTTTAAGTAAAAAAACACACAAAAAAACAAACAAACAAGGAATTTATTAGATTTTTTTTAAAGTATATAATACTTTAGATAGCTATATATTATTGAGTTTTTATTAACACGTCATTAGCTACATGTGTTTATCTTCTCAGCTGATGGCTGACTGTGTGATATTTTTAAAGTATTATCATAAATAGCCTCTTAGGATACTTGTTGGTATCCATCCATCCACTCCCCCTTATTCCGTCAAGGAATGGGCATAAGGTAGGGTACAGTACACCCTGGAAAGCTCTCTAGTCTGAAAAACAACCCTCCAAACATACCCTCACACCTAAGGACAATTTAGAGATGCCAATTAACCTAACAGTCATGTTTTGGACTATAGGAGGAAGCCAGAGTACTCCATGCAGAAAGACCCCGGGGACAAGAATTGAAACGGGAACCTCCATGCTGCAAGGTAACAGTGCTGCACCCATGCAAAGTTAAAAACAAACATTTAGCCAAAGTATAGGTCAAAACCCTAACCCTATCTTTCTTCGCTGTAACTGTACATTCATTTATGCTTATTAACTTTGAAACAAATTTTCATGAATGCTAACACAGTCTGAACACAGTGGCTCAATATTCATAGTTGAAATCCTACTAAATGGTAGCACTAGTTTCAGAGTAAATAAAAACATCAATTGCTCCTGAAATGCAGTTGTAGTTACATTTACATTTCAGCAGATGGCATAGTTCGACATTTTTAAAGGATACATTCTGGGCATATGAGAAACAGAGGGCTACAGATTTATTTTAATACACCACAAAAATGTTTTTAGCACTATCGAGATATTTGATTTTAAAAATAAATTCCATGCCTAATGCTGAATGGAACATGCACTGAACAGATCATACCAAATAACTTATATTGCTTTTCTATCCATGTTGAAAACCCAGATTTGGATGTTCATATACTGGTACATTGTCTCAGATTTTGAAATGTGAAAGAGGAAGAGCTGGAAGAAAACTTGGAACCTTTGGTTTCCAAGATGACAGCTCCCTTTCGGAGTGTTGTTAAACAGATCATACCAAATAACTTAAAAACAAAACAAAGCATTTTATTTTAGAGAAGCAGCATTGCTGTCAAACAATGAATTGCAGAGCCTTGACAGAAAAATCAACAAATAAATCATACAGGGGCAGATGTGGACCAAATTTACCAAAAAAATAAACTTAATATGACTGAAGCTAAAAAAAATTTATTCTAAAACATTATTAAAATAATACCCTAAGAATCAAACATTAAATTAGTCCAAGGCACCAATCATTTGTAGTTTCTGTTCCAGTGTGTATTATTTACTTATGATAAATGTATTCTTTTTTATATCTTTGGTATAGGGGTCATGACAGGGACCAGGACCAGTTCTACAGGGGCACTGGCCCCTGCTGGCCCCTGTCGAAAACTGTACATGAAATCATATAAAAATAAATGTGGCCCAGAAATACTGCTGCAAAAAAAAAAAAAAAAAAATATATATATATATATATATATAAAATTAACTATTGAAACAAAGCTTATAGTTAAGTGGGTCGCACTAAATTTAACATAAAATAATATTCCATGGCTACTGCGGTCTCAGAATTATTCAACCCCTTCATGACAAGCATATTTAGCAATTTGTGGAACAGCCTTCAGCTGTTCTAACCTGCTGCAAACATGAATTATAGCCAGAGACAAGGTTCTGGCCGTCATCCTGAGGAATTTTAACCTACTTTTATGGTGAAGTCCTCCAGGGTGTTCATTTTCTTGGGTTTGCATTCAGCTGCCATCTATTTTAAATCCCAACAAGGACTTTCAATATAGTTCAATACTATTACAGAGTCTCTATTTCTTCCTCTACTTCTTCTAAAACCTAGCCACGGTGGACTTTGTGGTATGGCTAACGTCCCTGTCCAGGCTTCTTATTTCAAGCCCACCATATTTAAATAATGAGGCCATTGAATGGTTGCATCAGGAGTTTGTGCAAACCTAAACTGCAAAGAGGATTGAATTATTTATAGGTGTAACTGTAGGTGTCATGTGTTTTTTTTTCCTCATCTTATGTTACAGTGGCTAACAAGCAGGTAATGTCAGCCATTTGAATAAAATGATATTTCTTTAGAGATGCTGACTGTTGTATTAGCTTAATGTGTCATGGTTGTGTGTCTGTGTGGATCTGCAGCACAGAGCGATACCTTTGGGATGGGACGGTTGATGCTATTTTATTGCTCCCTCTGGCCAGAGGCAATAAACAGCAAACAGAGGGGAGGACGGCTGGAGAACAATGTTAGCATATTGATGATGCTCGTGGATGAGAGCGCGCGTCTAAGGGTTGGTGCGCGTGGATTAACATGTTTATAAGCAAAAGCTGTCTATCAGCACAAATACTGTCTGGATGTCTGTGTGCGCAGTGATGAGTGTGTGCACAATGTTTGTGCATAGATATTTGTATTTGAAGCTCAGCTGGGTTGTGTTTGTGTTCGAAGCCATTATTTAGAGGCCTGGTGATTTATGATCTGGGTTATGGTTTCCACAGGGGATATATAAAACTACAGAATAGTCCTTTATTGCTTTCTTCTTTGTTTAGTCCAACGTATCATCCATCACTCCGTTTCTCTGGTCCTCTTCTCCTCTTTTGCTTCATCCACCCTGCACTCTACGCCTCTTCATCTGCCTCTGATTTGCTCTAGTCCTTGCTTAATACAAACTGGTATTGATAATCTGCCTGCTGCATATCAGCCAAATCACCATTATTTCATCACCTTCTTTGGTACAATGCAGTAGCTTTATCTGTATGGCTCAGAGCTTCCTGTAAGGCAGTTAGACTTTGAGATTGATGTTGACTTTGTGCCATTTTTGAAACATCCTTTTGGCTTTCAGTCCAATAAATGGTGAAAGGACCTTAAGGAAACTTAAAGCAACTCTTGAAATTTCAAATAAGCACACATCTGCTGCAACAAAGTTGACCTCATAGAAATACATTTATCCTCCTTCCTGCCTCAATGGGTGCAGAAGTAAAGATCTAATTATGAAAAGTAGCTTCAGAAAAAAATAATTAAGGATTTGGTGTTTTTAATTAAACCTGCCAGCTTCATTTAAAGTGACTGTGTGAAGCGATGAAAGCAATGACCATGATCTGTTTCCCTCCTACACTCATACTAGGGCAATAGGTTTTTGTTACATTATATACAGCTTAGATGAACAAAGATCAACTGAATAGGTGACTCATAGCAGAAGTACAATTCTTAATTTGTTATAGTCAAAGAAAACTGAATCAAAAACTGAAACTAAATGGAACCAAGTCCATGTCATAATCCTATCGATAATTAGGGGTTAAAAGTTATCTCTATCTGCGCTGACCAAACTTCTTTAGAAGACCAGCTAATCAAGATAATACCTGGAAAGACTTGCAGATGGAATTGTTGTGAAAAGTTTTTCAGGTCTATTTCAATTGAAAAGTCAACATTTACATCTGTATTTTACTTTAAAATAATTTCCATAAAAATAAAGAAAATGCACCAGTGTTTCTGGTTGTAACTTGATGCAATTTAGATCGAATTCAGAAAGGCCAAACAGGATAAACTACACACACACATACTGGCTTCATATTAGATGCTTTATGGTGAAAATGAATTATTTTCAAACTGATATCTGAGCAATAACCATAAAAATCTTTTTAGAGATTTTGATTTTTGATTGCCAGACATGGAGACTGCAATGTCTAGCATTGTTCCAGTAAACATTGGAGTTTGTTGGATTTAATTCTATGGAATCTGAAAGCTTTTCGTGTTTCTATGCAGTCTCTGATATGGCATGGCGGATTGTTCTGCAGCGGGTGGCCTCTATAATAGAGAGCTGTTGCTACGGCCATATGCTTTCTACTGAAGTAGTCTTTATGCGGGTGGTATTTATCAAAACAACATCCAAATGAATGCAGACATTCAAGGTCTTACAGAAGAACTTTGTACTGAAGCAAGAAAATCAATGTTATACACTTTACCAGTTGGTGGTTTTATTGATGTAGCTGACCGGTGCATGATATTTTCCTCCCCCTCTGTATGGGTGTAATATTTTAGAGCCAAATGTAACAAAAATGACGGCGAGCAAGCAGAACCCAATCTTACTCACATGTACATAGGCTGTAGCTGAAGGTGGGAGGTCTTCTGGGGTCCCTGGTAACCATAAGAGTCAAATCCTCCTATAAAATCAACTGCAGAGACACAAAAAACCACAAACAATGTTAGTTAGAGATTTTATGTTGGCCTACAATGGATGAATCATTTTTTTAAGCTTCACACACCCACAGAAGTGTTTGTCGGTACATCTTGTACCCTTTTAAATGCCTCCCAGAGAAAATTTGGCTTCACATGAATGAAAACACTTTGATGCAAATCTAATTCCATTTTTAAGAGGAAGAATGAAAATTATGGAGCAATATATTTATACCCAGGGAGTGCATTTAACTCCTAAATTAACCAGGATTGCTCCACAGACTCCTGAGCAGAGCAGCTGCCAGCAGGTGGGTCCTCTCTTCAGTCTAAAGCGAAGAGTCCAGACTTTTGAAAAGAGGAAGCATTTTTTTTTCTTTTCTCACTTTTTCTTTGAAGTTGTAGAGCTCCATAAAAGAGTAGTTTCATGTCTTGATCAGTGGGGCACTTTCTCATTTATTCAGCAAGGTTTCGTAACATCAAGTACAATATGAATTTGCATGTCAGTGCGGAGATGAAAAGTAGGTGTCATTTTTTCATCAATCTGCACTAAAACCGGAAAATAAGCCTCAAAATGGAGGATGAGGCAAGAAGGAGGCACAGAGAGGTGCTTTCATTCCAGAAACAAGCATGAATGGCAATGTTGGAAGGAGTGTGCTACCGAATGTTGAGATAAATAAACCTCATTGCAGCAGGTTTTTGTTGCTATATATTGAGTTCAGTCTGTTACACAAAAATGTATGCTATCTTCCCAATTTATCAGTAAGAAGAGTAATATTTAAATCATTCATACACATGGAAGTGTTTCTAATCGAAAGTGAGAAAAAGATCCCTCAGAGAATTTTTTCAACATTTTTTTTTAAATAATTACACCTGGAAAATTATACTCTTTCATAATTAATCAGTTTAAATCTTTCTTATAATTTGTCTAAAGCCCTTGTATGTTTTCACTGTTAGTGTGTTGACATAACTTTGGTGCTAACATCAATCATCACTATAGTATTTGTTTCTCCATAAGAGTAAAGGAACCTAGCTAAAAATACTTTCAGCATGAAGAAAAATGCAGGTAAAATTAAAACTTTACATAAACCTAAACCTGTCGGGAGAATGAATACGTCTGGTATATATGTCTGTAATACGGCTTACAGAATAAGGCAGACTTGTGAAAGCCAAGTGGCAAAGTTGATTTTCCCAACATTAAAAGTGTTTTCTAGTTGTTGTTTTTTTTTTTTAAGACACAGAGAAAGAAAGCAAACCTTATAAAGGTGGAGATAACTAAAGCCCACAGAAAGGTTATATATGAGGCTGAACTACAGCATGTGCTGACTGATTCAAGTATGTCCTTTAACTCAGTTCAAGGCCTAATTATTTCTCATTATTAATAACTGACTGAAGCAGGAAACTTTTACCTGCAAGGAAAAACAGGATTACATTTACAGCAGTCATTGAACTAATCAATACCAGTACGTCTGTACAAATCAGTAGACCACAGTGAAAATCCAGGGAAAGTTCTAGATTAATGCAGGTTAGATAAAGATTTGTTAAATCAACATCTTTACCAATTCCAAGATCATGTGCATTACAAGTTGTTAATATTTTTCACATTTTTTCCCCGATATCGGGGATGATCTTGGCACTAATGACTGGCTTAATTACTAACTCCATTCACCTGTCAACCTCTGCCTGGTTTCTCATCATTGCTCGTCTGATAAACTTGCTCCTGCCTCTATTTAAGGTGCTTGCATCCAGTTATCAAGGTTAGATTATTCTTTTTCTCTCTAGCCAGTGGTGAGAGTGTTTTTAGGGTTCCTTGGTGTTTCTGATGTTCTGATCCTTACCTGTTCTGCCACTCAACCTCTGAGCCTGCCTGTTCCTGTTCTGATCCGTTTGTCTGACCTGGCTTCGGACTTCTGCATGTTCTCTGGGGCTGCTGCATCTGCAGCACCCTGAGCGGTGCCTGCCGCATCTCGTTGGAAGCCCACAGGATGGATCGTACCTTGTTCTCTGGGCACAGATTGAACTGTTTAACCAGGTTAGTGACTGAAGTTTATAATCTTCCACTGTTAGATATACATGGTCACTAACCTGTGTTTTCCCTCTCCTGAGTTTTCCTGCCTCAGACCCTAGCTGCTGCTACTGCAGCTCTGCAGCCTGTTTATCTGAATAAACGCTTTTTGAGTAATCCCACTGTCTGTGTTGCCTCATTACTATGTCCTCTGTTCTGAGCCTTGACAATGTCAGTAGCAAAGCTGTAAACGGACCCAGGAACAACTGAGGCTCTGGTCTACCATGAAACAACTGGAACACGAAGGTCAGGGTACATTGTGTTGGCCTAAAACTGTCATCCAGCTGCATAGCAGCTGATTGGATTAAGTAATCAGTTACCAAGACATGTGCCACTTGGAAGCAGCAACAGTGCAATCAGTCTAAGCACACATCAGAAGTGGTTTTGGAATGGATGAAACAGGATAAAACTGAGCTAACACAAATTAATTTCCCAAAGCTCTTGCTTTAACTCTGTCACAGGTTTGTGCTTCACATTTTAAAGCAGTCTGTAGAAAAAAAACAACCTTTATTTAAAACTAGTATAATGAAAAGAGAGGTCAAATCTCCTGCAGGATAAATGGCAGAAGATTGCTGATGTTTATAAAAGACATACAGCTCGCTAGCAGACATTTAACCAAATATAGACAGGCTAATATGAAGACTGTGTGTTTAAGCATTAAAAAAAATACTATAAATTTGGGATTTCTTGATCAAAAGCTCAAAAAGAAAATCACCATTTAACTATTTTGCGTTAACAAACCATCATATGAGGAAAAACTACGCATATCTATATATACTGTAAGTGTTTGTCAGAGATTCATTATCAATTAAACACTTCATAACTTGAGTTTCCAACTTTAATACCTAATAGTATTGTGTAATGTGTTGTGTAATGTGTTTTTACTTGTTTAAGTGTTATTTTTCATTTGTAAACTTGATTTCATTGTCTTGCACAACAGCAACATTCAGGTTAACTTTATCCCTATTTTAACATCTATAGCTGGAGCTAATTGAGACTGACCTGTTGAATGATGCGAATCCTTTAACCTTGCTTAATTCCTTGTTTTTCTGGAGAAGCTTGGGTGTACAGGGTAAGACTTTCCTGCTGATTCATACTGCAGTCAAATTGTCTGCAGAGTTTCATCCTCTAAACATTAGAGGAAATGGAGCCTCTAAACCTGTCAGTGCGCTGCCTGTCAATCTTTTAAGACCCAATTTAAGCTTCAGATAAGCTATTCATATGGGTCTGGATTGCCCCATTCTCCCTAGAATCTGAGAAAATTGGATGGGAGCTGCAAAAAGATTAAGATTTCCATTAAAAAAATAAAATAAAATAGCTATCCTCATTAAATTTTCTGTGTTTTCTTAACACCAAAGTGTTCTATATTACTCTGTTCACAGACTGATGTTTTGAATATAACCTTAATTACCTGTGCTGTTTTGTTTACTTCTGTGTTTGATAGAAATCTTCAGAGGAGCGATAGGACTTGCTGTAATGAATAGTATTGCACACTTTTACCTGCACACATCCATACACAGACATACAATAATTATCAGAGTAATTAACTTTCTCAGCAAATTAAAGCCTTCATCTGTCCTTAGTGAGTATTAGCTTCTTCACCCAAGGCACATTTACCCACAAAGCCTGCTGATTAGTGTTTATTCTTCCACACCACATTATCACGGCGCTTTTTCACCAGCTGCATTCCACCAGCCGTGCAAGACTTCAGGCTCAGCAACAAGGAGATTACCACGGATATCAAAATCATTCTGGAGAAATTTATGTGTTACAAGCAAGTGATGATTGTGATACTTTTTAATTCTTACTAAGCCTTAATTACAATTTATTTCAGCATCAATGATGATCAATTAGGAGGTTTTTGATGTCCTAAACTGCCCATTGTTACAATACAGGATCCAAAAACATATCATTCGAAGACAATCTAATCATAAAGCTGCATTATATGAGATTCTGCAAAACCAAGGCTATTGAAAATACGATTTTATGATGCTATAATATGTTTACTTAACTTTCTTTAAGAAGCAGCGACCAATAACTGGCCTGCAGACCTCAGAAATGTGTATCAGTTATGATTGACACCTGGAAGTAGAAACTTGATGGATATAGAAATACTTTACTACTTGATTGCAGACTGCAATAAGATAAAATTGATATTGATCATTATTTCAAGTTTTTTAGCCAACACTGAATTTAAATAGATGCAAATTTTAAACAGCCTTACTTCCAAACCACTAAACAGTGAAATGTTCATATTAATTCAGACACTTCCCTCAAACGGTCTTATCAGCGGTTGATTTTGGGCTGTAAAAGATTCTCTTTAGGGATGCAAAACAAGCAGATATGTGGGACTGATAGCTAGGGGGCAAAACATAACAATTAAGGAAAGGCCAAACACAACAACTGTTAGATATGAATTATTTAGACATGTAGACAAAAGCTAATGTGGCATTTTTGGTATATTGCCATCAACTAGCTTATTAAAATCCAGGGTTACAAAACCTTTATCTCAAAACTCCCACTGAAATTCAATTACTCACTAATAAAATGGGATGGTAACAGTGATAAATTGCAACTGTTTTTCTAACTTTAACAATATGACAGTGTAAAATATTCCTGCAACCTCATTAAGCAAGTCTGGGTTCATAAAGAGCCTTTCAGCACTGACCTTTAGTTTTTATTTTCCCTTTAAAGGGACAGAAATAATTTCATCCCATCGTTCTCAGCGCCGAATCAGCAATAAGCATGGAGGGAAAAACCCGTCTGCTTTCTACACCTCTCCACACCAATCCATTCCCGCTCATCCCATCTGCATGCATTACCTATCAATATTTATACGCTGGCAAACAGCATCCTCTGCCCGGTGTTGAATAAGACATGGACGGGTATTGATCTAGCGGAAGAGCAGCACCACCAACTTTAACTGAATAAAGGAAATGATGGCCTCAGGTTAATGGGATCATTCATGTTAATGCAGACATATACACATTACATTCTAAATAGAAAAATAAAAGAACTGACACTAAGTATTGAGTCATTTTACCCCTTTTTAACTGTTTTAAATGGAGCTATTGCTAATAAAAAAACAAACTGGAGGCAACTGGCTCTGCCCTAACCCCTAATAAATTGCATATGCTATATTGCTGTACATGTACAATGAAGCGGTTATCATTTTCACTTCTCCTCTTTCACTTAAAATGGTTCAACATGTTAGATGATAATAATAACTGAATATTACTGATCTCACAATGGAGAAATTCACTTCTGCATCTTAATCCATCCCCTTAAGGAGCAGTGGGCTGCCACGCCTAGGGAGCAGTTGGGGGGTTAAGGGTCTTGCTCAAGGACCCAGAGTGCAGGCTGTGGGTACTGAACTGGGTAACTGCTACCTTCTTAGAGCACAAATGCACAGCTCTAACCACTAGGCTACCACTCCCTTGAATAGGGAGAGACAGCACCTCTTTCTGCCTGTTACTTTAAAAGTTTCCCTTCTGACATTTGTTAAAAAAAACACCTGTGTATCTGTTTAAACCATCTACCTTGTTTAAGAATGACGAGGAAAGTAAAGCTGATTTACAAGGAAAAGAGGGGGCAATCTATTAGATCTAAAACCACTCAAAGCTCTTACTTTGCCACACATGAACATTTATTAAGCACCATTAGAAGGGGTACTTAGTAACTGACTAATCTGCCAAGTTTTAGATTTGCAGCCATAATGAAATGGTTGAGCCAACAGCTGACATTTGAAGAGGTTTTGATGCTCAAATCCATTTGAGAAACAGAACACTCTGATGTAAGAATTTGGATCGACTTTGTTTATTTACTGACCTGTTAACTAACTTTTCTGGCATTCAACCACGTAGCTAAATTGTGCACACCAAAGATCGAGTCATACTGCTACTTACATCACAAGGAAAAAGCCTCAGTTGAACTTTCTGCCTCCAGATTCACTGACTGGGATAATTACATCAAAAGACTTTCGACATTTTAGAGCAAAAAGTGTCGGAAAACAAGTTATGAGACAAAGGTTTTGGATCCTTCAGCAGAACTGTTGAAAAAAAGGTCACCTGTCTAAAAAGAAGAACTCAGATTGTAATGTGCTGTTTGATTGTGACCTACCCTTTCCAGGAATCAGGGATAATTCATAGTTGTGAGCCACTAATGCAGTTACTGTAGATGTCACATCTGTTTAAAATGTCCTGTACCCTCACACATTAGGAAAAAGCTTGCTGTTTGGCAATAAACTCCCTACACCTTTATTTTTTATTTAGAAAACATCCATTAGATTCAATGTTTTTTTGCCAGTAGGGTTTGATTGTCAAGATTTGCAGAAATAAACAACACATTTTATTTTATCTGCTGTTAAATTTAAGTGGGTGGAAAGCATGTTTGAAAGGAAAAATATTCTAATTTGGAAACCTTGGTGTTAAGGCGCGCAATATCTTCTAGACTTTAAAAAAGGAACAGTGCTGCGTCTAATTTTATGTATCGTGATCTAATGTAAAATTTATCATCCTTTCAAAATTCTCCCACAAAAATTATCCTTACTGGAAGAATGTTTTCGTGAAACAAATCTTGAATTATTCTGAGGGTTTTCACCTTAATTTGGACACTATGTAGAGAAACAAAAAGCGTATTGTTGTTAAGGTGGCACAAAGAGCACTTAGTTTAGTCTTTGATTGTTTGTAAAATCAAACAAAAAAGGTTTGTTACTTTCAGTTTTTAAAAATTGTGGTACCTCTTATGAAAGGGTTTACCAAGTACAGTGACAAAGCTAATATGCTATAAAACAAGGCAACCTTTCAGCTTATAGCATCAGTCATAACCACAGAGTTTCAGTTAAACTGTTGTTTCATATGCTGGCTGAGAAAGCTATTTTAGGCTCAATTTATAAACCAATAACACCTTTTATTTATTATCAGGAGTTACTGTATTGGGCCCAAATGGTCAAATTCTCTTTGAATACATGAAAACTCAATGAACCAATTGTTATAATATTCACAAAATAGTGTAATTAATAGATTTGTTATATTATAAGACATATTAACTCCCTTTAAGAAGCCCTTATGCTTAGATCTTATTGTTTCTTTGCATATTTTCTTAAAGTTGCTAGGAGTGACAGTTCCAAATCTCCACTATAAAATGTCTGATCATTTCAATAACTTACCTACTCATCTATATCTGTTAGAATTGATTGATCATTGGCTTGGCAGGTCTCTGAAATGTCGCTATCTCTTCAGCAATAAGTTGCAAGAAGTTGTTAGATGATGTCATCTGGGTATTTGGTAATGATATGACCCAGCCGTAGGAGAGAGGCATATCAACGCTGACAAGGCAGTCGTTAAAGATACTCTAAATACATTTAAAATAAAATAAAAAAACTGTTCAAATTAAACTTAAGTATTCATGAATATCTTATCTGAACTAAAAAAATACATTGATAAATCTTATTTTATCACGTTTAACTTAAAGACATGGACATGTACAGCATCCGGACGTGTATGAATTAAATGGAGTAATGGCTGATCCTATTTCATTGCTCTTGTCCACTGCTTTGCCTCTTAAATACGGGGTACCTCAAGGCTCCATTTAAAGTCTTATTGTATTCTTGCTTTTCCAGAAATAAAACTTAACCATTTTGATATTAATGAAATTCAGGTTTATTTTTTTAATTTAAAATCCAGTGAATCTCAGTCTGCAAATCCGCTGTTAAAATGTTTGATGGTCATGAGACCATGGATGGAGCTGAATTTATCTAAATGATGAAAAGACGGAGGTCATTTTATTCAGTAAATCCAGCATTGCGATAGGATGCAGTGATGCTTTTGGGCTACTAAGCTCTTCTGCTGTGTGTTTGCCAGGAATCTTGGGTTGAGAAGGTTATTCATGCTTTTAATACTTCAGGCTAGACTACTCAAGCTACCTCTATGGTGGGACTGACCAATCTCTTCTTTGCTGTTGTTGGTTCAGAATTCAACTGCTCATCTGCTAACAGGGTCAAGATGACATGAACGCATCACCCCAATTTTGTATTCCCTCCCTTGGATTTCTGTTTCTTTCAGGTTTTTAGATTTAGTTTATGAATGTCTCAATGGCCTGGCAGACCTTTACGTCAAACAGCTTTCAAAGCCATTTTACTATCTTTTACATTGATTTTTAAGTCTTTTTTTAAGAGTATTGTTTAAAACGGGTTTTCAATTCCAGAGAGCACCATTAGGCCACACTGCAAAAAAAAAAAAAGTGCATTTTGTCTTGAATTGAGGGTGTAAGTGGTACACTTTGCCAATGGAACAAGAAAATTTACATTTAAAATAAGAAAAAGCAACTGTATTGTCTTATTACAAGTGCATATTATCTAATTATCGCATTTTAAGAGTAAAAATACTTATCCTATTGGCTAATCATCTCATTAACTTACTAAAATTAAGGGTAAATACACTACTTTAAGAAATGTTTACTTATTTCTAGATAATTTTTGCAGTGCAGGATTTGTTTCTTTACTTTTTATTGCTTATACAATCAATGCTTTTCTCTTTTTATTATTTTTATTTTCATCCCCCATTTAGATCACCTATTTTTTAAGTGCTTTATAAATAAATGTAGGATGTGTATTAGGCTATATAGCAAAAAGATTTTACATTTTATCAATGCCACACTGAAAAATATAAAAACCGAAACATACCAAGTTCACCTTAATCTAAATGTTACATTAAATATCATAAAAAAATTAGTTAAAGATGATAACATTAAATTTCCTGTCTCAACGTGACTATTTGACATGTGATCACTGATCTTGCCTTATTTTAAATCACATAGATGGCTTCCTGGAGTGCTTGCCACTTGAACTATGGGAAAAGAGTAACCCTGTAGTGGCAGTGTTATGTTCTGCAGAGAAACCTTGGATCCTGCCATCCATGCGGATCCTACACATTATGAGAGTGGATTCTTTAAGAAGTTCGGCCACAAGGTTAAAAATAGCTCATGGGTGGTATGAAAAACACAGCCTTTGTGATGTTTTGGACTAACTTTGTAACTTACACAACTTAAAGGATCTGCTGCTTAATGCCTTGTGCAAGACACCAGAGCACACGAAGGGGTCCAAGAAGTCTTGTTTTAGGAGGGATCGGCTCACTATTAGGTATGCAGTCATGATGTTATGAGGTTATACAAATATGCCTTTGTGATCACTTATAATGCATTATGTTTCCTACTTTTGGTTGCAGGAACCCAGATGTAATTTATGTAACTGTGCATGACAGAAAAATCCATTTAGGTGAGCAAGCTGATTGGAAATGTGCCATCATTAACTTAATTTACATCCCTTGTGCTTCTGTCTGTCTGTGTAAGGAAACTACAGTTTTCTCCTCCACAAGTCCCTTTTTGCTCCTTTGTGAATCGCCACTTTAACACCGTTGGATGACTGATTGCACCAAATATCCAAGAAGCTGCATTATCAGGGGCAGTTTTCTCCTGGCTGGATCTGCCAGGGGAGACAGTTTCTGAGTTCCCTAAGCATCAATCAATTAGCATTTAATACTGAGACAAGATGGAACCCAACCACCTCATTCTGTTTACTTCTTAACATTGTCTTTGAATGCATGTGAGTGAAGGTACTTACAACTATCTTCTTCTTCAGAAATGAGCTTCACCACATAACAGGCGTAGATAAACCCCACCAACTGCAGACAAAGAAAGAAAATAAACAAAAACAAATGATTATTTTTTTTAGTCAACACCAAAAAAAGAGTGAGAAAAAGCCACAAAGCTTAGACAACTGCAATAGTTGGAACAGACAGGGCAAACAGGTGCTGATGTAAGTGGAGCAGAGCAGTTCCAAAATAGAGCCCTTGTATTTCCCTTCCTCACACACACACACACACACACACACACACACACACACACACACACACACACACACACACACACACACACACACACACACACACACACACACACACACACACACACACACACACACACACACACACACACACTCAATTACATCTTCAATAACAACCACAAGGTTATTCTTAATTTTAATGCTGGAGCTGTATAGAGAAAGTGCTTACATATACATTCACAAATTCCAACGTATTAGACACAGTATTCAAACAACCTCCACATGCAGATGGTGCTTATTTCACTTAAATTGGATGTAGAGGATAAAAATCAGAGTAGTTTAATTGGTATTTCTAAGCTGAGGTTTAGAGCGCTGCTGTTCTTTCTACCATTCACAGGAAAACCTTACAGATAACAGATAACTACAGATTATAGATAACTCAATAACATTTGTTACACAAGACAAAACTGAAGATTTATTATGTTCTTACAAAAATTAGGGGACCTTAATTATGTACCTCTGCTTGCATGCGATATTTAACATGATGTAGCGATCCAAATTAGCAAGAGCACCTTAGCCCCCTGGACTCTCATTGGCTGTCTGTTTCCATGGCAACTGATAGCAAGTGGCCGACTGAGGCAAAATATGCAGGAAGGTGCAGCCCTATAGGGTCGGAATTTTAGTGACCTTATTACCCTTGGGCGTCTTTTGAAGGAGCAGAAGGGAGAAAAACTGTTTGCAGAGCTGAAGATGCAGGCAGGGGGTGACAGAAGTGCACATCTGGGGTCTGTTTGAGGCATTACTACTTGAAATAAAGAGGCTTTAGAACTCAAATCAGCCTTTAAGTAATGGGGGGGAAATAACATTGACCTGGCTGGTTTTCTATCGACTGTGTGGAAGAATGCCAGCACATCCACATGTGTTCACATTAAACACTCTGCAAGGCCATGATTGTGGGAAGCTGCATTAGGGATTCAGCGTATATCTCAAGGTCTTGACCTCATTTAGTCTAAATAATGTTCAGCTCCCACACCCCCCCGTTTCTCAGAGCATTCCTGCTTCTCTCTTCATTCTCATACTCTCTCGACTTTCCAACGTTTGTCTTTTTCTTAATCTTTCCCAGCTCTGTTTCAGACAACAAGCAAGCATTATCAACATGAGGGATCAATGAGAGAAAAAAAACAAAATTAATGGGCTTTATATAGCAGATATGACCACTGATCGAAGATAAAGATAAGCTTTTCGGGCTACAGCATCTCAGTTTTCACTGCTTTTGGCTGACATTTATAATTTGAAAGATTAAGATGACATCAACCCCACAGGCAGTCTCTACTGTGGGCAGCCAATCCCCCCGGAAGCATTTCCTTCTTTATTGGCATCCATATGAAGGAGACTTTTACCATTACAAAGTTATAATGTTGTTTAAGAGATCATAAAGAGTTTGGGGAGGTACCTAGAGTTAGAGTGGTTCTGGAACCTGCTCTGTTACCTACAGGCTCATTGCCTCTGAAAATGACTTTGGGGTGCAGTTTTGTTAGCGTGACTGAACATGACACAGAGAGTGGTGCTCACCCTGCGATACAGAACCACCGTTAGACCTCCGCAAAGCACATTTTCTCTCCACATCAATATCCTGTTAATATCCCACCAACCCAAGAGTTGCTGCTACATGTAAACATAATATCCTGTTTACAATAAATCAGATTCTATCTCCCAACAAAGCAGGGCAAATCAAATGTGATGGCTAAGATGCGACAATATGCGCGGAGACTTGTGGTATTCATGGCTTATCTTTTAAATGTTGCAGGAGTATGCTTGTAGTTTTTATTTGAACTATGTTCCTCACACAGCCTGCAAGGTTTTTAAAGTGCTATGGAAAGTTTACATACATAGCTGTATACGAACTACATTAAATACTCTAAATAAAATGTCTTAAACAAATCAGTAAAACTATAAAATGTTGGGGTAGAAAGATTCGCTATACTTTGTCCTGCTTTGCAAAATCTTAAATTGTTCTGTATGAATATAATCATTGCAAAAGCTAATATGTGCAAAGTCTATATAAGAAAAGAAATGATGTGTGTATTTCACCGGAAAAGGCAAATAGTTGTTTTTTTTTACCGCTTGGCCGGGAAATGCTGTTAATCCACAGCTGGCCGTTTATGTCATTTTTTTTTATAAGCTAGCAAAAATGGAAATAAATCTGCTTTTAACTGCAAGCACAGCGTCTGGACAATTTCTGCTTACCATTTTCCCCGGCAAATGCGTGACAATCATAATATTCCGGTTTAAAAACACTCTGGTTGCTTAAAGCGTCGGCTTAGCCCCTACAGTCATATTGTTTACAATAACTTAACCTTTAAGGACTCCATCTGAAAATCAAGACTCATTAGACCCAGTAATCAACTTTCTGTCTGTTGTCCATTTTAGTTTGAAGCCTTAAATTCCTGTTCTAAGCTGACATGGCAGCTGGGGTGGCCTTCTGCTGTTTTAGCTCTATTATCTACAAGACTTGATAAGATGTTGTGCATTCAGAGATGTTTTTGTATACACCTTCTTACGGGTTACAACAGGTTAAAATTACAGCTACTGTGTTTCTATAATTTCTGAAACTCTGCCCATTCTCCCCTCCCATCAACAGGACATTTTTATCTAGCCAACTACCCTATGGGGGCTAGAGCTGACTATGTAATGCTGCAGATGGATGCAGGTTAATAATGTTCGTGTTTTCTGATCCACTCATTATCTTTACCTGCAAAAGAGGACCAGTCTCTTTAAAATGAGTTTCCTTGTGTGTGCTAGATATTAGCTCTTCGGCCAAAGCAGCTAAAAGCCACCTAGAAAAACATTTTGCTTTTGATATTCCAATACAATTAATCACATAATGTTAAGAATCAGTTGTCTGAATGGTTATTCATTTTTGTTTAGAAAAAGTCAGTCTTTAAAATATAATTTTGCCAAAATAATGTTTTATTAATTGTATTGTGCATTGCGTTGAAGACAGTCCAGTTGCTCTGAATTAGCTTAAAAGCTTATTTGACCTCATTCCAAAATCTTCAAGATAAATTTCTGAAACAGTTTGGAGCAGGTTTACGGAACAACCCATGAGAGTGAAATGGTTATTTGATAAAATGTTCAATTAGATAAATGCATACAATTGCAACATATCATTATTATGTTCTGTAGGTTGGCAATACATAAAGCTATAAGTTAAGACAGCTTATTTCCCACATTTGTGTCAGCTCTGCTCTTAAAAATAGATTTCTACTTAATATCTCCATACAAGCAGTAAATAAAGGTTTTAGCCAAGATGAGGTGACAATGTGATTCAAGATCCCTTCTAATTGCCTACACTTACATGGAGGCAATTGACAATTATCTAGAGTTAACGTAGAATTTAGTCAGGAAAACAATGGGGACTAATGGATGGCAAACTGTATATGCTGAACCTGTACTAGACATGGAAAAAAGTTATACATATGATCAACTCTGAATGCCTCAATCTATCTGTGAAACAAAGCATTGAGAAATAGACCAATAAATATGAACTAAGATGAATTCCCTGTATTGAACGGCCACTAAGCTGTGTGTAAAAACAGCCTCATATAAAGGAGTTAATGTATAGCACTGAAAACGTTTAACTATAGTTGCACATACTTTAACAAAGATGCACAGGCTTTTTTTTTGTACACTGAAAAAGTTTAAGAAAATGAGGAAAACTGGTTTACTTTCTATTTTACAGAATATAATATAGGGATACCCTTAGCACCAACAACTATAAGCATTTGTGATAACCTGCAATGAGTCTTTCACAGCTCTGTAGAGGGATTGTAGCCCATTCATCTTTACACAGTTACTGTAATTCTGCCACATTAAGGGGTTTTCAGCATGAATGGCCTTAGATGCCAAGGTCATGCCACTGCATCTCAATAGGATTTGGGTCAGAACATTGACATGGCCACTCTAAAGTATTTTTTCATTCAGAGGTGTAGTGTCATTGATCATTATTCTGCTATGGTACTGTAGTTTGCTTCAACTTGAGGCAATGTCTTGTCTCTCAACTAGGGATGCACGATATTGGGATTTTGACCGATATCCGATATGCCGATATTTTAAAACTCATGTAGCCGATAATCGATACCGATACCGATGTTAAAGCTGGTCGAAAATAAGTAGTCATTGAAAATAGCAGTTTTGTTATCCATTTCTGACACTTTAAAAAATAATATACTCAAATATATTTTCATATGCTGATACCAAATTGATTTTTAAAAACGCGGTATTGATCTATTTTACTTTCAAAATCTCGTGAAATTTCATCGTTCTGTTACAAACTCTAGTGATATTTTGCAAATTCTTGACACATTTTGTTAGTAAAATAGATTGATACCGCGTCAATATATCAACATATAAAAATATGGCAAAATTTCGTGAATTTTCGGGGGATTTCGTAGCATAACCATGACATATAGCAATATTTCATTAGTAAAAGAGATTGATATGGTGTTTTTAAATGGCAATATATCAGCATATGAAGATATTGTGATATTTTAATGTATCAATATTTTTTCCCTCGTCTTTAGAAGTCTTTAAGTCTGTAAAAAAGAAGTTTTTGAGGAAGAAGTAGTAGTATTTTTATATTTTTTTTAGACTTTAGAAACAAAGAATATCAGAAATATCGGTGGGGTGGCCGATGTCTGATATTCAGTTTTAAGGCCGATACAGGCCGATACCGATAGGGGGCCGATTATATCGTGCATCCCTACTCTTAACCATTGAGTCTGCGTTTCTGCATCTGTGAGTTTCTGTCTGAGCTCGTTGGTTGACGCATGGAACTCT